GTAGTCTGCAATAGCAGTAGCAACACTCAGCAAGCGGCTATGTGCAAAGCAAGCAGCAATAATAACAATATAATTATAGCAACCAAGTTTCGTAGCGCACATACAATGATTCAATGGTTAAAACAAACAAAAAAAGTGCGAGTCAAGATCCATTCTCGGGAGATACACCGAGTGCTGTGTAGACTGCTGATCCATTCTCGGGAGATACACCGAGTGCTGTGTAGACTGCTGATCCATTCTCGGGAGATACACCGAGTGCTGTGTAGACTGCTCTCCATGTACTGACTTGCACAACCCAACAAATACTTGCCAGTGGGTACAATCACTCTCTACGTATACCGGCATGTACCACATGTACACTGTACCACTGTGTGCAGGCGTGGCAGTGGCATGCAGGTGTGCTCTGCTAGATACACGCCACCATGGCATTGACTGTAGTATGCCCGTGGGCTATTTGATACACAACACCATTGTCGGGATTGGCTGCAGTATGCACATGGGCTGCTTGATACTAGTAGTTGATACACAGCACTGCGGCATTGGTTGTGGTAAGCCCGCGGGCAACTACTTGATACACAACACCATTGCCAGCATTGGCTGCGGTATGCACACGGGCTGCTTGGTACACAACACCATGGCTGGCCTTGTTTGGTGACTAAGACAAGTTAGCGAGGTAGAACATGGCTAGCGATACACCGCCGACCACAACAGCACTGACGTAACTACCCAGGCCAGCGCTATCACACACATCCTCACCGCACACATCCTCACCGCACTCATCCTCACCGCACACATCCTCACCGCACTCATCATCGCCAATGGCTGGCAACTGACTACTAGCCCGATGGCTTTGCAGCATGAATCTGTGGCAGAGAAGAAACACGGGTATTCCATGCACTGCCAGTTCCACCTGATCTCCACAGCAACCCAACGATTTATAGACGCGAAGATTTAAGTACGAGATAGTGGTAGCGACTTCGGCGATGATAACATAAGAAAGGTATTTACTCCCCACAAGTCAAGTCGGCGGAAAACACGAGCTCCGGTGTGGGGAGCAAACACTTTTCATTTGTAAAGATTTTTTAAAGTGCACACATAATTTAGAGTTGCCAGGCTGTGAATACTGGTCTACAGGCTTCAAATACTGATATGTCTTAGTACATCAGTACATTTGCACCCCCTGTTTGGAAAGATGCCGAAATAACTCCAAGGGATAGCACTGACACTGGAGCTTGTGGAGTTACGAACTCTGGTAAAATACACCGTCATCGCTTGCAGTGAGTTACGTCATACATATGTACTGCCATCGCTCGCGTTCAGTACTGCTGACTGTGATCGTTCATGTACAGTACAGTACAGTCGGTCGCCGAAGACCTAGGGGATCAGCCTCCTAGCCTAGACCGCTCTTGTTTTTGCGTATTACAGTCTATGGTTAGTTGAGTCACCGCGTATGCATTGGTATGCTGTGCTTGGTGGAATAATTCTAGCCTGGTCGTTCTTCGGCGCACGACAACACTGTACGACTATTCTAGATCCAACGTTCGACTTCATGTAGACAGTACATGCATGAAGAATTGTGTCTGCTTTCAGCATTTTGTATTAAGCAGTCACTCCCCTCCTAGACACATTTTCCATTTTTAATAGATTTTTTAAAACATTTCCTTTTTTATGCTTCTAGCTCGATCATGGTTGGAATTCACGGCCAGCTAGCTCCACCTTTGATTTGTTGCAGGGCGCAGAATAAATAAATGTGTGTTTCGAAGTTTTGTGTCCTTAATAATTTGGGACACTAAACTAGATGATTACCTAAATTACTTGTATTCCGGTACTTGTATCACGGATATAGAAGAGAAGGAGACGCCACCCACAATACAAATACAAAATAATACAAATACACAGCAAGGTCTTGCTGAAACTTACACTGTTGATGGCATATCCGAGTAAGGTGTCACCTTGGCCCGCACTTCATCAGTGTTCAGTACAGGGTCTTCCATAATTCAAATGCACAATAGTTCTCTTATGCTCTTTTTCAAAAGTTCATTGTGCCAAAAACGTGATCCTGTTGTACACTGTAGCAGAGAATTGAATATGGCGAAGCCCTCGGCAGTTTCACTTTACTGTATATCAGATACATACGGAGGCTCCTCGACAGGAATCCAACACTCAAGCATCGTCCGCCAACACCATGAACACTGACCAGAAGGATTCCTGACCTGGGGCTCAAAACTGATTTGAAAATGGATACATGTACAGTATTATGTTGAAAACAAAAATAATTGAAAGACTTTCGCCAAACAAAAATCTCGTATCTCGCGCGTGAGTGCGAAACCATGGAAACCGGACAAAAGCACAAACCATTTCTTTCAAGAAAGGCGCTAGCGCTAGGCATTCGCTGACAAGAAAAAAGGTGTTGTCCAGGGAGTCGTCAAATACAAGCAAATACAAGTATTTGACGACTCCCTGGTGTTGTCCTATTGTATTTTTCCTCATTTTTCTCAATGCATCACTATCTTCACTCTGATGAAAAATGTTCAAAAAACAAACAAGAGCACAAAACATTTCTTCAACAAGGCGGATACTATGATACAAATCTGTTACACCATTGCGAAGAATGGAAAATTAAGGTACTAGTACTCTTTTCGCGGCTGTATCTGGGCCGACCGCACAAGAACAGGCATTACTTTGGTCCCACACAAGCAAATCACTCCAAATTTTCTCCACACACAGATGAAAGGGTAGTGATTGCAACAGCAGAAAATATATTGTCATGCTTTGCGAGATCCTTGGAAAATGTAAATCAGAATGTACACTTTCTGTCGATATGACGGGCTACACATTTTCTTAAAAAAATGTCCAGGAAAAGACTATTTGATGGGTCTAAATTTGTTGGATCCAAACCATCTAGGTCTGGGGAAGGGCACCTGGGTCAGCAGAAGTCCATCCAAAGGAAAAAAGGACGCACAATACACCTTATAAAACAACATATATAATACGCGACCGTGTTGCAACATTTGAGAGAGGGCAAAGATTGTTCCAGTTAAAGTGTTGCTCTTGAAAACACCCAGGTGCCCTAGGCCTGGGCATCACCTTTCCAAAAATGTATACTTTGGGGGGTGTCCAGACACTTTATCCAAGAGAAAACTTCAGAAAACACACTCGCAGTAGGCTAAAAATAGTGAAAAAAAGGGGTCCAAAACAGACAAAAATGCAGGCATAAGCTGTAATGTCAGCAACAAAACCTCACCAAACCAAGCTAAAATCCACCAGCCTCATATGTGACACCTTCTTGCTCTGTTCTTTGCTCTTCCCAGCCCTTTTTCTTTCTTCTCCTCTTCTTTCTTGTGCTTTTTTGCAATGCTGAACTGGCCACTTCGGCATGTGCAATGCGGTCCGTATCCTCCTTCTTCAGTGCCTTGATGGTGTTATGGCCAACAGAACACGACATTTCTCTCAAGAACTTGACAAAGGCTCATGGCACCATCATTGAAAGTGCATGTAGCAAGATTTGCAGCGAGCTCCACCACACAGCGACCTGCATTGACTTCCTTCGGGCACATGCGCCACACGACACCATTGAATGCTTCTTTGGCATTTTGTGTGGCACCAAGCAAGCATCGTTTCAGAAGTGCCTGGTCTGCCAGTCTTCGGTAAACAGGCACCAGCAACTTGTAGATGGCCTCTGGCTTCGGGATTTTCTGCTAACAGCTGCTGGGCAGCGTAGTTGCGGCTTTTCTCGCCAACCGTGTGTGCAGCCTCAATTGCAGCTTGTTGGTGTTTCTAGAAGTTCGTCTTGTTGACAGGCTTGGGGAGGTCCATAATGGCACAGAATTTCTGGAGACCAGAGTGTCCTCGGCCAATGGGCCTGGCAGCTAAAACGGAGCATCGGTTGACGTCAAAAAATCTTGTTCTTATGGACGATGAAAACTTGACATTAGCACCAGGACATGATTCTGATGAACAGGATATGACCATGTGTGATCCTAAGCCCTTGCTGTCTCTCCTTTTCCAAAATGATACCGCCAACTTTACAAACTGCACACACATTTCAGCAGAATCTCCTGCAGCTGCTCCAAGTCGAAAATACGTTTCCCGCACCAGTATGGGGCTCATCAGCCTCGAAACAATCACTGTCATCACTGCTGTCACTCGTGTCTGGGTTCGAGGTCAGTGAGGTATCAGACTCCGTTCCAACATCGCCATCGCTGTCTGATGTCTCCTGCTCCCACCAGGGTTTGCAGCCGACGAGCTTTGCAAATGAAGAGCTACGTCCAATATCTTCTGGCTCCGCTTCCACAGGAACAGGGTTAGGATCGGGAGCTGTTTCAGGCTTCTTTCCATAATATTTCTTCTTTTTGGCAACGTAGTATCTACCTTTCCATTTTTTTGTTTCCCATCTTCAAGCTCAGCACAGCGAGTGCAGAATAGTTGCTGTTTGTGATGCAAAAAGCGCAAGGGAACCCAGTTTTTACGCTGGGTCGCCATTTTGTGCAGTCATGGTAACGAATATTTGAATTTTTTCCACGTGGCATGAGTACTCATTTTTGCTCCTGACAGCTAGCTAGCATGGTCACGCTGCAGTGCGTACATCGTACATACCCACGCACTTCACTGGCCTGTAACTCTGCAAAGACTGTGCCGATTCGCCTCAAATTTTGGATTCCACAGGTTCAGGGCCTTGTGCGTCCACTGAAAGAGTCAAAAAAGCCGATTTCTAAACAATAAATTCTGCGCTAATTCTGCAAATCCTTCTATATTCTGCGGCAATTCTGCAAGGAAAATGAGCGTAAAACTTGAACTGATCGGATTTCCACAACCCCACCAAAGTTTGTTGTCCCTATAAATTCTGAGCCAAAATTATGCGAAATCCTGGTCAAAAAGTTGAAAGCTCCAAAATAGACTGCAAGTTGATTTTGAAAGTCACAAGCAGGTTGGTTTGGCTGTGAAAATACATCGAACGTCTCCAGAAAAGCAGTTTTTCTCTCTCTCTTCTGCAATATTCCGCGGGATTTTCTGAATTCTGCGGACACTACTGGATTCTGTGGAAATTCTGCAATCCGCGGAATCGCGGAATTCACGGGGAACAGTTGAATGTACTTACATTCGATGGCGAGGAGAAAGCGGCATGTACCGGTACACAGTTTGAACTGAGCCTTTTCAATGTACAGTCAACTTCGCTAGTACTGCGGATATCGACAATTCGCGAACAACAACAGATGATTTCCATGCCCAGAGCAAAGTCCCATCTACACGTAACTGTAATACCGAGAGTAATAGAGTAATACATACATGTATAATGAGACTTCGGGTATAAGGACACCTTTCTGATGCCCCGCCGAATGTCGTTATACGCAACGCTGACTGTATTGTAAAAAAAAACCTTAAACCCTATCAGTCAAGGGGACGGTGCCACTCTGATAAGAATAGTGGAAACAATTGAGCCGGGATCAAACGGGATGTACAGTGTAATTTCCAGTGAAATGACTCCGGATGAGGGGACCACAACAACAGCTCCAACACCAACAATGGCACCAGGGAGTTGTATAATCATAACTCCCTGGCTGACACTATAGAACACTACCAAACAGCAGCAGCAACCACAGCAGGAGCAGCAGCAGCATTACTAGCCGAGCAGCTGATACCTGTATTATTCAAATAGGCTGACGGACAAAGAAAGAACCAAGGCCGCAAAGTATCTCTAATAAGGAAAAGCTCGCTACAGTAAACCTCGCCGATAACGGCCTTCAAGCTTGGATATAACAACTCATGGATAAATGGCACACTTCAGATCTGCATAGCAAGCGCCCATTTGACATGCACATTCAGCTTCTTGTATTCACCGGGGAGAGCTTGAATAATGGTAACTCGCCAATAACGACATGATTGTTGGTCCCTTGACCAAGATTGCCGTGTGAACTGTGAATAACGATATTCTCACCAAATGAGTGTCATTTCAGCTGTCCCCTTGTCAACTGTTACTCCAGATTGAAGTTCAGTGGCCAGTTTGACTATTCGCACGCAGCATGGAGCCTGAGCATGCTCTTGAGTCCTACACAAGACCAGGCCGGCCAAGGTTAGAGCATGCTGACAAAAACATGACAAGACGAGCATCAAGCGTCTGCATCAGTCTTTTCAATACCGACAAGCCTAGTACAGTATGCCTCCCATCCATCGGTGGAAGGGTTGCATAATTTGGATTTCGAATTCATTGTCTGTGAGGTAGAAAATACAACTTGAGTTGAAATCCTGAATTCAAATGCTGCAATTTGATATGCTCATTACGTTTGTTTCAAATAGGGTCACTATATACTCGTACATAAGAGAGAGATTGGAAGTTGTGTTGCAACTCTGAGTTTCACGTATTACTACGATCATCAGGAGACTGATGGCTCCAAAACGGGCAGCCTGAACAGTGAACATAAGGGGGGAGCAAGGTGAGAAATGCTGAGGGGAACCGTAGCGTACGAGTCAGGTGCGGGCGACAAGTTGCCAAGTCTTTAAAATTGCGGCTATGCATATGTACATGTACATAAAGATAACACCGCGCGAATAACACCGTAATTCTTGTGGCCGGCCAAAAGTCGTTATTCGCGAGATTGACTGTGTGCATACTTCAAGTAGTAGGAAAGTGATGAGGAAGGAAAGGCAACCCTTCGTACCACAGCCAGAAGCAGACACAAGTCACAGGTACAGCTGCTCAACATCAGCCTTTCACAAACGCTCATTCACGCATGCACGCGTACAGGCGCAAAATAAACATTGATCGCGACAACAACAACAATAAAGATGGCAAAGGACAAAAAAACTAGAACAGCCAAGGACGAAGTATTAACGACAACACATACTGGTAAAGCAAAGCGAAAGAACAGCTTCAGTTCAGCGTGATATTTGTAGAGCTCGGAGTTCAAAATTGAAAAGCACAAGCAACCATCAGGGTAAAAGTAGCCATGCATAAAGACGTGGCAATGCCACTTTAAAACTGCAGTACACGCTCACGTGCACAAAACCAACCTAATATTTGCACCCGCGTGGTCTACAGCGTTTTCATGCCCGTCGAGAGCAAAACCTGACTGCAACAATTGCGTGCATCACAAGGCTGCTGGCATGTGCTCTTTGCAGAAGCAAAGCAAACGCACAGTTCAACGTCCTTCATCTGAGGACCTAGTGTGGCCAGATCCGATGGAGCAGTTACCTTGGATTTCAACGAACCATGCAGCGAACTTCCCTCGCAGAATGGCCCAGCAGCTAAGCTAAGAGACTAGCGGTAGAGCCGTCGTTCTGTAGAGGCAGAGTTCAAAACAGACACAGAACACGGCACATAGCTCGTGTCAGTGCCCACAGTCACAAGCCACGTGGGAAATATACTAGTAGTATACTCGTGCTATACTGCTTTGAGTGCAGTATGAGTGGAAGACGCACATTGAGCAAGCAAGCAAGCAACCAACACACCAACACCAACACCAACACACACACACACACACACACACACACACACACACACACACACACACACACACACACACACACACACACACACACACACACACACACTTGTACTTGTTGCTCACTGCCAAAACTGGTCACGCGGGTCTCCCCGGGAGAGGGGAGAGAGACTCAAAAGGAATCTTGGAAAGATGACTCAATCGGCTATTGAACCCCCCAACGGCCGACACCCCCTGAAATCCCCAAAACTCTGGGTGGACTTGAAAATGATCCCACTTATGGGCTCACCACACCTCAGTAAGTGGGGGAGGACAAGGTGCAGAAAAAGGATTGACGGCATCAGGGTATCCGTCCAGGGATCCAACTGCAGTTACCCCTGCCCCCAGTGAAGGTAATACGTGCTACTAGTGTGGGTGGCTCAATCAGAGTGGATCTGATACAAGCTTCACTAGCACCATTGATTACACAAGAGTTAATCTAGCCAGAAGCAGTCCATGGTTAACAGGTCTGTATACTTCAAATAGAAAGTATATGAGCCCTGGAACCAACAAAGGTGGCAGGTACAACATTACACGTTCAAGCAGCCGAGCCCGTTGGCAACAGACCCAACACAATCAGGCATAAGTGTACCCACCAACCGAACTAGCTGGCACACACACACACACACACACACACACACACACACACACACACACACACACACACACACACACACACACACACACACACACACACACACCAGCCTAGTAGACACAGCAAGCTCACTCTGAACACAACAACAGACACCATGCCACCATGGAACACTGGAAGAATATTTACCATATCTAGGAGGAGAAGCCACAACACCATAGCCACTGGTCCTAGTGAGACCCTCGTCATAATCTCGCCGAGGTCGCTCGTAGCTGGTCCGGAAGGGGATCTCATCATCAACATGCTCTCGGCGGCTGCCATAGTCGGGATGTTCGCGGCGATAGAGTGGTTCCCGGCGGTCGTAATCTGGAGAGTGCCGTCGGTCAAATGCCGGTCGCCGATCGTCCCACCTGTCATGGTCTCGTCTAGAGCTGTACCCATCATCCCAATCCCGACGCTGCTGGTGGTCGTCTTCTTCTCGCCTGTATCGCCGGCGATCATCAAACCTGTCGTCACGGCGATCGTCAAACCTGTCGTCACGGCGACCGTCAAACCTGTCGTCACGGCGATCGTCAAACCTGTCGTCACGTCGGTGGTCAGGCCTGTCGTCACGGCGACCGTCAAACCTGTCGTCACGGCGACCGTCAGACCTGTCGTCACGGCGATCGTCAAACCTGTTATCACGGCGATCGCCAAACCTATCACGGCGATCGTCATATCGTCCATCCTCCCGAGCTCGGTGACGGGGCCTCCGTCGACCATCTGGAATGTGGCATGAATCAAGCAAACACCAGAGAGCAATATTCGGCTTTATGTACGATGTGTACGTGAATCGACCACATATGATCGATTCATGATCGATATGTAAAACCTTCGTAACTCCATCATTTCTTGTTGAAATTCAACCATCAAAGGGGCTATGTGGTAGCGGAAACTCCAAGCTTTCCAATGCAACAATCGCCGAAGAGCTACGATGTCCGAATCCAAAGATATAGCGTGTCGTATTCTTATCACGGCAAATTCAAATTTTTGATCGATCTCTTCGCCATTTTAGGGGAAAATCTCTTTTCGTGTCCTCTTTGACCAACTGAGCACATGATAATGATGTAGTTGGCTGAAGTTCGAATCGCCTCAAAAAGATTTGAGCGTTCTGCGATAGAGGAGAGTGGAATGGCGTAGATGGGGGAATTTGCTCGCATATCGGGCTTGGAGACGACTTTGCTGTGTTCCCGCGCCTGATTCGTGGCAGCTTGTTGATGGAGCCGAGTATCCTAGCGTTGCTCTCGCCAGAAGCTTTCCAAAGAGCCCAAGATAGTGGAAATGGAGTGAAGGAGGCCAAAGGTATAGCTTGTTGAAGGTGAAAATTGTATATGAACTCTGAAACCAACAAAGGTGGCAGGTACAACCAAGAGTACATAACCCCCCCCCCCCCAGAGTGTGCAACGCCTGATCCAGCTCTGCATAGGGTCTTGGTCGAGCGTAATCGGATCTTTGCGTCATAATACCGTACACATCTGAGGGGAACCCGGGGAGTCGCGGTGACTCTCGGATCAAAAACAACGACGCCCTGCCTCGAGACCGGACTTGTGCTGGTGTGGAGTGTACGCATGACATCAGAAGATCCGATTACGCTCGACCAAGACCCTATGCAGAGCTGGATCAGGCGTTGCACACTCTGGGGGGGGGGGGGGGGGTATGTACTCTTGGTAGAGGCGACGGTTCGATACCAGAACGGGTTGACAGCAAAATTGTGTAGACCCAAACCGATCATCAGCGTGGATTGTTCACTCGAAACATGTTTGCGGAAGGAAGCTGGCATGTTGAAGTTTGCTTTGAGGCCAGAGTCGATCGATTTGAGCCACTCCTTTGTGTTGGCCCGTTGCCTCCAAGTTGCCCTCAATTTTTTGGTGTTTACAGAAGTGGCTCCAAACCGGAAAGGTTTTGGAGTGCAAGTCAAGTTCACTCCGGGTTCTGAAATTAGGTAATTGCTATCTCTCCACGACGGCCAGTACAGAGAAACAATAAGCCTCGTGTGTGCTTCCATTAGTTTTCATTGGTATACGGTGCTTTATTGGCGAGAGGCGAGCCGCTGTTACCTGCGACAAGAAGTTGATTTTTCGAAAGACGTAAAACTCAAGTCGCAGTGGGAAGCAACATGTCAAAAACTCAAATGCTTGGTATGGCGCTTCTGGTCATCGCAGAGCCATGGAATTTTGGCGCTGAGTAAACACATCGCAGTCTCCCTGTGACATACGTTTTCTAATCAAAATACCAAGAGATAAAGTGAATATTGAGACCGTTCCGGTTTGCAACCTATTTCCTATTTGAAACCGTCTCCTGTACAACATTAGAGAGGTTGCGCACAACGAAAAAGACCGTCCGGGTTCGAGTAACGAAAGTTGCTACGAAGACCCGTCCAAACCCGACCGAAACAGAGCAGATCTACGAAAATATTTTTTGTTACCTGGAGTACTAAAATACTGATATTTTACAACTCCCTGTCTTGACTCTTCGCACCCGCGCGGCCGCCGCGTCGACCCACTACGAAAAAGTTCGCGCGTTGTGCGCAACCTCACGGTTTACGGATATTCGTTAGCTTTTTTCGTTAAAAAATTCGTTACGGTGTTACGAATTCCCCCCCACATAAACACACACACCTGCATGCTGAAACTGACCTGCCCGATGATCACGGTCGCTGCTGCTATTCTTGGCTGATGGACCAGAACCTGGCGGATGGGGAGGGTGACGGCACCTCTCCAAATTTAGCCGCCTGCCGCGGTACATCTACAGGGGTCACAATAGAATGGATAGATGAAGATGACAGTGATGGCATCCATGCTTAGTTCTGACATTACTAAAATGACCTAGGGTTCAGCGGTTTCACATTATTCAATGGCATGATCATGGCCAATATTAGAAGAAGAAGAAAACATTGCAGCCAGTAAAACATTGTAAAACATTGCAGCCAGTCGCAGCAATCATGCTGAAAGACAGTGCAAATACATCGGGAGCAGTAAGCTCAAGTAAAAATGATGCCGATTAGTAGCGATTACACTGTGTGCATGCATCTGACACTTCTCAACACTGCCCAGGTAAATTTGTATTATCCGCTTTGCTACAAACCTCTTCGTGCTTTAAGAGCGCACTCCTGAGGTCTTCTTCCGTCTTGAACTCTAGAAAACCATACCCTGCATACAGGGTTACGAGAAAAGGACACAGGTGGAAACGAAAAAAGAAGAGTGAGACCAAGTTACGGTACTGCTCTTCCGCTTGTCTGCTTCTACTGCAGACAAGTGGGCGCATGACTTACTTCAACTACATGACTGAATGTGTAGAAAAAACAGTTCACAACAGGATTTGTATGCACTTGTACACTAATACTTGCTTGAAGTACACAACATTGCTTTCGAATAAACTTACTAGTACTCCTAATCACCCACCCCACATTGACTACTGTATCATGCAGCTGTAACAATCAGTCATACTACAGGTAATTGTAGTTACACATAGACATGTTTTTTACCGGTAGAAAAGAAGTTACAAAACGTTACACAGATTCACCGCTAAAGATATTCACAAGCGCAAGAGGAGTGCAGGCCATGTGACCATCGGAACATGCAAGAAAAGCGCTGCCTAGTTCCAGCACAAACTAATTACAGCTCAACTCTTAGACAAGTTCTCAAATACCGGTACATTAAGAAAAAGAAAAGAAAAAAAGAGGAAGAAGACAAGCATTCCAGTCTGTATACATTGCAGGAGGGTTCCACAGTACACAAAGAATTCCAATCAGGGGTTGCAGATCACTGATCAAGATACAATGTACTGGTATAATTATAATACTTTGTATCCACTGGGAAGACATGGATTTGTTGAAACTCATAACACATGTGCATGTATACGTTTGGCCTCGGCAGGTGATATTTCTGACACCTGACTGCCTAAAGCTTACATGCACCGTTCGCACCATCTGCAGGCCGTGGGAAAACACCCCCGTGTGTTAGTGTAGGTCTGTGTAAGTGGAAAGCAGGTAGTATGCATTACAGCAAAGTGGCCGCCTACCTTTCATTCTATCAGTGTCACGGTTTTTAATCAGTCTGACCTCCTTCACCTAGAGTATAGAGGGAACATGCCAATAGGTACCGGACCCATTATGTGCAATTCAGAATTGGATCTTCAACTCATCAATATCAATCAAGAAAGGAAATGAAGAATAAGTCTGTCCCCCGCTGATAACGTGGCTGCATTTTTTTTCCATCATCGCCTTTTACTAGCATTCTTACACAAGTTCCGTGCTGAGCTCGCATAATCTTTAATTGTTTTGACCGCAGGGCACAGCAATATTGTTCAATGATTGGCGCTCCACGTTTTCAGTCGACGTTTGCTAATGAAACAGTAAGTAGCTGCTGGTAGGCAGGCCTACAACATTGAAGGATGCAAAAGTTTAGAGTGCCCCACCAGGCGCCCAGCTAGCGCCACCTGCCGGTGCACTTCTGACAAAATGCTAGCGCGTGCTTACAGTGCACTTCCCTGCATTTATACGAGCATATGCATAGCATGATTCGCTGTTTTGACCGCATTTATACTAGTATTATGCGCATAATTTAAGAAACGTGTCAGTGCAAATCACAGGGGATAGATATATGCGCTCATCCCAAGCTCACAGTGGAATCCGGCTTGACAAATTCAAACGATCTTGCGACATTCACCAGGAGTCGTCACAAGGGAGTAGTAAAAATACTACTCCCTGGTCGTCACCACGACCATCAGCAAACACAACTGAAGATTCCTGATAAAAGTCGCAAGAAGCCCTGCTTGAATTCGTACCTGCTTCGACTGAGGGGAATGGTATGAATAAGAGCTGTCTACATGAAAGTATTTGTAGCTACAAGACAGCTTAGGGGAGCAGCTGGCTGAGCATTTCTTTCCGAAAATATCACTTCCCCTTACAAAGAAAATCAAATAATACAAGATAGTAAAGGGCCAAAAGTGAAGAAAATAAGCTGCATTAATACAGATGGGGAGAAGATGCTACAATTTGTAGGTACTCACACCCAGCAGCCCAACCTCTGCAGGCAGAAGCAGAACATTGCCCTGCTGTATTTGTTAAAAAGTCACACCTTTTATTATTGGGGGCCGTTTCGATGCTCGCTAGTCTTCTACTATTCGCAGATGTTGAACCAGACACAACTGTGACCTATTTGCATTGTGTGTGTGTGTGTGTGTGTTTGTGTGTTTGTAAAACCGTTAATGTATTGCTTCCTTTTTGTTAGTCTCTTTATGGGAGCGGTGTGAATTGCCCTTGTGATTTGTTGTGGTGTTCGAATTTTCACTGCATTCTTTCAGGGATCGAGGGAAGTTTCCTGCATGCATGCTGGAATGTTTTGATTGATTGAGCTAATTGCAATACAGCATTTGAATTATTCAGTACAGTTTGCCACAGTAAGTCGTGAAAAGCCACGACTCACTGGTTTCCTACAAAGGTTAGAAGAACTGCAGACAGCAGTGCACTGCACATGTACATGTTGTACATGCATGCGCTGTACTATACCGAAAAAGAAGAAAAAAAAAGAATCAAGATGAACTGTACTGGATTCGAACTCTGCCGGGCACCATACACGTGATGAGCTTTCCTGGCTAAAACTTCCGTTACAAAAATCAAAATCCACTGAAAACCATTTAAAAACGGATTTTCAGCACAAACCTGGCCGAATATCTAACATTGCCAATCATTATTATTCCGACTCCCAAACTTAGTTTTCTTCGATCCAAGACCCACACAAACGCAGCTGTAAAGAAAAAATTTCGAATTTGGAACGAGAACAAACTAAAAAATCAAAATCGACAAATGTCTGTTTAAAAAAACGCACTGTTAGTCCATCAGCCAGTGGTGCCAAAGTGAGTCCCCTGTTGCACTTACAAATCGAACACCTGGAACTGACATCAATCGACAGCAAAAGCATCACTGAATCCGACCTGCCTACTTTCCCTTGCGAAACTCTTGCACTCCTTTTGCAGTGCGCCTTGGAAGTTCGACAAATTTCTTCTTCTTCATCAGCCATTACGAGGTTTTCCATCCGTTTTATCAGGACATCCAATGCGTCTTCAGTGAAAAACGTGGAGTTTTGTCCACGTTTGGTGTGGCTTTCCGTGGCGATCGACCTAAAATCGCGAAATAAATCGCCGTCGATTTGAGCAGAGGTGAGTTGGCTTGGAGCACGTACAGATTCAAAAAATATGTGTACATGCGCACCGGGAAGAAGATGAAGATGCTCACCATTTTCAAATAACTAATTCAAAAAACTACATGACTATTGTAGTTACGTGTTTGCAACTACAACGGTATCAAGTAGATAATCAAGCGAGGTACAGAGGGATTGATGGCTGATCAAAGCCCAAGGGACCAGCCCGAGGGCTTTGATCAGTCATCAAGCCCGACTGTACCTCGCTTGAATATGCTTCAGACGATCCCCAACAATTTTTTGGATTTTGAATTCAATCGCTTTATTCTTTGGGTCATCTCGAGTGTGGTAGATAGTACTTCGAAGTAGTACAACTGTAACTGTACTACTACCTGGTTGCAACATGTTCAAAGCAGCCTTGCCTTTATTTCAACTGCTTGCTGTCAGCATCCAGAGCCATGGCGTTTGCTAGTTGGTCGTAATGGAGAAGAGAACTGCAGGGCATTCACTCGATGTACAACATCCATCGCCGCAGATTCCTTACTTTTAGCTCTTCACGTTCCTTATTTTTCCAGGGATCAGGACCTTCCCGGGGTGATTCCATTCAGGGTGGAAGCGTAGATCACTTTTGCCAAACAGTAAAAACTACGCTTCAAACCTGCTTGACATGACTCGGGGTGCATACTTCGGAAACCCGAAGGTGGATGATGTTCAATACTAGCTCATTGTAAACTTCCTGAAGGTATGTATTCGGATGCTCATTTAAATAGAACAGTGAAAGAGATGTGTAATGGAACAACACTCTACAAGTAGGCGAACAACAATTTTATTGTAATTTTGAATCCAGGCACACGTGTAATACGGAAACTGCAATGGTTTACACTGCAAATCTTCTCGATTTGCAAGATTTTTCCCGTAATTCACAAAAATCTGAAACTGAGTGTGAGTTCATTCCTGAAACGCGCATGGCACTGATTGGAGATAGGGTTTAGGTCACAACAATGGCTGTCGATGAAATGCCAAAAATGGTCACTTTGTCGGCTTCCCCCTGCAGAGCGTGCAAGTCGTTTACTCTTTTTATTTGCGGATTCGGTGTACAGGGTACCTAAACTCCCCATTGAGGCCAAAATCAAGTATTCGATTTCTAAGTGCAACAGGGTGCTTGAATTTGACGACTTCTGAGTTCTTGGCTGATGGACTATGTAGTGTTGTGAGCCTTGAATCGAAGAGTTGTGCCCGCGGTTCAAAGAGTCTGTATTGTTCGCCAATCGAGCAGCGTCCAAAATATGCCATGTTCGCACCAAAAATCGCTGTGTTGCAGCCCGCTGGAGTCCAAGCGAGTCGCCATGGAACAACATTTAGAGCACTCACATCACTATTCTCCATTTTGACGACTCTGCTCTCCAGAGATCTGATAATTATATCGGTCCCGTCTGCAATAGTTGCTTCTTCTTCATTTGTCGCAGATGCGGCAGCGCTCACTCTTGACCGGCCTGCGCGGCCATTTCTTCAGCAGAACACCGAGGTTCTCAGCCCCAGACTGAACTCATGAAGGTCAGCCATGGCTGCATCCTCACTCTCACATGCAGTTACGTCTTCGGGGCCGTTCATACTACCTACTATCGGTCGCCAAATCATTTCAAATAGACATATTAAGCACTAATGCTTTCATGCACTCCGTTCGACCTAGCCGCACGCTATGACGTTGCAGAGAGTGTGCCGCGGCCGCATGACGGCATGGTGCAGTCCCCGAGATTCGCAAAGTCAAAATCGATATCTCTCTTGAACGATTAGTCTGTGTGTTTCAGAAATGCAATTAGAGTGACCACAGTGGTACACTGCTGTAACGGTAGTCAAATAATGAAATAGGATTCATACCGTGACTGGGTCCATCAGTTCCCTAACGTCAGCATCCGACACATCAAAGGGCAGATTGCCTATGTATGCTGTCAGCGATGTCTGGTCCTCGTCATCCATAGCTGGAATACAGGATATCACGTGTTCCCACAATTTGCTACTACAGTCACTGTAGACGCGTAGACTGTCTGTAGACTATACTGGTACCGGTATACCATGTACAAGGGCTAGATAAATACAGTCAATTGCTAAAATTGCCCACCTTCCCAAGAAAGGAAGCACAGGTAAAAAAAATATTAGAAAAAAACCTATGAAACTGGGTGTTGGCAAGACCTCACAAACTTGTCTCAAAGTGGAAAAAGTACTTGAAAAGCTGACATGAGTCAATCAGTGTGCTCGGCCATTGAATGTACTCTGGCCCTAGCGCTACATGCAAACTAGTAATAGAGTGTTGACAAAGTATAAAAATAATTGACTTCAACATTGACAACAATGTCCAGCTGGCCAGTACAGTGCAGTGCTACGTGGATGCCAAAAAAATATTTTTTAAATTTGTCCGTGCATGCACATGATGCATGATGCACGATGTGACCTGACCCAAAAAAACAAAAACAAAACAAAGCTGAGAGAGGCGCGGCCGCGCCGGCGCCGGCGACACTCGACTCCCATACATGTAGCGCACGTGCGCATGCAGCTAGCGAGAGCCGTAGATTTGTGTGTCTAGGCGCTAGGCCCGCTCCGGCGATCGATCGCCACTACATGTACAGTAGCCGCTAGCACACCCACGAGTCACGACGTCGTATGCGTACGATCTCTACGTTGTTACAATGTCATTAGGGAGGTTCTGCTATATATACGTGAAACCAGGGAGTCGTAAAATATATAGGTATTTTACGACTCCCTAAAAATATATAGGTATTTTACGACTCCCTGCGTGAAACGTAGAGAAATCACGTAGAGAGCAGGTGTCTGGGTTAGAGTCTACGGCTTCGCGTGTTTTGGCTCCAGATTTCTACGCGGAGATTAGATTTAGATGGGGTTCTCTACGTTGTGGCACACGCAGAGAAAATGCGTACAGATTTGCTGGGTATCGATCAACTGCATGCAGAAAACTGCCAAATATGGAAGGGGAAATTCCCAGTACACATTCCACGTGACTTCTCTAGGTGAAACGTAGAGCAGAACAGCATTTCTTTACGTTACGGGAACGCGAAGAAAGTTCGCGTGATTCTTTGCGTCGCGTTCCCAAAACGTAGAGCAGAACCTCCCTAATGATTATGTACAACTCGTGGCATGGCACTGACTTGGCATTGGATACGGTTGTTCGAAGTACATGACTGTATACAAAGATGAAAGTCGCAAGACAGATCAGCTGCAGAGTGTGTGCATGCTTGACCAGTCAAACACAAAAGACGTTTTGAGTATTATTTTGGTGGGTGTTTCGCGGCCTCCTCAGTGACTTGACTTACTCTTCTTGCCATAGCGCATAATTTTCTTGTGCTGTGAAGAAGAAGTCCTGTTTAGTCTTGTCGCGATGGCGTCGCCTGGAAGCAGCCCCGGTTCCACACCTATGATGGAGCTGACTGGAGCCCCTAATGTGGCCCATATATTTGTAGTTTTCGGTGCATCTGTGAGTTTTTTTTTGTATTTGTCTGATACATGTAATGGTGCGCCATCTGGCTACTTGAAATTGTCTAACTAAATTTTGATTGTTTGTCCGTGTTTCTGCAGGGAGACCTTGCCAAGCGTAAGATCTACCCCTGCCTTTGGTAAGAGCAATTCACGAAAAGTTGATTTTTTGAATTTCACGTGTTCGTACCCGTACTACTGGTAATCAATAGTGTTCTTCTTCACGTGTTTACTTTTTTTGAAAAGGCTTCTGTATCGCGATGGTCTCCTGCCTCCTGGAACCAAGTTCCTCGGTTATGCTCGGTCTGTCATGACCACAGAAGACCTGCGGGCTCGCATCACTCCGTTTCTCAAGGTCAGCGACAAAGACAATTTCGAACTGGCTTTACATTGTACTCACTGTACTAGTCCCCAGTGCTACTAATTAAACAAGAAGAGTGTATCCCATTGCCACCACCATTACATCACCAAGTGCTCATCACATTACATGACAGTGTGGTTACGGCCATAAGTGTGTCCCCATGTGCAAGTTTTGAGCACATGAACACACGCTTAAACTGCCTGCTTGAAGGAAATATTAAGTTAGCCCTGCATGACCTTGTATTTGCAGCATGGGTGGTGTGCTTGGAGTAGCACTGGAGTGCAGTACCATATCCTAGGAGTACGGCCGAATATGGTGCCGATCGGCGATCATATTACTAGCTGCTGCTGTTGTGGATGTAGAAATCCGTTGAGAAGTCAAGCGGCCACGGGGCGCTGGCCTGCCGAGAGCACTGCTGGTCCATTTTTACAGTGCGTGCATGAACTGCAGCACATGTACGCGCTGGAAGGCAGTAAGGGCACCGGTCCCGGTCATCCCATCGGATTTCAATGTTCTCAGCAGTACTCTAGTTGTATGCTAGTGTTAGCCTCATATTGTTCAGGGGCTTTCCCTATGCGTTTCACTGCTCAGTATGGGATAGTCAACGGAGTCATATTTGGCGAGTTTAAACGTGTGTGTGTGTGTGTGTGTATTCATAGGTTGGCTCTGGTGATCAGGAGATGAAGGAGAACTTCCTGAAAACGTGCACGTACATGCCAGGATCCTACACGGATGGCGCCGCTTTTGAAAAGCTCAATGCCGAGATGTCTCGCCTGGAGGACGAGATGGCGCCAGAGCAGCCGGCAAACCGCATCTTCTATTTGGCATTGCCGCCACAGATCTTCATGGCTGTCACTGCCAATGTGAAGAAGGCCTGCATGTCCACGACGTGAGTTCCATTTTTCTGCATGGCGAGGTGTTATTTTTCACTTCACAGTTCACACTGCCGCAACAGAAATTGACGCATACATCAACCATGTGCGTCATGCCCTACCTCCCCCCCCCCCCCCCTTTCAGTCCCTCAGACTTATGCAGGGCCGGCGGAGCCGCTCCGGTCGGTCCGGCCATGGCCGGACCAACTTTTCGGCCACCGACGATTTTTTCACGACGCAGTAACGTTACGTTATGACTGTTGTGATCATCGATTGCATGTGCGCGTACTTGCGATCTCGCTCTGATCTTGCCGTGCACGTGTGCGCGCTTGAGGGCTATCTGTGGCCTGTTTGTGGGCGGCGCCTAGCTGTGGCGCGACCTGAAAGCACGTGCCATGATGGATTCTACATTGTAACCAAACAGCGAGAAAAATTTGAAAAACTACTTCGTTCAGTAAAAGAATCTGAAGCACTCGACGAAAAACCCTCAAGACTACAAAATTAATTATTAATTTTGTAGTCTTGAGGGTTTTTCGTCGAGTGCTACAGATTCTTTTACTGAACGAAGTAGTTTTTCAATTTTTTCTCGCTTTTTGGTCAGCTTAGCTGCAGTGCGTGCTTAGCAGCTATGGCTTCTTCCAGCAAAATATCTGTGCCAGAAGTGCCAGTCCACCCAACCACTTCCTTCGCGTTTCTTCGGCGGGAATTTGGGAAAAAGACAGTGGTGAAGCGCTCTTGTCAGGCGTCATATTTATTTCAAGACATGGTCTTGGTTGACCTACGATCAAAGCAAAGAGACGTTGTGTTGCGTCACACGTGCGCAAATGCTGTGCTGGCGAAAAAACTCGGCCGGACCAATCAACCATTGCTTCCGCCGGGCCTGTTATGAGCATACATCATTATTCGCAACTGTTGTTATTGACCTGTTCTCGCTTTGCTGCAGCTTACTTTCCTGTTCTCGCTTAATAATTTGCTGCATTACCTTGTGCTTGCAGTGGGTACAACCGTGTGATTGTAGAGAAGCCGTTTGGCATGGACTCTTCCAGCTCTGCTGTCCTATCAAACCACTTGAGCAGCTTGTTCGTCGAGGATCAAATCTATCGAATTGACCACTACCTTGGCAAGGAAATGGTACAAAACCTACTGGTTCTAAGGTGAGCAAGGAATGTACAAGTACATAAGAGACTGAGTACCGTATTTTACCGGTTGTAAGTCGACCCCGGTTATAGGTCGACCCCCGTACCCGAGGTCTCATTTCTGCGTTTTAAAGTTTTCACCCAACGAAGCACTACCAACCACTCCCTGCTACTAACACATCAACAAATCATGTAAACATTCCTTATTGGAGGGTATAACGTCCCAATCCTTGAAAAAGGCCAATAAACTGGCAAACATGTGTACACATGGTGCACTCATGCATGCAGGGCAGATCATTTTGTGTAAGATTCTGATAGTTCCCGGTTATAAGTCGAATCCCGGTTGTAAGTCGACCCCCACCCTTTCTCCTTCTATTTTTAGTCGTAAAAGGTCGACTTACAACCGGGAAAATACGGTATGTATGTGTTAGTGTGGGTGCAAGTGTGTGTGTAAGTGTGTGTGTGTGTGTGTGTGTAAGTGTGTGTGTGTGTGTGTGTGTGTGTGTGTGTGTGTGTGTGTGTGTGTGTGTGTGTGTGTGTGTGTGTGTGTGTGTGTGTGTGTGTGTGTGTGTGTGGTGTAAGTGCGTGTGCCTTTTTGATATCTGGACGCTGAGTCGAACACCAATGGTGTTGGCCCGAGTAAGCTCCATTTGTCCTATACTCCGAAGAGTGCTAGATAGGGAGTTGTACTAAAATTTCACTGGATGCATCACTTTTAATAGGGCAACCTCACAGGCCTAAGGCCTTATAATTATAGGATGCTTTTTGTATAGATGAGCAGAAATCTGAAAGTGTGGAGTGGAAGACGAACAGGAGCAAGGAGCGAATTCCAGCGATCTGAGCCTAAGAAGCTCAATGCATACGTGTATATATCTAGTCATCCATAAGGGGCCATCCGGCATTATTGATAATTTTCATGCAATGAAAAAGTTTAGGCATGAGTCGTATGCCCCCTGAACGAAAAATATATTGACTTGACATCTAGAATGGATTGATGTTTCAGAGATCAATCATTAAAAAAAGAAAAAGAAACTCCCCTTGACCCACCAACCCATAAAAATGAAACTTTGGCACGCTTGTGTGTGTGTTTTTTATGTAAACAAGCGTTTCGGAAACAGCAACTATGATCTAAAGGGGACAGGGGGGATTGGGTCAAAATTAAATGTGTTTCGGACTGCCCCTAGCCATAGCGGTTATTGGGCTGGGGAAGAGCAAGACACAGAGAATCTTGCAAGCGGGTGCATGACGCCATTCATCTGGTATTGACTCTAGTAACAAAGTGGAATGATTTTGGTTCGGCGTGAAACTCCGAGTAACGACAAATAACACGTTCCTTTTTTGTTCACTGTGTCTTTCCAGCTCTGCACAATGAGTGTAGAGGCACTATGTTTGAGATATTACTCTTCTCGTGGCCAAGAAGCGTGTTTTTGTCTGTGTTTCCATCGATGTCAACTTTTGTGTGTGTGTGTGTGTGTGTGTTTGTGCATGTGTGCTTGTGTTTGTTTGTGTGCGTGTGTGTGTATGCATGTGTGTGTGTGTGTGTGCGTGTGTGTTTGTGTATGTGTCCGTTGTCTCCTCTTATTGCCACTTAGGTTTGCCAACACTGTGTTCACGCCAGCCTGGAGCCGCAGTGCCATCCAGAGTGTCATGATCACGTTCAAGGAGCCATTTGGCCTGCGCGGCAGAGCGTCCTACTTCCACGACGTCGGCATCATCCGGTAAGCGGCCTTTTCTTTATAGTTTGTTGAGGACGTTGAGATCCAGTGGAACGTCCGGGACCGGTGCCCTTAGTGCGTACACGCGTACCGTAGGTCACAAGCATGCCAGTCACATGAATGTGTACTGCATGTGTACTGCATGTGTACTCACGGCTGCAAGGCCAGTACCCCGTGACCGCTTGACGGTTCACCGGATTTCAATGCCCACAGCAGTAGCTTGTTGCCACTCACGGTGTCATTGCCGCCAACTTGAAAGGGATGATGAATCAGATGTGTTTCATTGCGTTATGTAACTTATGTTCTATGGTCTATACGGTCTCTATGGTCGACACAACAACAACAACAACAACACTAACATGCTGCGTGTTGCTTTTGCTGTTGACAGTGATGTCATGCAGAATCACTTGCTTCAATTGCTCTGTCTAATTGCTATGGAGAAACCTGCCTCCACAAGTCCTGATGATATCCGCGATGAAAAGGTAAGGACATACCGGTACTCTACATCACAATGAACTCTGTTAACACGTTGGGGCCCAAGTTACGTATCAGCATGTGTACTATTTACAATAATAGTGGTAAGATTGAATACATGTACATCCATACTACCTCACCAAACAAGCAAACATTGGCCTTTCATTAGGCGACTGGTCCGCTTTTGGGGTAAGAATTACTTGACAGCGCAAGTAATACATGTATGTGAACTGAGTGTGAGATGCGGTGCCGTGATGACCTGGGGTAGCGCAGCTCCGTCTCCTAATGGTGTCTTGTATCTGGTACAATCATATCTCTACTTACTCTCTTGCAACTAGAAATGATTTGCTTATGTAGACTCTGCTCTCTTGTGTGTACGACTGTGTTCGGCTTGTCTACGCTCAGGTCAAGGTGCTGAAGTGCATGTCGCCAATCACGCCGGACGAGGTCGTCACAGGGCAGTATGTGGCGGATCCGAATGGCGAGGGCGAGTCCGCTGTCGGATTCCGCGAGGACCCTGGCTGCCCGCCGGATTCTAAACAGTGCACTTATGCGGCTGCCGTCGGCTGGGTCAGGAACGAACGATGGGATGGTGAGGGGCGAAATGATTGCGTTCTGTTGTGAGGCTTTGTTGCTGGTATTTTTAGGGATGTAAACACAGCACTACAGTAGGGCAATGCCAGTTCGTTGCAACTCTGAATTTCATACTCAGTGCAATCATCAGGCAGAGCGTGTTCAGCAGAATTAGCCGAGCACTGTCAGCACACTCTATGCATCCTTTTGTGTAGAGATGTTCACAATTATTTCATTATCTGAACGAATTCAATCACAGCACTTCTCTAGAGTGGTGGACAGGGAGTTTCAAAGTCAAAGATTAAAAAAAAAAACACTATGCCTTGTACATGAATGTGCCAATACGGTACATGTACAGTGTACATGTACCGTATTTTTCGGAGTATAGTGCGCACCTTTGTATAACGCGCACCCCGAATCTTCATTGGGGGTGCGAACTTCAATCTTCATTGAAGTACATGCATTTCATATTCGGAGCATAGTGCGCACCTGCGATTTAGGGCCTTAAATAGCACATCTAAAGTGCGCACTATACTCCGGAAAATACGGTACTCAGATTGCGACAATGACACCTTAGCACCGCTATAGGAGACACCCCAATCTCTGGCAGCAGTGTCTGGACAATGGCAGAGGAGCACTATCACATCATGGAGAGTAATGTTGAAACGAATAATCGAATAATTTAGAATATTCGTGGGGTGAACGAATAATCGAATAGTCGTAGGAATTATCAGAAATCGAAAAAAACAAAAAAACAAAAAACAAAAAAAACATCTATGCTCAGTGCTGACCCTAGTACCCTACTGATATTTGCACTGCGTAGATCTGCTCGTAGTATTTCTTCTCAATCACTTCTCCTCGAAGGTTTTTTTAATCTCCTATCGGTATCTAGTAATACATGTACTTCTGTTCTTTCCATACGAGGGAAACATGGATGCAGTGAATGTGATTTTCGGTCTTTGACCACTTTCGACCAAGACCCTATGCAGAACTGGATCAGGCGTTTCACACTCTGGGGGGTTATGTACTCTTGGCGGTACAGGTTAACCGGTTTGGCACCTCCACATAACAAAATCCGATAATCAGCAAAAAAATATTTAAAAAACTACTGAAAAAGTGCTGAAAAAGTGTTGAAATATGCCATCATGCGTATGATAGAATATAGATTATTCGTTCGATGGAGGGCGAAATTATTCGATAGATTATTCGTTCGAAGAATCCGTGTTCGGTTTAAACACTAATGGAGAGGCATTTATTTCTTATCCGAAATGCGTTACCCATATATGGGAAATATAATTATTTTCCGTTCCACGAATTGATATTCGGGTGAAATTCCGTTCATGGAAATTGAAATTTATTGGATCTTTAGTATTTTCAGTCCATCATTGTGTGTGTGTGTTGTTGTTGTTGGTGTTGGTGTTGGTGTTGTTGTTGTTGTTGTTGTTGTTGTTTCCTTTTCTCAGGTGTTCCCTTTATTCTGAAGTGTGGTAAAGGTGAGTGCTGGTGTATGGGCTTAGCTATACCATGAGTCACTGTCACTTTAGTAGGTATCACAGCCGCCATTGTCTCTGTTCTTGCAAATAGTGGTCCCCGCTACTTCGTATGCATGGCGAAGATCATCATCTACTTCAGTGTTTCCGTCCCCTCCGTTGACAGTGTACTCACTTGGCAGACTTGCTGTAGAATCCACCACTTGAACAATTTTGGTGTCCTGTATTCCCCATCATGACTGTACTTTGGGTCTTGTGCATTTTTTCCAATCGAGCTTTAGCTTCCTGCTATTCCTTTTTTTCTTCTTCTGTTTCAGCACTTGATGAGCGCAAGGCTGAGATCCGGATTCAGTTCAGGCCGGTGGCTGGTGATATCTTTGGCGGCCGCTGCCAGCGGAATGAGTTTGTCATTCGTGTGCAGCCCAAGGAGGTGGGATATGCTCTCTCTCTTTTCTTTCTTTTTTAAGACTTGCAGCGTTTGTAACAACATTTTTTCGCTTGTGTTGAAAATTGGAAAATATTTCCATTGCACCATTGTCAATAATTATTGTGTTTGCATGGCAGTTGCATCAAGTTAGTTACCAGTCCTTTCACATTTGTTTTAAGAGCAAGCTATCTTGTTGTTCTGTGCTTGTTGTCAGGCTGTGTACATGAAGATGATGGTGAAGCGGCCGGGCCGTGACACTGGCATGTTCGAATCAGAAATGGACCTCTCATACCATCTTCGGTACAAGGTACGGTATGTTTTATGGTGACGAAGGGCAATCATTAGCTGTCGCCTTTTCCAGTAATCCTTTTGCTTCAATAGATGTTACTGTAGCCATGTGGCCTTACGGATTGTGTAACATGTATGTGTGTGTTTGAGCAACTCGCCAACGTTGAGCTGGTCATGTTGTCTTCTGTGTCATGTTCTTCTCCTTCAGGATCTGAACTTGCCTGATGCCTACGAGAAGCTGATCCAGGACGTGTTCCTCGGAAATCAGATGAACTTTGTGCGCAGGTACGATTGTCATCCCTTTTCTTCTCTTTGGGTTTTTATGTGTGTGCCATGTCCTGTTGTGGTACGTATGCCAGCTGCTGCATGAACACCATGGTGTGCATTTCTTCTTCTTTTGTTGTAAATACTCTTGTTGTAAATATTCAGTAGCAGGAAGAGGTCGGTACCTCTGTTAGGCGTGTACGCGATTTGGCTCTCCTAGAGGTCAGTTGCAACTAACAAAGACAGAAAAAGGCTGAAAGCAACTGCATAGCCTGCTGTGTGTGGATATGCGTGGTAGCCGAGTATGAGCACCACAGGTCCACCGCCAAGTGCAGTGCAAAGCTAGTCGCTTGTCAAGTGCGTGTTGCATGTGTGCAGCAGGGGAGGATGAGACGAGTCTCAGTATTGGTTTGTATGCCTGTGTTGTTCTGCTTATTCTGTGTGTTGTAGTGATGAGCTGGCCGAGGCATGGCGTGTGTTCACTCCCTTGCTGCATCACATCGAAGGCCACCAGATTGAGCCAATCAAGTACCAGTTTGGAGTGTAAGTAGCTTATGAATGCTTCCTTTAGGTAGTTCTAATCTAGTTCTATAGGTCAAGATTCCTATCGTTGTGACAGGTCTTTTATTGTATGCATGTAGGATGATAATGAAGTATTTTTAATGCACGCAAAGGCGCTGGAGAGTTTGCACACCATGTCTGTCTCGTGTACTACATGTCCTGGGCTGTGCCTAGGTTCATGCGGACATAAAGAAGCACATGTGGAGTCGGTTTTTCTGACCGTTTTGACTGGTTGCCTGCTTCGTGTCTGATTTCCTGTATCTGTGCACGCATACTCTCGCTCACATTCCAATGCTAACGTATAGTTATGTGCTATTGGCTGCTACTGTTCACAGACGCGGTTTGCCCGAAGCTGACACTCTGGCTGCTAAAGTCGGCCACCATTACAGTGGTACATACTCATGGAGTACGCCACACCTGTGAACGGCGGCAATCCTGTATTCCTCCTCGCGAGGAGAGTCTCTTGTCCAGGACCCCGCCCGGTTAGGCATCTTAGATCGGAGATGCAAGTGCACGACGAAGGACTGGTCATTCGTTTCCTTAGCTTGATGTTTTGTTTTCGTCCCTAGGTTGTCAACGTAGCCCAGTAGTATGTGCACACGTCATGTGTACATGTGTACATGTGTGTACAAGTAGACGTAAACATTGTGCTGCCCGTGATACATGCCGGGCAGCATGACCGTACACCAGCTGAAGTAATCCTGATCAATGACGTCATGACATACCAGTTGGTCTTCTCTCTGATACTCTGAAACCGGCACTTAGACTTGATAGTGTAGATGTCCTGCACTGCCCGACGACTACTGGCGGCCATTGTCATGTACCGCACCCACCAGACTACCCGACAATCGCGTGGCGTGTTCCTATCTCGCCACCTGTGCTTATGTAGGGCATGATGATGATGATGGTGAGTGCATGTTTTCTATGCGAATCCCATGCGCATAATATATAACTTTGAAGCTTGGAAAAATCATACTCTAAAGCACTCTGTAGCGCCCCATGCTATTTTCTGTCTTGCCTTTGACAACTGTTAGACTTCTTCCTGACAAAAGAGTTTTTAAAGGTTTTTATTCGGCTTTCTTGTCCCTCATAGAACAATTCCATCACCAGTCTTTATTTCTACACATCTTGGCCAATAGCTTTTCTATTGTTATTTTGAACTCTTTCTTCCACATCCTACTGTGGTTTCTATACTGGTATTTTATGATGTGCCTCTGCACTCCTAGCATACTACTTTTATACTGTTCCATGAAAGATTGAAAAGTAAAAGCACCATAAAAAAACAAGCACTGAAAGAGTCACATCACATCATTGCTGGTATTTCATGGTGGGCCTCGCACTCCTCAGATACTACTCCTTTTAAATACTGTTCCACAAAAGATTGAAAATAAAAGTACTATAAGAACATTGAAAGAGTTGTTTCACATCACTGAGTACATACACTATAATTTAAAAAAAAAGACGGTCCTAATCCTAAATCATAGCAGAGTGTGCTGTGTCTATGCATTGTCCAGTTGGTGAAGGGCCACGCCAGGGCCGCCGAGAACAGTATTGTAGACGTCAAAGCCGCTGGACTCCAGCTTGGTCTTAACGTCCGCAACCTTCCCGTTCTCTTGATCTGCACGCAAACATCCAATGCATGACAAAGCAAAGGACATTGCACCAAACTTGACTACTGTAAAAGCCATTATTCTAACGAGGCGCATATATAACGATTTCCCAAAATTGACTAGTTTACGTGTACCAAAGGTAACGATTCTCACTCATTCTCAACGCTCAATAGGACAGTATACGTATCGATTTCTGTATAACGATTTCTATTTTAACGACAGATTTCTCCTCGTTAACTCGTTAGAGTTAGCACTTCGTTATGGCTTTTACAGTAGTCAGCGGTGGAGCGAATGCAATGCTGCAGCGGAGCTTTAGGCCATTCTGTAGATCATAGATGATGCAGGAAAGTCGTGTGAGTTGGCCTATGCAGTTGAGCGCAGTATGGTCTGGTGGAGCATCTCAACTACGAAGAGGATGTGCAACTCTGAAAAGATTGGCTACAGGATGCGTCGACAGTGTACGTAGTGGAAGACATACTCGCCATTGTTGTGGGACCCGTGTTGTGAGCTTTGCCAGCACAGGCCCCCATACAGAGCTGCACATTCTTAGGGGAGGGGGAGCAAGGCACACGGGATGCATACTGATTACTAGTACACTGTTATTTAGAAAGGAAAAGGACATATGGATACGAGTTAAGAGTAACTCTCCATCACTGTAACCAGATACTATATACAGTCAGAAAGTGCACAACTAGGCACAAAACTGACCGAGTACTGAGACATTCGAAGTCCTGACACCTAGCTTCAACACATCTCCGTAGCGCTAACCGACAGCCTTCCAACTTGGAAGGTTCAAGGTGATGGAAAGACCAAAGAGGGTTGAAGCTAGGTGGAGCCGCAGTGGAACCCGGCCCTTAGGCCAGGTGGCAGCAGCCAGTTGAGAGCGCCAAGATCCTGTGCCAACCCAGCCCAAAGTCTCTGCTATCAGTATCAAACCGCCAGAGCATTGGCCCGTCAACAATGCTATCTGGTTTGCTCGTGCCGAGGCAATGTTCAATACCCGTCACATCACCCGCAGAGAACCAAGTTCTTTCTACTACCTCCGACAAGCGAAACTTGGCGTGTTTTTTTGTGTAGGTACCACAATTCACAAGGCTGCGAGGTACGACTTACTTGTAGCTTGATGCAACCGGGTGCAGGAAGCCAAGCGATGAGCTGGTTGAGCTTGAGTAGACTGAGGAAGATTGTGCCTGAAGAGCACCACTTATATAGTGCTCTCCAGGCACGAACATCAGGGATACAAACTTACGGAGGCACTCCGTTTCCAGCACGACAAACACCTCCTGAACACCAGACAGCAGCGTGAGTCTGTGTCGCTCATGGAGGTGCTGAACAAACGCTGCGGACTGTTGGCCATTCACAACGTTGTTGCCTCCAAACCATCTAATTCGCAAGCCCGCGCCGGGGACAACAATGTAAAAAAGAGGTTGGTGCGACTTCGGCGATGCTTGGGGAATTGTGTGTTGCTCCCTATGGGGAGCTTGCGCTACTCTTGCCGACTTGAATTCTCACTTGACTGACTCACGACCGCCATCCAGAGCATACGAGAAGTCCATCGAACCTTCCACTTGGCAAATTTGCAAGAAAGCACCACTCCCATGCTCAATACACAGTGTTCCGGGGAATTCACCCCTCATCAGTTGAGCTTGAGTAGGCTGAGGAAGATTGTGTCTCAAGAGCACCACTTATATAGTGCTCTCAAGGCACAAGCATCAGGTTCGATTAGTGAAATTTAGGGGTGAAAGCTGTCGTTGAGATCCCGAGTTCGAGTACTCTGATTTTCTCCGATCGAATATTTGAGTATTCTTCATGTCCTAAAAATTCCACACCAAAGGCCTTAAAATCACGTGGCACAACCCCGATTGAACAGAGTGGCAGTAATCTTTTTCAAGGTTATTGATTCGGGGGTCATTTGGGCTCTCTCGACTAATGTTAATGTTCACCACATGGTCTGCACATCAATATCTACCGACTGCTGCTCAACTTGAAACAACAGATTTCTGTGGCAAATGCATGTGCGATGTATGAACGAGTATTCTGATTATATTCCGAGTACGATTATTTTTGAAAAAAAAACGAGCGAGTACTCGAATATTCGGTATAATTGTTTCACCCCTAGTGAAATTAGTGAAGAGTTGAACGTAATCGCGAAAGAGAACGGTATTGATACATGTACTGAGATTACACCTCAAGTTGGCCACAATAAGATTGACAACATCAAGGGGAAAGCGAGAGAGAGATGTACCGAAAATACAAGCCTGCAACTGCTACTGGTAGTGCTGCTGACCCTGATTGGGATCTTGAAGCGGCATTTGGAGCCTGGAGCAATTTTCGGAAGTGGCATAATTACTTCGCAGATGCGCCAGGCCTAGGGCCATTGGTCAGCCTGGACTCCAGCACTTTGGGAAGTCCAGAGCATAGCAGAATGGTTGGTACCGGTAGTTCGCCCCCAGTCACCGACCATGACGACAGGTGTAGTGTCTGATGAAGCGCAGGGCTCATCCCACGAGGAACTCTCTCCGGACACGCCTGAGCCGGCAAAGCCTGTAGCCGCACATGCTGTTGGGAGCACACGGCCTGCTCTTGGGGGAGAGGCCAGTGATGCCGAGGAGCAAGACCGATCCCTTTTCTGTCCTCCTATCTCCTCTGTCAGCCAAGAAACTACCGTTGCAACGACAGGTCACTATGTTCCTGGCCATACAGCCAAGGAAACGCCCACGCAGACCGAGCAGCGATGAAGATGTCCATGGTATTTCCAAAGCTGGGAAAGAGGAAGACACCATCGCTGAACTGCCAAAGCAGCAACTCCTTCCTGCTCTAATCAACCAACAGGAACAAGTGGCACAAAATATGGTCCAGTTGCAGATGCTATTCCAGGTGTAGTTATTCAAGGAGCTGTTCTCCAAGGATGATGAGGATGAGTCATAGTTAGGTGTGTGACGAAGATCCGTGCACGGTTGGACCCAAGCACACAGCTACAAGCTAGATGCACCGCCAGTTGTTCTGTACTGTCTGTTGGAAATCAGCCATGCACTCACTCACAACAGCGAGATCAACCTTCTCCTCCAGCAATTCCCCAGATGTGGTGCAGCCAACCTCTCAGCCCCCTCCAGTGAAGCATACCACAGTCCACTTCATTCAGACCACTGGTCCACCTGTCCACGCTCGTCTCAGGCGACAACCGCCAGCTCGCATAGCAACTGCAAAGACCGAATTCCAACACATGAAGGATCTTTGAATTATCCGCCATTCCGCTAGTCCATGGGCGTCGCCTCTCCACGTGGTCCCGAAGCAGAACGGTAATTGGCGCCCGTGCGGCGACCACCGCCAATTAAATGCCAAGTCCGTTCCCGACATGTGCCCCATGCCACACCTGCAGGGTTTGCTGCATGGCTTCACAGCACCTGTGTCTTCAGCACTATTGATCTCTTAAAAGCGTGCCCACCACTAGGTACCTGTACTGGAGCTGTACACCTTGACCACGTTCCCAAGACTGCCATCACCACTCCACTCGGCCTCTTTGAATTTCTGCGTTTGCCATCCAGGTTGAGCAATGCTGGTCAAACGTCTCAGCGGTTCATTGATCAGGTTTTGGCCGACCTCACGCTAAACTTCATAGTCAAAATCGGACAAGAAACACTTCAACACTGGCACCCAGGTGTGGATTTAGATACAAGCCGCACAGAAATAGAATCCCTTTTTTGGTCATTATCCCACAAGTGAAACAACGGGATGCCGCATTTCGCATCTTTAAAACTCTTCAAGTACCTACAATTAGACAATGGTGGAGAGGGGGTTTGCGTGTTCAAGTTCAACATACCTTCTTGGGTGAAGAACGTGATGACACAGCCGCCTCCACCAGCACCTGTGAGTTTACTGTGCAGGCCACATGCAGCGGAAATCTGACAGACGGTTTCAATGGCTGGGTGACTGACTCCCATCACACTCAGAAGCGACTGGTTGGCATCGACGAGGCGCTGAAGTTGAAATTTACAAGCGAAAATAGACAGAACACAGTGATGATCGTTTCCCATGATAGAACTCGTCATCCAAAACAAGAAAACGCAAGCATGCATACAGGCATACCCATGCAAGACAAGAAGACGCAACTATGCACACAGATAGTGTACTCAGCATCATCACACCTCCAGGTGCTACAGTAATAACAAGAAATAAGATCAACATTAACTAGTAAGCACATGCACCCCCCCCCCCCCCCCCACACACACACACATACACGTGTGTGTGTGTGTGTGTGTGTGTGTGTGTGTGTGTGTGTGTGTGTGTGTGTGTATGTGATGTGCGCCTATCAGGAAGACTACAGTTGTGCAGAAGGAAGTCTGGACTCGTGGATAAGTTAGTATGCGGCGGCCGGCAACCAGGACACAGAGCAGAGTGAGTGGTGCCCTGACAGTGATTTCTTCTGCACTCTACTTACACCAAGATGCGAGAAGATAACCTCCTTTTCTTTCACATCCGCACCTATCGATGATGCAAAGCAAGAAAAGAAAACACCACACCAGCCAATCGTATCCACATGTCGTAGAGAAGAGCATTCAGAATTAGTGGGATACGCAAACGTGTATGATACACATAAAATTCATGCCCTGGATTCGTGTTCGTCTGTAATGGTTGGTTAGTCATATGGATTCAAATGGTGTGAAAGGGCGGATGCAATCCTGTTTTGGCCACAATGAAACGTGGACGATGGTTCAGGTAAAGGAAACAACGAAAGCATTTCGAGTTGGCCCTGGATATATTCTTGTATCGAACATTTTTTGGGTTGGCTGACCAAGCCCCTCAAGGCGAATCAGGAACGATAGGAAAGAGTTCCAAAAAGCCAAGTACACATGGGGCAACAAATGAAAGACAACACGAAGCGTCGAAGGAAGCTATGCTCAGAGTACAACTGTCTTTTCGACTTTGTGCTTCAGAAAGGTCTGGGAGAAAGGTCTAGAAGCGCACTTACAACTTGCACAATGCACTCCGTTCTGAATTTCACTCATTTTCTGGCCCAATGTGGGCAAACTCACACACACACACACACACACACACACACACACACACACACGACGTCCCGCCAGTCAGAAAACGCGAATCTGTGAGTCACTGAATGTATCATGTGGTACACAAACACGTAACCACCCACGGATTACACAGGACTATGTAAACCTCCATAATACGAGGCATTCTATGCCAAAGTTATACAATGGAATCACTCAATAAGCACACTTGAACCCAGGTACAGTTCATGCACTAAGCTGATCAGCTCCGGAAAATTCACCCCTACCTTCCAGGTCATCCCAGTACTTGCAACACTGTTCAGATATTCCATCGACTGCATCCATGATCGGCTTGGCTACAGCAGGCATCTGAGCAGCAATGGAAACAGGGTAAATGTCATGGGACGTAGAGAACAAGTCATGGTGCACCTGTATTGCAGATGCCCCCCTCCCCCATAACAAACAGCATCCGGTGTGACCACAAACTCAAGACCATTGAAGAGTAGCATACCACAGGAAGTGAGATTTGGTAAGAAGCAGCAAGAGGCCAAAAACAACAAAACCTGGAAATGCACATTCGAGGTGACAATAAGCTGCCAGCTTAATGCTAAACTAGCTATGAACTTCCTTTTTCTTGACGTCTTACATACGGACTAAGTACAAGGAGATTTTGAGGGACTATTTGAGCTTGAATCAAAGTCCGACAGGACAACTATTACCTCTTCCAGCCAGGAACGAACACCAGCCACCAGCACTTTGGTGCTTCTTGGAACCTTGGTATTCGTCAGCAGCACAGTCAAAATGGGCGGACTGGACATGATTATAAACAAGAAACCGGAGGAAGAATAATTACTGATCTGCCTCCTACTACAGTAGATGAGAGGCTTACAAATTCTAAATACAGTGTACTATGCACATCTTGCAAACTGTAGATGTTTTCTGAGGGGGGGGGGGGGGGGAGGAGGAAGAGGAAGAGAGAGGTACGACACATAATATAAGCGTGCCATACCAACCGATTTCGCTGTGTGCAAGCTAAGTTCAAACAAAATCTCAAGCAGATAAGGAGGGTCTGCACTGAAACCAAATGATCGCCGGCATGCAAGATACCCAGGCACACAGAACTCTGTATGGCCATTCAGCTCTCACCTCTCGATGGTACGGATGTGATCGCCACCAGGAGCACGGCAGAACTCAAGAGCACCTCCTGAGGCCAAGAAGGGGAGACAGTGCAATGTCAGGCCATACAGTAGTACAGGTCTGCTCTCGATATAACAACTCTCACTTCTACATAAACCTCGTTAGTACATAAAAAAATCAAATCCCGCTCCGAAACAGCATCACTCCCATACAAAATTTGTTCTACACAACATAATCCTACATAACATACACCTCGACATAACACACGCTACGGCGGTCCCCGACGTGCGCACTCTCGATACAACATAAATTCACGTGCACGGTATGATCAAGCGGTAGCTGTAGCTAGGCAGTTTAGGCCAGTTTAGTCCTACATAACGTAAACCTCGGCATAACGCACCCTACGGCGCAGTCCCCGACGTGTACACTCTCGATACAACGTAGATTCACGTGCGCGGTACAATCAAGCTGTAGCCGTAGCTAGCCTGTTTAGTCCTATGTGCATATATTCTGCGGCATTGATGGTATCTGATGTCGATGGTGGTACAGTGTGTATATGTTTGCACGGTTGAACCCGCCTTGTAATACCCTTCATTTTGAGGTGCATCTTGTATTTTACACATGGTTTTCTACATAACATAACTCTCGATATAACATAATGTTTGCGTGGTCCCAGAGATTACGTTATATGGAGAGTAGACCTGTACCAGGAGGACCAAAGACATGCAGAGGTACTAATGTAGACAGTGTAACGGTGAGAGAAATCATAATTGTACTTGTGTTAGGCTCCCACTTCCTATACCTGGATCCCGCATATCCTTGTCATTGCCACAGAGGATGATCCCCTCGACTATCGCCCTGTTGCCGTTTGGTGTGCTGTGAGCTAGCTTTACACTTGGCGGCCGGTTGATGTTGAGAACACCATGCTTCCTAATCAGGCAACATGCTGCCATGCTTGTGCAGCATCATGGAACAACCATTCGAAAGGAACGGCACGCACAGCTCCCAGACAGTACTGCAGATATTGGGGCCTGTCACACAAGCCAAAGTTCCTGGATAACACACACCACGCATGAAGTTACAAAGGCTCCCCGTACCAAATGTGGCGACAGCATTGTCGATACCAGACGGCGTGCCGTGGATAATGCGCTCTCCTTGAAACGACCATCTCCTCACCAAGTCCAGATCGTCCTGCGAGAAGGAAGTGGCGAGATATTTGCTGCTGGACTGCAGTCTGCAGGCACAAGTAGAGGAAGGAGAAGCCAACAACACAGGACACCTGCCTCAGGAAAGGGTGTGGCATGCTGTACAAATAAAAGTGACTTCCGTAATGTCGCGCATAAAAGCAGGTACTTAAGGACTATAAGCCAGGGTTCAAACCATGCTTCTATTCAAATTATGCTTCTATTCAGAGCATGCTTCTACGTCAACACCATCCATCTACACTGTGCAGTGTATGCCGCCACACATGTACTGTGCAAGTCCTTGCATGTGTATTTTGCATATTGCAGAGAGCGGCTTCTATTCAAATCGTGCTTGTGTCACGGCGCGCTTCAGAAAATCGGCTTCTATTCGAGTCATGCTTCTATACAGGTCATGCTTCTATACGCGACACTACACTATAACTGTGTACATTCTGATTCACTACATTGTATTCAGAACATGCTCTTCAGCCAGTTAAAAAAAAACAATATTGCAAGAACCACTGAGAAGCTGCAATGTATACAATTTGCAATAAACACAAAAAAGGCCGGTCGAGGCAGCTCAAAGCAGAGTGCTCAATGCACAAATGTGCAGAGCAGTATACACATCCAACGGAGGCGCGAAAGGCTGTGCAAGTTACAGCTACACAGCCTTTCGTCTCCGGTGTATGTGTAAATTTGCAATAATAATTTTTGAAAAAAATCCAAGGGATATAGTACTCAGGGCACAGTGGAGCTATGATTCATGTCAGGACAGCTCACCCAAGGCGCTCAAGTTGTTCATGATGGTCACCTTCCTTGCCTCGCTTGAGTGATTCTGGCTTGATCTCGCCATTACGCAACAAGAAAGCAGCGGCTAAACATACGGAATATGACGCCGATGACCCCAATCCCGATGCGAACGGCAAACTGGAGGTAACTTGAACATCAATGCCAGTCGTGCAGGATCTACAATAAAGCATCACCAAGAACAGCAATGTACAGCATAGGGAATAAACCTTCAGACACGTTTCCCTTAAAACAAGAAAGTAAGCAGCAGCACATGGCCCTTGAAAATTCTGCGTCCACTTCACCACCACCACCACCACCTTTGCGCTTTGTGGCCGACCACGTTCATTCCCCACAACAGCAACAAGAGGTTCGGAGTACTGAACCTCTTGTTGCTGTTGTGGAGAATGAGTGTGGTCGGCCGCAGAGCGCAAAGGCGGTGGTGGTGAAGCGGACGTAGTATAGTCGTGGCCAAAGAAATCCAACCCACGTGCCGAAAGCAGCGCCAAGGCTCATGTGGAACGTGCACAGTGTACTTGAAATGGAAACGCGGCGCTACTTTGACACGTGGGTCGGATTTCTTTGACCAGGACTGTAGTACCTAAATTTTGTAGCGCACCACAACTACATCAGAAATTATCTAAGCATAGTATCTCATGACCAGTCCTCACCGCTTGAAGCAGATTGCACCAGCAAGAAAGAGGAATGTCTTCGCTGCAAGGACTTTGACGCTGTCGTCGCCACCCACTCGTGAACTCAAGTCGTGCAAGCGTGCGTCGCATGCCTCAGATTGCCTTGAAGAAGCGTCTAATGGAGATGAAAACCACAGAAAGTAAAGTTACAAACAAGATCAGTACACACTAGAACATAGGGTTTTTGAGCGGTCCTGCTCCAGTAAATTATAGTCCCCGTATCCTTTGATTACCCCTCTCATTGTTCTGACTGCGGATTGCGTAGAACTACCAAACCAGGAATGAGGATGGTCAAGTCCAGTGAAGGATTTCAGATTGGTGGACGCACCCACCCCCACAAAAATTGCGTTTGTGCTTTATAGATAGATGCAAGAACACAATATCATGAAAAAAATGTGCAGTTTGAATAGATTGCTGTCACGGCATTATTCCTGGATTGCATCATTTCGGTGATGCAGCACGCACAGATCAATTTCAAATAGGTCTCCTGCTGCACAACTGCAGCTCAGTTGTATGCTCTACGCCCCTTCCCGGCGTTCCAGCTGCTTATCCACACCAACATGTGATCTTGCAATTCTTCGCAACAGACTAGATATACGGAAGCTGAATGTTCCTTTTTTCTAAATTATGTTTATGTACGCTTGGTAGGTACTAGGTGTGGTGTGACCTAGCACTTCTTCACACTCCTTCTCCTCAGTTATCTGGATAGTGATCCCCTTTTTTTGGAAAAGCAGTACACGTACATGTTCGAATCTATTTTAATGATTCGAAACAATTAAAATATTGAAAACAGTCCAAGATTCAAATTTCCACAAGTCTGAAACATTACATACCCGATTCACACACAGAGGAAAGATCACGAACTTCATCAAGAGACCACTTTGCGTGAATATCTAGGTCGCGGACATTTAGTTCCACCGTGGGAGCCGCGACCTCGCGAAGCCTCAGGTAACATCGTAAATCTACACTGGCAGCAATGGCCCTCTGTGGCAAGAGAACAGGACATAAAATCACTCGTAAAAAGCACAAGGCGCGTTTTGTCCAAAATTCTTAAGCTCCTTCGCACCTTGCCATAAACTACAGCATGCTCGCCGTGGAGTATTGCCTTTCCAGGTGCAGATACTACCAATTCACCTTCTTCTTCGTTCAAATTGTTTTCCATTTCTAATTCTAATTTTTAGTAGTCATGGCAGCGCCAGGGATTTTCCCCATTCACTGAGTGGATCGTTCTGCTGCTAGCTGTTGTTGTTCATCGATGCATCATGGATGAGGTAGCTTTGTCAAGTATTAGTTGTCAGTCAGGTTTGAATGCAACTGATCGATTAGCATTTTCATTTTGCTGTCAGCTTCGGCGGTGGCCTGGAAAGAACACGAGAGTCGAAATTCTGATATGCATCGTGCTTGAGGACTATCGAAGAAGGGGTGCTGATCCTCTCCGTACTGTGCTGGTTAGGTCTGTTTCGCTTGACTGAGTCTGTAGTGCTACCATACTCATCGATTTTCCTATTGACTGAGCTGACCACTGAAAAATACTCTACCGAATTTTGTACTCTTACGAACTTCTCGGCGCTGGAGAGGCCGGGGGCACGAGGGTACTCGGATATCTTGTTATAATATAGCATAGTTCAATGGCGATGCCTGCTGGTATAACATGGACCTATGGGTTGTGATTTTCTCAAGGTAAGTACAAACATGTAACATTAGAAGAGACCAGCGCCTTGAGCTGCATGATTGTTGTATTGTATACGCTAGGACTAAGGTTAGGCCAAGTTATAATAATTATTGAAATAGGTGTGTGTAGTAAGAGTTGGCTATAAAGTATAATCAGTGACAGTTATGGCATTCTGATTGAGACGAGGACATACTTGCATTGTGCACCTATGTAATTGCCCCAACAAAAATAATAATACTTGTAGTGTACACAAGCCTTGCAGCTTGTGCTTGCAGTATCATATTATCTGGCAAACAAGTTAGTTGTCATGTGGATTGGATTGGAGTCTGCGAACAAATGCAAAAGTTACCGTAGTATGGACCTAGTCTGAAAGCCTCCGTTATAATCCATTACCTACTCGCTATGCAGTGTACTGATGGTTGTACGTACAGGCCTTGTGGAATTTGCTTATACAGTACTAACGGGGAGAGGGTATTCAGCATGAAACGGATGATGCTTGTGTACCCTCACAACGTGGCCAGTGAGCAGAGTGAGAAAGGCAATGCACAGAACAAACGACTGCTAGTCTAGCTCAATGGTTGCTTTCATTGATCCGATCAGTAGTCAGTCACTAGTCACTCATTGATTTCTGGAACAGAATCACATGTCTCTAGTATCTACACACTCGACTCGTCCTTGCTTTGAGGAGTAGTAACGTGCTGTACAATGTACTCCCTGCTGCTCTTTTTACAGAGTATGAGTGACTACTGATTGGATCGTATGTTGTGCATGTGTTTGACTGTGTGTGTTTGCGTGCGTGTGCATGCATGTGTGTGTGTGTGCGTGCGTGTGTGTGTGTGCGCGCGTGTGCGTATGTGAATGCATGGACGGGTGGGTGTAAGTGGGTATGTTCCTTGATGGGATGTTCATACTTTGCGTTGCTTTCTGTTTGCAGGTAAATTCGACCACAGCAGTGCCTGTGCGTATTTTGGTCCGTGGTGCACCAAGCGTGCACAAGCCCGCGCCTCTGAAAACCCCGGAGAAAAGCGAGTGGTTCAGTGACCACCACTATCAGGTGAGGACAAACACAGAGTCCAGGCTTTGCTTGGCCTGAATCCAGGCTTTGCTCAGTCATCCAGGCTTTCCTAGGCCTGTGCGATGGCAACACCTTCCGGTTAAAGGGGAAGTTAAGGCAAAAATTAAAATTTCACCAGTTGTAGTCTTCGGGGTGCTGAGTCGAATGGTCTTGGTCCGAGAAAGCTGAGACGCTCCCTTCCTACTTGAATCCCTATCGAACTCGCGCACTTCCACCGAAACTGGGTGACTGCGCCCTACTAGATGGGGATTTGTATGCAAAATGTCACTAAAAGCGCGATTTCGTTCTTATAAAAGCACGGATGACCGCGATTGGCCCATATGTTGTAGTCTTTTGGACGCTAAGTCGACTGGTTTTGGTCCGAAAAGGCTGCGATGCAGCGTTCCTCCTTTGTTCCAATCGAACATGGTTGAACAAGCGGTCACGTGCTCCTGCGTACACCAGTCACCTGGTCACCGTGCCTGCAGGGTACAACTTACTAGCCTGTTTGACCTTTTTTGGGTGCAGTCCTGTCACTCGAGTTTAACTCGAGTTGAACCTTGGTGGTAAAGTTGTCGCCTGCTGGCGTGGTGACCAGGTGATTTGGGCACCCAGGAGCACGTGACCACTTGTTCAACCATGTTCGATTGGGAATAAAGAAGGAACGCTGCGTCGCAGCCTTTTCGGACCAAAACCAGTCGACTCAGCGTCCAAAAGACTACAACATATGGGCCAATCGCGGTCATCCGTGCTTTTATAAGAACGAAATGGCGCTTTTAGTGACATTTTGCATACAAATCCCCATCTCGTAGGGCGCAGTCACCCAGTTTCGGTGGAAGTGCGCGAGTTCGATTGGGATTCAAGTAGGAAGGGAGCGTCTCAGCTTTCTCGGACCAAGACCATTCGACTCAGCACCCCGAAGACTACAACTGGTGACATTTTAATTTTTGCCTTAACTTCCCCTTTAAATCCTTTAGAGTGCCGCTGGTCACACTCACAGTTCCGCTTGACTCTTCCGTGCCCCCTCCCGGAAGAGGTCAGAAGAGGCACCTGATTTCGGATGAGCCTGTGCGAACACTATTCCCAAAATGTCACATGGTTGGGTTTGCCTGTTTGTAGTTTCTCTCACCTGCCACATCTGTCATACAGTGAAACTGTTCAGTTTAAGAACCCTGAATGTAACATACTATGGGATGTAACATACTATGGGATGTAACATACTATGGGATGTAACATACTATGGGATGTAACATACTATGGGATGTAACATACTATGGGATGTAACATACTATGGGATGTAACATACTATGGAATGTAACATACTATGGGATGTAACGTACTATTTTCCACGACCTGCTCTGTACTGTACAAGTCGCTTTGACCTCAGATGCACAGTATCTCGGCTATAAACTAGTATAACGTACTACTAATTTCTAATGCCCTTGAAGGTATGTTTAACTATGTTTTACTGAAGTTGCACTGTACTTACCGTCTTACGTGATGGTTCGGTATTGGTGTGTAACTGCCATGGAAATAATTATGTCCCCGATGTTCCATTCTACTGCAGGAGTTGTTGGCTCTACTGAAGACTCAACTGCCCAACTTCTCGAGCCTGAAGCAGCATCCCAGTGGAGAGTTTGCAGGTAAGAGATTGCATGCGCGCGTGTGTGTGTGTGTGTGTGTGTGTGTGCGTGCGTATGCGTGTGTGCGTGCATGTTTGTGTGGGTGTCTGCATGTGTGGGTGTGTGCATGGGTGGGTGTACGTGCATGCGTGTGTGGCTAACCACCGCTCTATTTATGAAGCTCTACGTTGTATGTCTTCAGTCTTGTCAAGACTTGTGACATTTTATTTAGGAGTGGGTGAATTCCGCTGCTGGTGTTGGTTCCATAATCATTTCTACATTGCCGATTGCACTGCTTTGGCGCCTAATTTCTGTTTCTTGCTTGTAGGTGGGGACTTCGTCGTCAACTGGAGGGTTCAGTCGTGGAGTATCGGTCATGTGACTTTGCTGCAAAAAGTTCTTCCTCATCTCGACCACCCTCAGGTACGGATTGAAAAGTAATGATCAGAGCTGCATTCCGTGTGTTCGTCAAAATCCTGACTGCTTTTCTGAAGGCGCTTGATTTTCGTCGATAGTTTATTGCTGTGCTTCCTTCTGCGACGGCCAGCTCGTCAAGTGGACTCTTCCCCCAGGCTGCCATCCAGTGCAGTCAGAGCTCTTCTAAGCCAGTTCACGCAGGAGTATTGCCCACCCTGTCACATGTAGCACACCCGAAGTTTAGATCAAGGAAGGATATTATTATTATTATTGGCTGAAGGTACAAATCGAGAGATTGAAGTTGATCAGTGATTAGAATGCGATAATTCGAAGAACTAGACCTTGTGTATAGACTAGTATTTAGAATATTTATTTTCTAGGAATATTAGTATTATATCACTGCTGATAACATTGGTACCTAAGTAAGAAGCCATGCTATTATAAATATCGACTCCTTTCTCGTCTCGTCTTGCTTTCAGGCACGCGCTGAGGATGTTTCTTGCTTGTCCGATCGACAAAGTGCTGGTCTAAAGCAGTCTTGCTTACCGTGGCACCAAGCTCGGGATACGACCGTGCATGCCTGTGCTGATGTGAAGTCGGCAGCAGGTACAGTTAACCGGCCACTGAGTGCTTAGCTGAGTGCTCTCTGGTATTTACCATTTGTTGATTTATTTACTAGTATTTATCAAACTCACTCTCAGAGCATATGCAGGCAACCCCAAATATGAGGCTGGTACCCACGTATTATGAGTACCAGAGCAGTTGCTGACGTAGAATCATGTGCTTGTGTTATGACTATAGAAGAAGGTAGGCAGCAGCATTCCTTTGCGCTCGGTGAAATCCGACTCGAAGTGCACATTAGGTGCCATCAACTTGCATAGCCCTTGACGCCTTGGCAGTAGTATGAATGCTGCTGGGCGTACACATGTACGAACACCGTGATTTAGCCAGAACTGGTCCAAGACGCCAGCTCTGCATGTTGGGTCGGATTTCAGTAAACACAACTGTATGTGATCTATTTGATACAGGCACTGTGGACTTGTCACAATGTACATGTATGTCCACTAACACTGAGAAAGACACTACTGACTCAATTGTTCTCACCCGGCTCTTTATTGCTTGTTGTTGTTGCTGTTGCTGCTGTTGTTGTTGCTGTTGCTGCTGTTGTTGTTGTTGTTGTTGTTGTTGTTGTTGTTGTTGTTGTTGTTGTTGTTGTTGTTGTTGTTGTTGTTGTTGTTGTTGTTGTCTGCTATAGTAGCAATAGCGCCTGCTCGCTATGAGGGTCTTCATTTCCTGCCCTACCTGATTCATATCATAGTCAGTGTCAAGTCTCCTGTGCTGCAAGTTGATCAGGTATGCACATGTATTACTGGTACATGTACGTTGTACTCGATCAATGTGACCAGGACTGCTTTGCTAGCCTCGGGCTGGCTGGCTTTTGTTGTTGTGTTCTACAGTTGTACTGGTGTGACATTGTGTACATTGTATTCTCTTGTGAGCACTGTGTTGTTGAGCTGGCTTGCTTATGGTACTGTAAGGCATGTATATATAACGAGGAAGTAAATATGGTTATAATAAGATATGTGAGTTACGAAGTCTGAAGAAAACGTTGAACGGTCTCTGCTTGGATGACGACTACACCATAGCTCAGTGGTTAGAGCATCGTTGGCTACAAGCGAGGGTCCCTGGTTCGAGTCCTGGTGGTGACAGTCAATTTTTTCTTCAGACTTTTCCCGTTTGTCTCTTTCCCTCAAAACCAGATAATAAGATATATTGACCTTTGATAAATACCCACACTCATTAGTGACCACACCATCAACAGTATCAAATTCAAATAAATTTGCTTTGACTCAATAAATACCACTTAGTCCTAGGGCCCATTTGAAATTTCTCACTTTTACTTGGCACATGTTTGCTAACATGGATTTTATGATCATTCCTGGATGGTTTTTGCCTCCTGAACACAATGGCATAGGTTTCGATTGCCGAATTGTGTCCGAACATGGTGAAAAACATCAAAATAGAAAAAGGCTGTTATTACCATGGCAACCTAACTAGAATTGCTCCTATATCCATTTTTACTGACATGTATATGGCCAAGTAGCACCTCATTTTGCTCAGAATAAGCAGTAGATACAGTACGGCGACAAGTACTGTACTTTTACAGTGTCAAAACAAAATTTCCAAAGTGCAGTGAAACTTGGCTATTGGACATGTACATGTATTATTACATGTCGCGTCGAATGTTAGCATTGAGGTACGTGTACATGCATGTGCGGCTAGCAGGTACATGAGACTATTTACAGGCATGCATTATTATCAGACTGCAAACATGAGAGAAGCGTCAGACGGTTCGGTGTTACACTTCAACTGAGAGAATAGGTATTGTAACCCACTGAGTACTAACAGGAGAAGAAAAAGGTGGTAGGAAACTGTCAGAGTCTAAGGAAAGAAGTGCTATAGGACAGTTGCAACCTGAACTAATTTACTCGAAGTACGTGGAGATAATACGATAGATCTCGCAGCAATGTAAGAAGGACAACACCATTAATTTTGTATGCGATGGCAGTGCTGTAACGAAAAATGATGAAAATGAAAATACCAAAATCCTTTGCATACTAGTAGATATTAAACAGTCCAAACATTGGCTAGCTTGTCACTATACTTAAATGCTTTGAAAAGACTTCAAGGCTGCAGTTGGACAACGCTCACAGGTGAATAGCTGCAGTTTAAAAAGCTGATCCATCCCAACATTGTGATGCGAATACTTTCACTTCCATGTGTTTCACTTTAACTGAAGTTGTTCTTCCGTCTGAGCTTTGGAAACTCTGCGCCGTACAGCTGAGCCCATCTCTACTCCGCCACCTACACCATCACTATTGGCTCTGCTGTCAGGGACAATTCTTTAGCCACTAGTACATGAGGTATTATATGAACTTGTTTTCCCTCTTCACCGCCGCTCTTGAATCGCATCAACTACGTGCCGTGATCAGTTCAGGAGAGACAAGCCATGACATTGGACATCGGACTCTTTCTTGCAGTTAGTGTTTTATAAGTATAACTGTAGTTTCACACTGCCTAGGCCCAGCCATCAAATTCTGTGACAAGGAAATTATTCTTCGACTGCTGGTGTTGCATATTGGGATAGGTTACCTCCAGGTACTCGGATTTCGTTTTTGTAACACTCCACACCACATAGCTACTCCCTCCCACTGCAGCATGGCACTCCTAAGGCAGTTGTCCTAGAGCTGTTGAGCTGGTAAATAGGCTTTTTTTTGTGCAAATGGTAGCTGATCACCACGGTCGGTGTGTTCAAATCATGGTACTAACACTAGCCGCTCTTGTAGATTCGAATCAAATGCTCGTCCACTGTAACACCTCCTGTGCAGCAGTACTCACAAAGTAAATGCCTTCATTCCAGCCCGATGAAGTTAGCCAGGTCTGAAACTTACCACGGTTGTAGATTAGTCCTATGAATAGTTACAACTGGCTTGGTAAGCTATGATGACTTTCCCCTGCTTTCCACACATAATTGTTGTGCTGCTCCTTGTTGGAATCATGCTTACTTTTCCGGGGAGCCAAGATGACATTGTAATGAAGGTTCTGCTGAATTTAGCATCGATCCATTCGTGGACGTTCCGACAGCAAAAGCGCCAGCGAGTCAATGCAAAACTTCGAAGAAAGTGTCCAAACGAGGTAACACATTTCTGGTATGTCACAACTACACTACTTGATGCTCAATCTTTCCAACTCTCGCACAAAATCTGTGTACGCGTCGGTTCGCATCCTGTGTATGTACGGTGTTACTATAGCTCCTGGCACATAAAAGGGTAAAAACTCCCAGGTCCAGTCAATATAGTACCGAGAAAGTCTTGAAAATGCTTGAATATAGCCGATGAGAACTTAGTTTTTTCGGCAATTTTGTATTCCTATCGAGGGTGATTTCGGGACCTTTGGACGCGATTGGACACACCATACTTGGCCAAGATACTCTTGAAGACATTATCTATCAAATAACACCGAAAAATCCTTGTTAGCCAACATGTGTCAAGGCATGTATTTTAGAGGTCGATTTTTTGAATTGGCCCCAGTACTAACTGCACTTTTCCATGTAGCACTCCACTTTTCCCTAAAAAGGAGTATTTTAGGCCGAGTAAAAAAAATTACTAGATGATCGTCCTTTTTTTTGGAAAAATCGGGGAGGGCGGGAGGATTTTATTTTTATTTTTTTACTTTTTACCCTCTCATGCACACAGTGTACACAAAACATCAAGGTTTTTTTTCTCTTTTTTTCTTTTTTTTTCTTTTTTTCTTTTTCTTTCTTCAGCAGATCGATACTGACGTTGTGATATACTAGTAGTATGTGGTCCATATAGTAAAGAAAGTATTAAACAAAGCGTGCACATGTTTCCTGCATCCGCGATCGGTAAAAAACCAACGATTTCGGCAAAAACTCACGATTTAAAAAATAAAATATTTCTTGGGGCGCTGACAAAAACTGGGGCGGACGGGGACGATCATCTAGCTTTTTTTTTTACTTGGCCTTATAAACAGTATTTATTGGCCTTAGTGGTATTTTATAAACAGTATTTATTGGCTTTTGACCCAATAAATACTGTTTATAAAATACCACTAGGGCCAATAAATACTGTTTATAAAATACTCCTTTGTCAACATATGTATAATAAATGTAGTAGCCTCAGAATTTATTGCAATTACATACCAGTTATAAAAACCTCGGCGGACCTCGGTTTTTATACTGGTATGTAATTGCAATAAATCCTTCGGCTCTACATATTTATTATATACATCCGTTGAGGCCGTAATGCTTCATATATGTTGTGTGTGGATATGCCGAAATACTGCAAGATCTTTAACATATCTTCTCGTTAACCTATGAATTTTGGACAATCGTTGAATTTGCGACTCGTTATATTAACATGTCTTACAGTATATCGTGACACGTGCACTGTTTCTGCTGCATTCTCCTTCTCCTTTGCTTTTCCTCACCCAGTCCGTGTGTTTCTGGGCATTGTATTTCAACATTTCTCTATTCTCATGCACAGTACTGCAAACTTTCTGTGCTGTGGTATCCTCCATTCTCCTCCGCTCTCTTTCTTTCTCTCTCTCTCTCTCTCTCTCTCTCTCTCTCTCTCTCTCTCTCTCTCTCTCTCTCTCTCTCTCTCTCTCTCTCTCTCTCTCTCTCTCTCTCTCTCTCTCTCCTCCCTCTCCGCAGACTAGCATACCAATAACAGCTTTCTTCAGCTCGGCGGTGACTTCGAATGGCAATCAGGAACGACAATCTCCAGTAGACCTTTCCTCTATTGATCACACTGTGCCGGTCGTTTCTAGTGAAGAAACCAGTGCCAGTATTATGCAAAAGTAAGTGGATTGTAGTCAAGAGTTGTCAGCCAGTGTTGCTGTCATCAGCATAATCGATTCGCCCTGAGACTGTGCTGAGAGCATCACAAGTGTCCACCGTGAAACACTGTGTATCATTGGTTCTTTTTGTTCTCTTTTCTATTGGTTCATGTCCATAGCTACATGTACAACGAACTACAAATTGTACTAACAGCCGTAATCATGCATGCCTGCAATGCAGTACTTCCTCCTATTTCATCGTGAGAAATCACTATGGATCTATTGCGGACTTACACGCAAGTGTGAACTGTCTATCCCTGAAAAGTAGAAACTCTGATTTTGTTTGCAACGTACCCTGACATGCTCTCATCTGTCTGTTTGCTTACAGCTACAGTTTCAAACCCTGAGCAACTAACCACCATAATTATCATGATCAGTGACACAAACCAGATAACTCAACCAAGTGCTTTTCTCTTTTCTTCCCCAGGCACCTGTCATTGCAATCTCTCGGTATGAATAATTTACATTCACAAGGATTTCTTCCTGTCCATGTTGATTTCTGCTGCCCAGGTCAAATTGCAAAGACATGTTGGAACGGCCATCCACCAAGAAACAACAGGCTAATGTCAAGTCTACTGTATCCAACCGCCTGCTGAAAAGTTATGAGAAAAAGAGTGGTGGTGTGTCGCTGAGCCAGGACCAAGCCCGTAACATCTTCCAGCAAACATGTGCAGCCTTCACCTGCAGGTCGGCAACAAGTGCTGCTGCCGCAGCAAAGTCACCTCCGTCCAGTATCTTGTCTTCTCCGACAAACAGCCAACATTCTCAGGATGGTATGGAGGTGACGTCGCCCATACTCGCCTCGCCTCTTCTGCAGCCCAAGAAGAAAGTTGATTTTGAGAGGCTGTACACGGATAGCCCAACCGTGGGGGAGATTGAAATGCAAGATGAGCGACTTGGCCATTCTCAGATGCTGGCTTCTGCCAAGCCCAGCCTCTGCTGGGTGTGCGAGGCAGGGTTCGTTCCGGACGTGAACTCTCGCCACCAAGACCGCTGCAATGCGTGCTTGGTTAGCGCTCGGCCGGAGCGACGGGCAAGTGTGAACGATGACGCGCCAGTCGCTTCGCCGCTGTCATTGCTCCGCCGCTCATCCTCCTCCTCTTCTGTGCTAACACCACTTTCTCCTCTGAAGCGGCTATCACGTACTAACTCCTCTGCCAGTGTTGAGGACTATGCACCGCCTGCTAAGCAGACACGGCTTGAGTTTGCACCGTCTTCTACCGAAGATGTGGATTCAACTGATGCTCGTTTCAGGAGCAGAATCTGTTATGGGGGAAGCCACAACCCACCCAGAAAAGCCACCATATCCGAGCTGGCAACTGGGCAAATGTCCTCCGCCAAGGATGCACATTCGACTGGTGCTCGTTTCAGAAGCAAGATCTTCTATGGAAGCAAGTGTCGCAGATCTCTGGACTTGAGGGCATCGCAAGAAGCAAGCTTCGAAAGAACGGACACACCCACTGCTGATACTCCTGCGCGAGGAAGTCAAAGTGAAGATGATGATTGGGAGGCAGTGCGCTCGTCATGTGGCAAGTCACCGTCACATCAGTCTGTGCTGTCTGCCTCTGGTCGGTCCTGGTGTGCCAACAGCATTGCAACCTCGCCCATCAGCAGACCTGGTTCTCAAACGGTGTCTTCTTCCTCGGCGGCTTCGCACAACGTGTCGAAGATTCGCTCGCGCAATGCTCGCCTCGGTCGGATCATGGACATGGATCCACAGTCGGCAACACTGGATGATGTGTTGATGGGCAGTGGCCATGTAGTCGCATGTGCTTCTAGCCACTCCACTACGATGATGGCAGCTGACAAAGAGTCGCCGTACTTCTCCACTGGTGGAGCGGATTGTGGTGGTGTTAGCCAGAAAGGTCTATCTCCAAAACCCTATGACAGATCGACTGCAATGGAAACCGGACTACCATACAGTCCCCCTGAAGCAGCCAGTGACGGTGAGCTGGGTGTAAGTAGAGGCTGCCTTGATCTTGGCGCAGCCGTTGAGTGTAAGCAGACTGGCAGCACACTCGGCTCGCCGATAGCCAAGTCTCCAGCCGTAGCGGGGCCTTATGCCGACAGTGACAGTGACGTAGCTAATGACCCCGCTGCTGCTGGTGGTGGTGGTGGTGACGGGGCTGCGGACGGTGACGACAGCAGTGACTCTGACTGTCGAGTTATCGCTTCTCCGGTTCACCAGCGTACGTCAGCAGTGCGGGCCAAGCTGCGTCGGAGCACGTCTGCTCGTTCGGATGTATCATCGAATACTTCCTCTCAGCCCAGTTCTGAGCAGCAATCGGGCACAGTCAGTTCCAAATCAATGGCAGACAGACATCCAGTCGTTGCACAGGCGAGTGTGCGCTCCGAGCTGACACCAAAGACGCGTCAGCGCAACCGGAATCGCCTGAAGAGGCCCAAGAAGCGAGCCAATGGCGAACAGACCAATGGTGGTACAGCAGCTGCAGATGAGGTGTGGACGGCAAGTGATGCCTGCTCACAGACCACTGATTACTCTGAGCCTGTTGATGTGGATGAGCAGAGCAAAGGGCTATCTACTGATGCCGCTGCCACTACCACTGCTGTTCCCTCTCCTCGACCAGGCGATGGAGCTTGTGAGCAAGCAGAGGATAGCAATGTTTCAGATGATGAGGCCGACCGGCGCATTGTGAACATCAGTGATGACAGTGCCTGCAGTGATGGAGAGGAGATTGATGCAGCAACGGTTGTTGCAACCCTGGAGTATGTAACACCCCGCCAGCTCAAGCGCTATGTGGTCCAGTTCAGGCCACAGCTGAAGGATATCTTCTCGGGGAAGCGGTATAACGAACGTCACGAGAAGTACAAGGAAGGCGGTAAAGCCGGAAAGCAAGTTGCAAGGCAGCATTCCATGGTGTCTTCTGCTGTAAGTGTAGTATTGCATTGTGCGAGGGTGCCTCTGATTGCTTGTAGTCTTTTACAGTTTAAAACTCCCCTGGTCCAGACTCCTCAGATCAGGGTAACGTTACTCCCGTCTACCCGGGCACCTTTCTGACACTCTTTATTCACAAAATGGCTTTCACCAAAAATCTGCTCCAATTCTTTTTGATTGGCACGACAGGTTTTACTTGCGTGCAATCATTGCCGTATTTTACCATATAAGATGAAGGTGTGTGCTCTGAGTTGCGAGGAGTGCCTGTATGGGGAGTTCTACTGTATTTGCGGCAATCGCAACTTTATGGAATAGCTTTCAGATGACAAGCTCTCTCTCTCTCTCTCTCTCTCTCTCTCTCTCTCTCTCTCTCTCTCTCTCTCTCTCTCTCTCTCTCTCTCTCTCTCTCTCTCTCTCTCTCTCTCTCTCTCTCTCTCTCTCTCTCTCTCTCTCTCTCTCTCTCTCTCTCTCTCTCTCTCTCTCTCTCTCTCTCTCTCTCTCTCTCTCTCTCTCTCTCTCTCTCTCTCTCTCTCTCTCTCTCTCTCTCTCTCTCTCTCTCTGTCTTTTGCAGCATCAAGAAGTGGTAGCAAGGGTGCTACTAGCTATGTTTTGTCGAGGCGAAGATGTCAAGTTCTACGACTACACGATGCTTGTCTTGTTGCCCGAATGCCTGGTGATGCTTGTCACAAAGTTGTGCAACTGCTCGGAGGATGTTGCACGTGCCAAGCTCATAACGTGAGCTGCTACTTGGTGACTGCTGGTGGTGCATTTTGTAGTGACCCCTGTACACAATGTCAAGTGTATTCCCCATCCCTCGCTCGCTGGTCGAGTGCGCGGACACAGTACCACAACACTTTGGTATGGCATGTTCCGTATCTGCCTTTAGCCTTCTCTACACTATAGCTGCTGCTGTGATCTACATCATTCCATTTTCACTCACTTGATATGTGATCATACTCTAACTAAGTTCCACCGGGACGAGAAGATACATAGTCATTGTGTGTTGTTGATAGGTATATTCCACACAGTGTGTTCTCTGCAAGACAATGTCTTATTCTCTCACCCAACGTACCAGACTTATTGGCCATTGTGTGCATGCTAATCTAATCTTTGATAATATATTTTCTAACCTTTCTTCTACACATTCTCAGGCTTGACGATATTCCTTGGATTGTTACTTCAGGCATATAACCAAAACTTCTCCTTTCACTTTTCTGATGGTTTCTATTTTTTTAACGCCTCTTGTTTATGTTTATGCTCCTTTGAGTGTGCGTGTTTCTATCTACCTTTGGGCTGGACCCGTTCACTGGTTCATGTGTACTGTCTGGGCTATTTTCTGTTTTAGACGAAGATTGCAAAACTTTTCTAGGTGTGTATGTGTAGTTCTTCTTGTATTCTACTCCGTGGTGTACTTCTGTTTAGCTCCATCATTGGCTTTCTCGGTTTTTTTTTCCTGTGGCTTTCCGAAGTAATCCGATATCATTTCCTACCATTAGCAAGCCCACGTAGCCGTTGCTCCCCGACTGAGGCCACGCAGTCCAACTTCAAGATTGCAAAATATTTGAAAAAAATAAGAAAGTCAATCCAAACTGGTTTCTTCAGTGCAAGTGCTGCCTTGTGCACGCACAGTGCTGCTCAATGAAATCCAGTCGCATGAGTCAAGAGTGTGCCTTGCACCATTTCCCAGCACGGTGTCTGTAGGGTTGCGCTGGTATGCACTTGAGTGACGCGACTGGATTTTGTTGAGTAGCACTGTATACAGTGATCCCTTTATAATCCGGCACCATTTGTGCTACAGAAATTCTGCTGGATTAGGGAGGGTGCTGGATTAGAAAATCTGATTTACTGCTGCAATGTGCATGAAAAGGATATTTTGGTTGCTGAAAAATACACTGGTTTAGAGAGGGTGCTGGTTGATCAAGTGCTGGATTAAAGAGGGACGACTGTAATAATAATGTGTGTGTGTGTGCGTGTGTGTGTTTGTGTAGAGTAGCACATTCGCATACAGTACATTTACTACAACTTACTCTCTTATTAGTACGTACGACATTAGAGGTACATAGGGTTCTAGCCAGGTCACAACTGTAGGGGGCGGAAAATAGTAGGGGAAACGGTTACCTTGTAACCCATTTTCTCCATTTTCCCAAATTGTCTTGCCATGCAAAATGCAACGTATACGCGTACGAGGGCGAACCCCCAGTTTTACCCTGACAAGTGTGCCCTTGAACCCTCTGTTACCGACTATCGTCTGCATTTTTCGTTGAATGGCATGAAAAAACACAAAAGTCGACAAAATGAGTAGGGGGTGTGGGAATCACTTTTTCACAGGAGGGCGCTCAATCAGACCCTTTGGCTATAGCTAGGAACCTGGTACATGTACAGACAATAGCTAGTCAGTGCAGGTTGTAAGGTTATACACACTAGCATGCACAGAAATTCACTATGTCAGGAATCATAGAGACACGCATGCCTGGATTTGAGACACGTATACATGTCCTCTGTTTTACACCAGTACCTAGATAAAAATCGGACCTTCAGGGACATCCATGCAGAAAGGCCCATTTGAAGTAAAAATAAAATAAAAAGAGAAAAATATTCGTGTGGACAGTCGTGTGGCCACACAGGCGGTGCTCAAACAGTCCGCCGGGTGGAATACTTTTTTTAAAACTCACTGATCAACGGGCTCTTTTTTTTAACTCAATCAACTGGCTGGGGGGGGGGGGGGGGGGGAGGGTGGTCCGATGTGTTTAGATCAGCCACTGTCTATGAGAATGACGGTCATAATGATGGTCATTGGCAATGCGCTGTTTTAAATCTTATAAAACATACACTGTTAATTGGATTGGGGAGCCACTGAACACATCACGTATTACTTTGGCAACACGTGCCCACTCCAGGCCATCCAGGCCGCAGCCAATCTTCGGCATGCACACGTGCTTGACACCGTTTGCCTCACAGTGCGCTCGCATGCTTTGCAAGCTTTGGCGCAGCGTTTCATACGTCGGCTTCTGGTAGTACTTCTCCTTGGTCACCAGGTAATAGACAAATCGTCCACTGCGCTGCAAAGAGGCCAGACCACCGGGGCGAGCACCCTGACGCTGCAGCTCACTCACGCCTCCAAACTTGGCCTTGAAGATCTTGGCAATTCCCGCACCCATTCTGACGTCGGCGCTGATGCAATGTGCGAGTGCAGCTGTTGCTGGGCTGCTAAACAGGTCACCCTTAACTTCAGTTAGGATTCCACCAACTCCACCCTCTGCTGAGGCCATGCTAGAAGAATCTTGTGACTGATCTGTACGTAGACTGTTCACACCGTTTACCAAACGTGATGTGTTCAATTCCCTATTATTAAAAGCCACAAATTGAAGTCATAGAACACCAAACCCTGCAAAATACACTAAGCTTTTCACAGCAATGCAGTGCCTCAGGCTCCTCTGAGCTTCACGATGGCAGCCTCACACGCACCCTTGCTCTAACTCTGTTGGTTCATCTGTAGAACTAACTGCTAATGCTTATGAAAAAGGACAACAGTTACACAGCCAGATCAAACTCACTGGGTCATGGACCAAAGTCGAGAGAAAATAAAAAAGATCGCTGCTCTCGAGCACTTGCATGCACTCGATCGACTCATTTCAAAGTTTTGAACCACATGTACATGTGTGTCGTGCACGTGTTGCATGCATGGCTATGATATCGATAACGACGTACGTGATCTGAAAAAATGATGCAGCGCTGCACGTGCACGTAGATCTACGTATATGTATGGATTGTACGAGATCATGTTTTTTGATTGAAAGTAATTAGTTGAAATGAAACATGCAAAGATGAGAGATTGAGAGAAGACAGCTCAACTATTTTGCAGTAGATACGCAGCCCCTTTACTATGAGCTATGATGAGGCAGGAGTAAGAACATCAATGTAGCACCTTACAGTTGTATCGCATTATGTCGATGGTGAGGAAGTCTTCCTTCGTGGTCATAGGCGGTGGTATAGCGGGAGTGTCTTGCGCCCAGCAGGTAATTGTATATGTTTTAAATTCATTCAAGAATTTCATGGCCATGTATTAAACACCGCTAGTAGTACAGAATAAGTATCATAATTGCCCAATGCGAAATATCATAATTGAAATGTACAGGGACTTGTTGTTTCGGTGAGCGCCACACGGTCACCAACACATTATTTGACCTCCCCCGTATAGGTATTTTAAACTATTTTTCACACTTCAGCACAAGAAAAAGCACAAGAAAACCTCTAAAACTAAACTCCCTCTCTAAAGCAAATGAAATGGAAATATTTGTGCATATGGTAGGGTCATGGTCAGAAGATTCATTGCGATCAAGTTAGTTCACCTGGGTCATTTACGTTCAATTTAATTCAAGAATTATATTTATTAGAATCTCCAGAGGCAATTGTAGGCGGCCTATCTTGGGCCCTACAGAATGTAGACAATCATACAGGTCTGGCAGGACTTTACGGCTGAATGCGCGCCTTGGCCTGCGCCCGCGGCCGTACGCGCGAGGCATTGATGAAGGCGAGAAGTCCTGCCAGACCTCTGATCGTGTTTCAGGTTTTCACTTTCCTTGCGCCGCGTATATAAGCGCGGTACCATATAGGGGTGGAGGTCGGGGATGTGGTGGATAGACTGGACTACGGCTACGTGGACTTGACTACGAGATTATTTGACTGATCACACCCGAACTCAGGAGTCGGAGTAGTACATTTCCAGACTGAACTACGAGATTAGTGCATTATAGCCATAAGCATGCAGTCGGCCTGAAATACATGTGCCCTGCTACCAAAACACTCAGCAATCGCCATGAAATTCTTATTTTCAAAGTTTTGTTTCGAAACGAACCCAGAACGGTAGCCAACAAAATTTAATAGTAATTCAGTGCGAAAATAAGAAAATAGAATAATAACACCCGGAAGCGCTAAAATCAAAATCAGGAAAAGTGAAATTATAAACCACGTAGCGCTGAAAGTGCACCAAATAATAATTTAAATAATAACAAAACCTATAGTAAAGAAAAACGGACCAAGAAACTACAAGTTACGCTATAATGTCCACTAACACCACCAGTTAGTTACTAAACAATCAGCTCATGCGATAACATTGCACAACACTGACCAACGGTACTGACGTTCTACAACTAACTGGCTAACAGCTCTAGCACATCTTGGATGCACACTCCAACAGCCTTTTTATTTTATTATGGCGTAAGTTGTAATTTCTTGGTCCTTTTTTCTTTACTATAAATTTATCCTTGGCTCTCCATCCGAGTCCAATAACAAAACCGAGTCAAAAAACCAAGAAATCAGAACAAAGAAACAAGCTGATAAGGCCACCCAAATTCGTTGTTTCGGGTCACCCAACCGACCGTCATTTTTCACCCGACCGCGAAATGTGGTTTTTTTAGTGTACATGTACAATCAAGAGTACATAACCCCCCAGAGTGTGCAACGCCTGATCCAGCTCTGCATAGGGTCTTGGTCGAGCGTAGTCGGATCTTCTGATGTCATGCGGACACTTCACACCAGTGCAAGGCCGGTCTCGAGGCAGGGCTCCGTTGTTTTTGATCCGTGAGTACCCGCGACTCCCCGGGTTCCCCTCGAATGTGTACGGTATTATGACGCAAAGATCCGATTACGCTCGACCAATACCCTATGCAGAGCTGTATCAGGCGTTGCACACTCTGGGGGGGGGGGGGTATGTACTCTTGATACAATGTACATGACTGTGTACACACGCGATGCTAATGATTCTAAACCCCGTGCACGAAAACAGCAAAGAGCAAGGAATTTCCAGCAGTCCTAACATTGACCTCGGAAGTAGCCAAATTTAGTGACAGGATGCAGTGCTTGGTGACGCCGCCTTCTATTTTTGCCGATCCACAATCGGTCATGAAACAGCACCAGCTCTACCTCGCCGCTCATTGAGAGAAGTTTGGTGAGAACTGCTTGTCAAACTTGTTGGCCAGCGAGGCCAAGATCTGGTCCTGAGGGGACAATGACAGCACTGGATCGCCTACGGTGAGATATGAACGACTGGCTTGATGGACAAAAGCCTGGATATTCGATATGCACGATCTACATAGTGACCATGCATGTATGGAAATGGCAGAAACCAAAATAAAATAAGTAAAAAATAAAATAAAAACCCGACCGACCGACTCTGGTACGGATGAGTGAAGTGACCCGAAACAACGAATTAATTCTAGGTGGCCTAATAAGAAAGTCAAATAATAATTTCGATGAGGATCAAAATTTTCAAGTCTTGTGTACGAAGAAGCTCCAGAAAATATGTACAGATATCAAAGGTCAATATTACTGTACAAGCAGAAATATTCGTCTGGAATTTAATTTCGTCTTTTTCGTCCAAGGAGCTTTTGGACTAAATTAAATGTAGGACGAATATCGATTTGTCCAGCTTTTCTATACACTCTTATGATCCATGGGCGAAACTTTCAACCGGACGAACTCCTTTTCTTTGGAGTTGGACGAAATTATTGACCGACGAAATGTTCTGCCTCTACAGTATTGACCTTTGATAAATAGTACTAGGGGTGAAACAATTATACCGAGTACTCGAGTACTCGCTCGTTTTTTTCAAAAATAATCGTACTCGGAATAAATCAGAGTACTCGTTCATACATGGTACATGCCTTTACCACTGAATCTGCAGTTTCAGAGCAGCAGTCGGCAGATATTGATGTGCAGACTGTGTGGGGAACATTTGTTCATGAGTAGAGGGAGCCCAAATGACCCACCAACCAATATACATGTACCTGAGAAAAAAAATGATTGCTACTCGGTTCAATCGGGGTTGTATCCTGCGATTTGAAGGCCCTTTGTGTACAATTTTAGGAGATGAAGGATACTCGAATATTCGATCGCAGAAAATCAGAGTACTCGAACTCGGGATCTCATTGCCAACTTTCACCCCTAATAAATACCCACACTCATTAGTGACCACACCATCAACAGTATCAAATTCAAATAAATTTGCTTTGACTCAATACATACCTCTGCACTTTTCCATGTAGCACTGCACTTTTCCCTAAAAAGGAGTATTTTATAAACAGTGTATATTGGCTTTTGAAAAGTGAAGGTCAACGTATACGTATAATAAATGTGGTAGCCGAAGGATTTATTGCAATTACATATCAGTTATAAAAACCTCGGGGGGGGGGGGGGGGCTCGGTTTTTATACTGGTATGTACCGTAAAGTACCGTTGATCCGGCCCCCACGCCAAGTCGCTTCCCAGCTTGTTTTTCATGGGGGGGGGGGGGGGGGGGCGGGAATTCAATCAAGGCTGTTTGGTGCAGTGTCGTTGTACGACAATGCGGTGTTGTATCTTTCAGACGCAAACAGGTGAGAAAGGTCAAACTCGACATACACATTCACACAGACTCTCGCCCAAATGTTTGTTTGCGCACTAGAAAGTAGTACGAGGTTGGCTGTATGCATATGGACATGAGTACAGAAAGACGCATAATTTCTCTACTGTATAATTCTGAAGTCGCTTCAGAGACAGAAAATCGAGGGGGGGGGGGGGGGGGGGAATTAGAGTGGGGGCGGATCAACGGTACTTTACGGTAATTGCAATAAATCCTTCGGCTCTACATTTATTATATACGTACAGGGAAGCTGGAGAACTATTTGATATTAAAATTGAATATGATATTGGCTCTCTGGAAGTTTGCTCCCCGGAAGAACTGTTGCAGACGAGGAGTTTTTATCTGCGTCAACTCCGTTGAAGTTGCTTCCTGAATCCAACTGTCGATCACATCGCATGTCTGGCTGTCTGGCTGTGGTGGCTGTAACGAGACAGCCAGAGGAGCAGAACTAATGCTGCTGGCAGAGGAGCTGAACTGATGCTGCTGGCAGAGAAGCTGAACTGATGCTGGCTGTTTTGGGAGGTGGTGTAATGCTGGCCGTTAATATGTTGTCCCAGTCCCTAGACAGCAGGCCGATCTCCATATCTGTAAATCTAGGGAACACATCGATCAAAGGCACGGACTCTGGCTGTGCGATCTCGGCCCTTGCTGTGCTGCTGTGCGGCTGTGCGCTGCAGTGCTAAGAGTCGTTTCGTTTCTCTTCTTACCATCTAGGATGTCTGACATTGTTCTTTCTTGTGCAGTTGTCGGCCGCGTATAAGATGTCAGGCTGTTAGAGTTATGATGACCAGTCAATGCCATTATGTGCCGTTGCTCAATGCCCTTACCGGGCAACATCGACACAACAGTAGCGCGCAGACAGTGGTTTGTGTAGATCTGTGTCAGTTGGGCATCCTTTGAAATCTCGGGCATCATATTGCCGAGAGTGGTCTTGCCCAGTGGCGAGTTGCAGAACCATACTTTGTCTTTGATGGCATAATTCTGCTTCGCTCTCTGAAAAAGAGCAGGACAGTCAGGGTGCAGGTGTGCCATCATCATTCTTAGTGACAGCAGTTGAGCCTGGTCCGTGATTATTCCGGCACCGGCGGAGTGACGAGCAGATCCGCGCCCGCCTTGATACTTTTAGGTAGCGAAGCCCGCCGAGAGGCGTGCAAGCTCACCATGGTCATCGGTGCCGAATTCTACATCGGTCTTCGTGATCTTGCACTGGACCTCGCGACCACGGAGGCCAAGATGGAGTGTGAGGAAAAACCAAACATATCTGGTCAGGTTCTCCGCCGTTTTGCTTCAATCAAAGAAATACGATATCTTTTAATGTCAATGTCGATTATTGGATCTTTGTGTTGGACAGGATTACTGTATCCTTCACGTTTGTTCTTTTTCAGAACGCCGTCCAGAACATCATTGGATTTCTGGAACTCAACGTCAGTGTAGACGTTGAACTGACGGTCATGACTTGTCAACTGGCGCTGGATGGCAGCGCGGAAACCATGGTAGCCAGGCTCTTGGGAGTAGCCACCGTCTTTCCGTCTCATGGATATGTAACAACGGCTGAGCACATTGTTCAGCGCCTCTCGGGTGCACTTCCGCAGGTCGCACTCCAGACTGTTGTCCTTCAAACACTTGTCGAACATCGACAGCCACGTGGAAGTCGTGTCCTTCGTGGACTTAGGTACTCTCGAGCTCAAAATCTCCGCAATATCTGCGTCAGAGGCGACCACGAATCTCTTCTTGGCAGCAGGCTTCATATCAACAATATACGAAAGGTCACACAAACTACCAAAACCACCAAATACGTCGGAAACTGGCTCAAAAGGAAAGAGAATGAACGATCGCCCGCGCATGCGGATTACGAGTTCTGTCGCCTGGGATGTCATTGACCACGGGCTGTATTGCTACTGTATTTTTTTAGGTTTTAGTGCCAACAGCAATTCTGAACAGAGAATTGTTACGAGTAGTGACTAACGGTCCACCAATTTAGCTAGATCCTAATACAGTCAGGTATTGGCTCGCCATCCAAGTTCAAATTCTGAAAAGGTAACCTTGACCCATCAAAGCGAAAATGATAATCTTTTACAGTGCGGACTATACTGCAGTTTGTTTCATGTCCATGCAACCTGTCAACAACAATGGCCGCCACTGTTCTTCTTGTCTGATTTGCAGCTATCCGAGTCCTCTCCCGAAGCTGACATTACCGTGATTGCCGCTTCCCCTCTCATCAAAGCCGTCACAAACGTCAGGCAGGTATGGACATCTTCAACAGAGTTCGCTGGCGATCCAGAATTGTGCTGTGTGTGTGTAGGGGAGAGGGGCTCTGATATGCACTCACACCTTGTTTATCTAGACGGTCCAGGACCGGGCACTGCGCGTAACCTTGAAGTGTCCGCAACTCTGAATCCCATACGTTTTGATAGGGAATGGCCAGAGATATAGCGTATGATGTCACTACTTACGCAACAAATGACACAAAAGTAGTTATTGAGCAACTGTCTTGGATGCGAAGTTTTAATAACTGCAGGGAAAAGTACAACTTCGAACCGTTAACCACCATCATCAGGAATCAAGAATTTCACAAACCTGTTTCTGTGCTTTCTCATCAAGTGAAATACAAGCAGCCAGAACCAATGAAACATATACCTAGATAAATAGCGTCACAAGGGTGGTAACCATTGAGACTAGAGGGTCTAAAACACACCATGTCAAGACAATCATTATATATGAAGAGGTTACTGTGATGCGGCAGCATGACGCTGTCTGGCGATATAGCACAGAGGAGACCATTAGCGCTGGTGATAGATTCGGCATCAAAGCGCGATACCGCTTCTGGGTTCTTATGCTTAGCAGTATCGCCGTGTCTTGTCTGCTTGTGTGTATATCTGTACTTGAAGCACACTTACATTGAGCTGACTATAAGCGTTTGCTGTTCTCAGGAGGTTTGAGTAAAGCTGTGTTTAATCTCCTGTGTCTTGTTACCATGGCAACAGCTATCCCGTGCACTGACTGGGTTTGACGTCACCGAGAAGGAGCCCTCGACGCTGAGTGAAGCGTATCCGAATATCGCTGTCATCCACTCCAGCGTGCTGAAGCTTGATGCCGAAGGGCAGGTGAGATCAATTGAGATGATAGTGAGAAGTGCATAGAGCATTAGAGGTGTTCTCTGACGTTGTTTGGACTAGGGAATTCGATCCAAGTTCTGGGAAGCCTTTGCCAAGACCCATTTAGCTGCATAATCCCTCAGTGTCTGGAGATATGTGGATTTTGTAGAAAAAAGAAGAAGAAAAAACTCCACTACAACGGCACTAGATCCAAAATTAGATGCAGAATAGGCGCAGCAACCACAGCAGGCTAGTCAACTATCCAGAGCTGATTTGAATGTTCTCAGTACAGGAAGTAAGCAACCATACTGCCTGGCCATGTATCATAATTATACGCTGGCATGTGGGGTTCATGCATGTAGATTATTCATGTTAATGTGTACGTGAACCCTATACATCACAGTTTCCCATGCATGTGTGTGTGTATGCATGTGTGCGTGCGTACATGGATGTTTGTGTTTTGTATAGACTGTGCGCCTGAGCGATGGCTCAACAGTGCAGTACAAACGCCTATGTATCTGTTCCGGGGCAACACCAAAGGTGAGCAGCATACATTTTCTGGGAGTTGGTAGTTTCTATTTGCAGTGGACACAAACTGATAGGGTGCTTCTTGCCATATTTATCAGGCACTTTTGAAATTAGTATGATTACACATTTACAATTATTATTTTCTGAGTCGTGAGGTGGGGTTGAGGTGGGGTTGAGGCAGGTCCACCGAGTCACTGGGTAATGTCTTCATTGCAGTGCATGTTTACTTCAGATATGTTGTTATTGCCTTTGTAGGGGATACCGTAAAGTCTTGTATAAAAGCCGCACTTGAATAGAAGCCGCCCTCGAATAGAAGCCGCAATTTTGGGCCCATCAAATCACACATAGGCCTGGTTTTAGTGTTGACATACATAGAAATACCTGTCTTGTATAGAAGCCTGTCTCATATAGAAGCCTGCAAAATTTCACCAAGAAAGTCATAGAAACCGCGGCTTTTATACAAGACTTTTATACAGTCAGACCTCGTTTATCCGGTCCTCGTTTATCCGGATCCCTCGCCATCCGGAAGAAAATCGCTGGTTACCGATGTGCAGCATATGTTATGCATACAACATAACGGGACCTCGCGATCCGCATACCGGTGCATGATTTTGTGTACAAACTGGTTAAAATGTGTACAAAAAGCTTCTTCGTATCCGGTTGCATGTGGCTGGCTAGCGCTTGCAGAAGCTAGTATCAGGGAGTTGTACAAGCAAATGAGGTCCTTGACCTGCTGGGTGTATGCGGACAGCACTCAGTTGCATGCACTTGTCATTTTTCTCGCTTGTTTTACATACTGGGCACGCTAGTTGTACTGCATAGGACCTGTCTACATGTATGTACGATGTCACTGCTTTTGACATGCCACATGCATATACAGTATGTGTGTTCAGTTATCCGGTTACCTCGCCTATCCGGATGTTTTTGTGGAAAACAGATGTGTGCGGTTAAGCGAGGTCTGACTGTAATACGGTATGTTTTATACAGTGTAGTGATGGCTTGATAGATTGTGTTTTCTTGTGTGTGTGTGCATGCGTACGTGCGTGTGTACGTGCGTGTGTACGTGCGTGTGTGTTTGACGGTATTCTGCACTCGCACTTGCCTCTTTTCACCGCACTGCTGCAGCTTATAGCTCCTGACAATCGCCATGTGATTGGCATCCGTGATACCCAGAGTGTGTCTGTAAGTGCCTTGGCACTGTGGTGGGTTTTGCTGTGCTGTATTTTACTTGTAGTGTTAGAGTGAAAATTGGCTAGAGCAGACTTGCTCCTTACCAGCTACACTTCAATCATCCAACTTGTTTCTGCCATACGCTACAGTGGTCTGACTTGTTTCTGCCATATACTAAGGTGGTCTGACCTGTTTCTACCATAGGGTAGAGGGGTTCCGGGATACGTGAACGGTTTTCCATACCAAAATCCGTGGCGCGCTCCGTGCGATTTTCCGGCACGGAGAAACCGTGTGGATGGCTTTCTTACGAACCATGTTTCGTATGGAGATTTTGCGTCATCGAGTGCAGAAAGCTTTTTCGCGTTCAATTTTGATACGAGAAACGTTGATTTTCCGCGGGAATTGTGATCGTATCCTAGGCAATGACGGCAAACTCATAATTTCCGGAACAGTTCACTACTCGAAAAGAATGTATAAAAAATCCGTAGCACCTCTGTGGATTTTGGCGCAGAAAATCGTACTCCGGAACCTCTCTATTATTGTGATCTGACTTGTTTTATTTTGTTTTGTATGTTGTTGCTCAGCACTTGACATCTGCACTGACGGGTGCTCGCCGTGTGCTCATCATTGGCAATGGAGGAATAGCAACCGAGCTGGTGTGAGTGCTGACAGTTTCCACACCAGCATATCCACTTTGTCACTACCTTGCATGTACTTTAAACTATTTAAAAGTAACACAATCATGTTAAAGGCTGATTGTGTACTGCACTGCTTTAGCTGCTGAAATTCACACGGTATTTTGAATATCCGGATTGTTTGGACTGATTCTCACTACGTGACGAATGCTCACTGATGATTATCGCAGGAAAATGTTATAGAAGCTGCTGGGACGTGTATTTCTTACATCGATGAGTTGCTTGCAGAATTTAGGCCCATCCCGGCCCCTCGACCTGCTCATGTCGCTGAAACAGAACGCAGAGCAATGTACACTCCTGAGAAGACGGTGGGGTATTGCCTGCCAGAGCGGGGTCAGGATACCCCTAATCGCGTCTTCAATGCGATCAAACAGAGTAGGAGTATCCACACGGGTTCTTGATAGGAGTGACCACCGAGGCTGTAGCCCCTGAATGACCGCGCCTGAGGTTGGGTAGATGCAAAATCATCCTGACGACGAATCTGCTTGACCCAGTCGGCAGCCTTATTGGCTCCCTGATGTACATGTATGAACAATGCGTACTGGGCACTCTGTCGGTGCCCTGCAATCCACATGTCAGTGTGCACCCCCTTTTCCCCTTCAGTACAAAAAAAGTACTCTCAACTACTCCCAACCGGGTCACAAGTGCCCTTTTTTCGAACAGGTCCAAGTACCCTGGCCCCGGAGCAGACACTGATCTAAACTTTTTTTTTGTTCCGTGAAATTTCGATAATAGGGACCTTTCGCACCACGCGTACGGATACGAAACGAATGCTGATTCATCACCTGAGTTCGAGGATTCATCACAGTCCCTGCGGAGAGCTCGTTTTCACGAATGGAAGCCTCTTCATTCGTGGCACGCTCCGAATCCGTCAGGTACACATTTTTTTGCAAGGCACACACGTTTTGCCAGGTACACATCTTTTCCCTTGATTCCATGATCCATGCACGTGTGCGCGAACACACCCGTACGCCAAGCTACCGGCCGTATTCGTAGTTGCCATGCACATTTGCATTACGACTTGCGAAACCTGAATCTGCTTTCAACGAAACGATTACGAGTCGAATCAAACTTTCGTTTCGCGTTCGATTCGTAGCAAATGCGAAAGGTCCCTAATGCCAGATGGCCCCTTATAACTGCACAATTTTCATCATTCTGTCACAGTGTGCCGATAACCCAGCGTGACCTGTAGTGGATGCAATGAAATACAGTGAGCAGGTGCAGTGTTTTAACTTTTAAATTATCTTTTCTAATAAGACTAGAGCCTCTTTTACGGGCAAAATAAACACCATGAATGGAAATGCAATACAAAGTTGGTAAAAAACTTAAGAAGTGAAATGCAATGTTAATATTTAAACCTGTTTTGTTATAATAGTTCTGACAGGGATTTTGTCATCTTTGCTTTTGTCTCTGCGTAGATACGCCATTGACGGTTGTGACGTCGTGTGGGCCATAAAGGACAAGGCCATTGGCAGTGCATTCTTTGACAGTGGCGCTGCTCACTTCTTTCTGCCTGCCCTGTCCGGTGCTGGCAATGCCGATTCCAGTCACGGCAATGCCGAGGCTGGTGATGGTGTTGTACCGGACTGTGAAGTCTTCATTGCAAGCAAGCGTATGAAGTACCGATTGGAAGGTGAGAGTTTGGGGTTTTCTTTCGTCTACAACTATATCTGGTACTGCAGATTACTGTTAATCAGTGGGACCAACTACCTATGTCATCAGTATTGTCTGCTTCACGGAACGAAAAGGTTTAGTGATGACCCTCCCCCTTCAACGAAAAATATATTGACTTGACAGCTAGAATGGATTGATGTTTCAGCTATCTATAATTTTCAAAACGAAACTCTCCTCCACCCACCCACCCACCCATAAACGATACTTTTTCTCTTCTTGAAAAAGATCGATAATTACGGACGGCCCCTAATATAGCTGTATTGTGCATGTTTTTATGTTTGCATCTTGTGTCTGGAATTAGTGCGTATCGTCGCATCTGGTCACACCTTCAGCAGTTACTGTAGGTCTTGTGAGTTACCAGTATGTTGTGTTTTTGCTAGCTACCTGAATTGCCTTTCTATCTCTGTGGAACTGCTGGTGTGGACCTGCATGCACAGAAACACCATCATCATCGTCATCACAAGCAAGCAGCTCTCACACATCAGCGGACAGTAGCTGTGGCATGGGCAGTGCGCTAGGACCCGACTGGTCCGAGCCGACTGGTGCATTCTCCAAGCAGGCGAGAAGTCCCCGCCGAACGGTATGTCAGTCAAGCCATGTGTTAGCACCCACAGAATTGTACATCCCTAAGCGGTGTCTTGGTTTTGTCTACCGATGTACTACCGGTACATGTACTTATAGACCATAGCGCTGCATGACTGGTGAGCCTTACTAAAGACTCAACATGTTCCGTTGTTTCATGTGCGGCTCAATGGCCAAGTGGCAAGGCGTCGGTCTCGTAAACCGAAGATCGAGGGTTCAATTCCCTCTTGAGCCTTTTTTTCTTTTTACATTGACAATTTTGCGTATGCGGGGACATGTTTTGGGCTTGGTTCACAGTTGCCAGTTCACAGTAGAGAGGTTTTGCATTCCGAATTTCGGAATGATTTTCGACTGTGCTTTTCCGAAAAAAGCGCGTGCCGAAAAACGGCATTTTCAGTGTTTTGCATTCCGAAAATCTGATTCGAATTCGTTTCCAAGGGTTGCCATGCAAAACAAAATGGAGAGCGTCGAAGGGGTTGAGCAGGATCAAATCCATGTGCGCAGGTCAAGCTGCGGTTCGAAGACGAGGACGGACTGATGGTGGACCAAGTGATCCAACACTGAGCTGAAGACGAGGTTGGCGAGCTACTGTCTTGTACTGTCAGTAGGCACCATGGCAAAGGAAGATAGAGTGTGATGGAGTGTGAGAAGATTAGTAAACATGGCGAGATCAGCGAGCGCGAGAGCAGCAAAAACCAGGAAAAATCAAATGTACATACCGTATATTCTCTATTATAAGCGCCGTGCTTATATTGTTTCAACACCCCTCTACCCCGTGCTTATATTGGAGACCGCGCTTACATTGGAGACTGCGCTTATATTTTTTCAACCAATACATCCATACAGAGCAAGAAGAAATACATGCTAGATATCATGCATGCAGCATTGATTTCCACCAAGACCGTGCTAATAATAGAGACTGTGCTTATAATGTTTCGAAAGGTACTCACAGTGTGCTAGTATTAGAGACTGTGCTAGTAATGGAGACCTGTGCTTATAAGTATCTATTATTGCACGATTAAAGAGGTCAATATATGAAATATAGAACGAGTAAAAGACCGAGGTCCCCCGAGGTCTTTTACGAGGTCTATATTTCATATATTGACCGATTATGAGGGCAATAATAGATTTATCACGACATAGCATACCTAAACTGTTTTTAGCTGTGTTTATAGGAAGAAAGGAATACTATTATAATAGTACATAGTATGTACATATGCCGTTTACATTGGACATGACTTCTCTATAAACAGAAGTTTTCAGTTGTCACTTGTAGTATGTTCCCGAAGTTCTTTGACTGAGAATCTGACAGTTTGGGTTCAAATCCCAACATTTGGCTTCAGATTTTTCTTCTTTCAGTTCTGATTTTTTTTCTAAGTTGAGGAAAAAGTTCTAAGTCCTCGGGCTAAGTGGTCAATAATAAGCGGTCAATATAAGCGGTCAATATACAGGTCGTCCCTCGTTAATACATAATCTCTGGGACTTGACAAATGTTATGTATTAACGGGGTTTATGTACTAAACGACAGTGTACATAACTTGCTTGTATACCAGAATTTTTCACTTTTTTCAACTTTTCTGAGTGTTTCTTGCTGCCATGACTAGGGAGCGAGATATTCTTGATACCCTCGAAAAAACATAAAAATTATGTAAAAACGGTCACAGTCAGCGAAGATTCTACAGTTTACATGATACATGCCCAGCGGCGCCTGTACAGTCACTCGAAAAAACAACAGAGCTTCGTCGGTTTGTGATGTGCGCTCTGATTTCTGAGCGAATTGCGTCCACAAGTAGAAACTAGAACACGATGTGCCTCCACTGGAAGGCCAAAAGAACAACAAATTATGTACTATTGAGGTAGGTGGCATGCGGGTACGGAGAAATGTTATGTACTAACGGGGTTTATGTACTAACGAATTATGTACTAACCGACAAAATTTGTATAGAAGTGACCACGTTTCGTCCGGGACTTGAGATTTCTTATGTACTAACGGGGTTTATGTACTAACCGGACTCGTATTAACGGGGGACGACCTGTATGCTGATATTTGACCGCTTAGAGATCACAAGTTTCTGTGGGGGTCAATAATAAGAGAGTGATAATAGAGAATATACGGTACGTGGAAAAATTTCAAATAATCGAGAGCAGCAGAAAGCAAAAATACAAACATAAAAAATACACTTTTTTGTATTCAAATATGCACTCCCAAACATGAAAGAGCCGAAAATCCATTTTCGGAAAACCATGCACTTTCGCCACCACACTTCCGAAAGTTCAACTACTTTTTCGACTGCTGCCGCCACATTCCGAAAATAATTCCGAAATTCGGAATGCAAAACCTCTCTAATCTGACCTTGGGTGATCCCCCGGTTTCTCCCATTGACAAACAACAGGCAAGCCCGGCCGGCCGTAAGGTGATTGTACACTGTACATTCCGTGCACAGTGACCAGGTCTGCTCTCGATATAACAACTCTCACTTGTACATAAACCTCGCTAGTAAGTAAAAAAATCAAATCCCGCGCCGAAACAGCATCACTCCCATACAAATTTTGTTCTACATCACATAATCCTACATAACATAAGCCTCGACATAACACACGCTACGGCGCGGTCCCCGACGCGCGCACTCTCGATACAACATAAATTCACGTGCACGGTACGATCAAGCCCTAGCTGTAGCTAGGCAGTTTAGTCCTACATAACGTAAACCTCGGCATAACGCACCCTGTGGCGCGGTCCCCGACGTGCACACTCTCGATACAACGTAGATTCACGTGCGCGGTACGATCAAGCTGTAGCCGTAGCTAGCCAGTTTAGTCCTATTGTGCATATATTCTGCGGCATTGACGGTATCTGATGTCGATGGTGGTACAGTGTGTATATGTTTGCACGGTTAAACCCGCCTTGTAATACCCTTCATTTTGAGGTACATCTTGTATTTTACACACGGTTTTCTACATAACATAACTCTCGATATAACATAATTTTTGCGTGGTCCCAGAGATTACGTTATATGGAGAGTAGACCTGTAGTACAGTGTAGTACAGTGTAGTTTTTCTTCTTCTTTTTTTTTCCTCTTTGAGCCTCTTGTACGGGCAAAATAACACATTTTGTGAAGAATCAACACATAAAACGAATCATCAGATACAGTATTTACAGAGTCTGTCACTCAGTAGGATCACTGCACTGTGCAGGTTCACTGGATGCGTGCCTCCGCCGCCACTAGCACAGCAGGGGACTCAGGCACGGCAGGAGCAAACATGCTCCTTGAGCCACGCAGGCACATAGCACCACAAAGCACCAGGGCAAACCCAAGGCGGCAGCGCAGCAAGGAGATAATCTGCCCGTATGGCTCCTTACTCTTCTCAGCCAGGAGAGAGGCGATCCGCGTGAAAAGAGCATTGGCATGCTTGCCATAGCCACCAGAGGCAGAAAGCACAACGGGCACGAAGGAGGCATGCTCAACTTCACGTACTCGCTCTTCGTACTTCCGGCGCTTTTCCTGTTCATGGCGTCTGTAGCTAGCAGCGAGGGAGGTGGCACGATTCGAAGACGCAAAAGGGTCGAACACCCGTACATCAGTAAAAATGCGCTCGAATCGGCCACCCCACACACCACTAGCCGCAACGTCCAGCCGAGCTTGCTCCTCCGTGACAGCTGTGCGATGGCGGAAGGCCTCTCCGGTGACGGGCTGGAGGTGGGGTTCCACTGTCACGTTGTGAGCGACCTGCCTTAGAGCTCTGGCGGTGATGTCCCTCACCTCGTTATGTCGCAGCGTCGGGAAGCCACCAAACGGGCACGACAGGGCGTGACTCACATTCAGCGGCTTACTGCACACGCAGAGGCTTGGGAGCCGAGGAGGTGTCCAGCCGTACCGGAGGCACAGGCCATCCCGGAAATCTCCCTTGCTGAGTGTGAAACCATGGCGGCTGAGGTGGCGGCAGGTCAGCCAGCTGGATGCACCCTTTTCTGAGGCCAGGGCGAGAACAGGGGCCAGCTCCCGGTGATCCGAGCGAAGAGCGTCAGCCATAGACTTGAACGCGCTCCGCTTCTCGGCCCAAACCGTCGCCTTGACCGTCCGGAGCTGAGTCAGAGAGTCGCCAAGAGCCGACTCCTGCTCCAGCAGGCGAGACACGAGGCTAGCCGTGATCCTTCGGGATGAGGTGTACTGTTCAGCCACTGAACAAGGGTCTGCCATACCCAGTCCCCCAAGCCGGCAAGGCAGAGAGAGTAGGGAGCGAACAGTTGTCCCAGGTGGAGCCTGACCCGTGATGGCCGGGATGAGCCGACCGCTGATTGCGTGTTCCAGCGGTTCAAGCAGGGACGGCGGGATGGAGGAGGTCCGGCAGAGGAAGGACCACTTGTTTTGCAGGCCCTGTGTGAAGGCGGAGTAGGCGGCCTGTGGCTGCGATGCAGCGATGGTCATGAGCTGCGCAACTTCCTCACACCAGGTGGCGACCTTGGACTGGACAAATTGTTCTATAAACTCATCCGTGCCCAAAGGTGCACCAAGGTGGCGGCAACCATCACACGTGACCTGCACACCGGTCCCCTCGAACATCTCGATAGCAGCTGCGTACCTGGAGGGCTTGACCAGGAGGAGTGACTTCTGGGCATTGCAGTGGTAGCCATACCCGGGACCGTGGCTGACGAGATTGTCCCACCATTGGCGAACAGGCGTTAGCTTGCCACCAGCAGTGTAGTACAGTGTAGTACAGTGTAGTACAGTGTAGTACAGTGTATAGTGTATACACGAGTGCGATTGTTTTATGATTGAACATCGCCATCATGTGGTGGTACCTACCGTATTTTCTGGAGTATAACCCGCACTCTGAACACTCAAAATTCACCCAAAACGGGGGGGGGGGGGGGGTGCGGCTTATACTCCGACGATCAAATTAACGATGATAAATGGGCCAGTGCATGCGAAAACGTGTCTTCGGGGGAAACCGATTTCTTTCAGAATTTTGAGAAAATCGCTTGGAAAGAAGAGTTATTTTTTTGTGGCTCGACCGCGGATCTTGTCTACTCGATCTCAAGACGACAAGAGAAGCGACCGACAAGCGATCATCATGGACGTGGCGCGGCGGCGCAGGAGGAGTTGGAATTAGCACTTGAGGAATGGCCTCTGAGTAGACACACTCGTGGCAGACGCCGAGCAGCACGCCGGTTGAGCTGTACCGCTCACGTGATTATCGTCGGCGCGTCCGAAGAGATCGGCAAGGTTTATTATCGAGGAGGAAGACGACAATTTATTTGGCGAGTCGTGAATCGGAGCAGTCGGCAACTAGCAGCTGTTCTGCTCCAGGCCCGTCGCACCGACTTTGGAGATGGGGCGGCCATGGAAGGGGGGTCGGGGGGTCCTCCCCCGGGAAAAAATTTCAAAAATTGAAGCTAATTGCAAGCATTTCCGGGTATTTGGTGCCATTTCAGTGTACGGTAACTACAATGAAAGTCTTTTTGATTTTGCAAGAAACGAAGAAGACGCTACGATCGGGGACGAACATTACCCTCCCCCGGGAAAAAAATTCAAAAATTGAAGCCAATTGCAAGCATTTCCAGGCATTTGGTGCCATTTCAGTGTAGCTGCAATGAAAGACTTTTCTGCAACAAACCACGATCGGGGACAAGGATTTGTCACGTTTGCGCTAAGCTGCGATCAATGTGCTTCGTTGTAATGTGCTTCAAAAAAAAAAAAAAAAAAACGGCCGAAAAAGTGGGGCGGCCTCAGCCGCCCAAGCCGCCCCGGCTGTGACGGCCTTGTGCTCACAGTGACTCTGACGAAGCCCCAGCTAAGCGTCCGGGAGTGAAAGACTCCTGTGTTGAGGTTGAAGGCGAGTCGAGAGCGGATGAATCAGGCGGAGATTCTGTGGCCTCTGCAAGCGACGATGAGCAGGACGCGCTTCAGAGCATTGCCGCTGTGGAGTGACTGATTCTTGAAGGCTGTGGCTGCGTTCGGAACTACCATTTCAGCAGCTTCACGTCGAGCGCAATCCTCCATTACGACGAGTAAATCTCGGCGATGAAATCGAAGGACCTCGGCATTTTTTATATTTGTGCGCTGGCTGCGCTGCACGCGTGACGATCCTGTCGATTGTCGTGCATCAGTCGACAGCTTCCGCAACGGAAAGGACGCGCATCACGTTTGGATACACTGTGATGGGACAAATCGTGTGTCGAACCGCATTTATGCAGCTCCATGTGGTTGGCAGAATATGACTGTCTGCAAGTGGACAAGGAGAACATTAGCTGTGACCCTGGTGCACATGGAAAGCTGGCAATGTGCCTTGGAATAAATTTACTGCAGAAGTGGGAGACAGAGCGCAGCAGTTTATTCTGAACAGGCTGAACTACAGCTTAGTGTTCGGTCTCCCTTTGTCTGTTGCACCAAGAGGGAGAGGTGAGGAATCTCCCATGAAACTTACCTTCATCCGTCGCCTACAAGTTTGTCCTTTCGGAACATGTCGAGCAGTCTGGTGAAGCGCAAACCCTGGGTTACCATATTTTGTTTGTATCTGTGGACTAAGAAGTGCAAGTCCATCGAGTTCATGACGCAACGGATGGATGTGTTCAACAAGTGTGCGCTGCTCCGGGACGATATTTGTTCTCCTCGTGCAGAGGATGAAAAGAAGTCTGCAACGGAACCACACCGTGACCATGTTGTCTTTGCACAAAAGGAACGCGAGTTCTTGTTAGGTCAACGCTGCAAGAATTTGCTGGACAATGTTGCCCGGTTTTGTCTGGATAACAAGGCAGCCTTCATTGAATGTCTTGGCCAATACTGAAGGCTTATACGCAAAACTGTTGCTGCTTTCAGCGACGCTGTAGATAATGCATTATACAAGGCATATTCCATGTTGGACAATGCCATAGAAATCATGGTCTCTATGTACTTTTAAATGTGATATCCAGCTTCATCTTCCACAGAGTTGTTCTCTAGACCCCAGTGATTGGTTTTTAAGAAAGAAAAAAATTCCAAAAATTTGCCCTTAGACACGGTATTGCATGCACTGGCCCAAATAGGGTAGATGTCTGTATTTCGCGGCGAAAAAGGGGGGGGGGGGGATGTGGCTTATACTCTGGAAAGTACGGTATGTGGTGTGTCTGGCTGCAGTTCATCACCCACAGCCACCGGCGTGCTCAGTTCACATCTCCAGATTTCAATGTACACATAGTTGTGCTGGATTGGCAGTGGGGCTGGCGGTGGTCGACTCTCTCACCCATTACCATGCTTGATTTCACATACATGTAACTTACATGTACAGTATCAGAACACACTTCATTGGTTCCTATTGGCAGACGCCACCAGGAAAGTGGTTCTGCAGGGAGTACTAAAAAAAACCCGGTAGTACTCCCTGGTTCAGAGCCTCGGTAACAGCATGTTTCGGTGGTATGTGAGCCAAACGTAAAGAAGAAACAGTGGTGAACATGTACAATGAGTTGATACTATCCACTCATCTGACAAGTTGTGTGGACTTTCCACTTGCCATACTCGGACTTGAGTGAACAAGCTCTCTGCTCTGTTGGCGTGTTCATGCCGTTCTTGGATTTGTTGCTCAGGGTGTAGTCGACGTTGTGTACTCCTGTGAAGTTGATGAGATTCTCGAGCCGAACCCTGAGCTGTATGTGAAGGAACATAGCCAATCGACTGTCTCCACCGGCATGAAAGGTGAGCAACAGTTGTTTGTGATCATGACGCTCTACACTCTACACTGTGCGGTGATGGAGCAGCAAGGAACGCTCAGGAAGAGTGAAGAGAAGTAGAGCGAATGGTGCTATTAGTACCAGCAGCGCTGACGCTACTGATACTATTATTACCAGGAGTGTTAACAGTCGCAGAGGCAATTTTGGTTGGCTTTATCATGAAAAATGTGCAGTTCTGACTCTGGAAATACGGTACGTCTTGTACATGCCTGTGTATTTGGTAGAAATTATTCGGATGGAGTGATTTTGGTTTTTGCATTTGTTCCAGTATGGCCGTGCACATGTAGATTACAAGATCTTCAGATGTATTTACAATGCCATGTACACAATCTGCGGACAGAGCTGTTTCGTCCTTTGTGGGCTCATCAGCGCAGCATAGAGACACTGATGCCATGTACGTGTATATGGTGTGCCCGCTGCAGTAAATGACTGGCCGGTGTTTGTGCGCCTCACCAATGGCCAGCTGTACGGCTGCGACTTTGTTGTATCGGCGACCGGGGTGCTGCCACAGGTCAAGCCGTTCACCGACTGTGCCGAGGTAAGATGCAAAGGCAGCAGGAGTGCCTGCAACTTGTGTTTCTTTCTGGCCCTGGAGCCGTTCTATTCACCACTCACCAATATAACGTTGACGGCGCAGGGAAAAGCTACGAGACACATTGCAGCAGAAGCATTGACAAGAAATCTGGCACAGTGCACTTGATATCTCATGGTCCCAGTCACCCAATGCCACTTCCAGCATTCCTTCTGATTTTGTGATCTCTTTCGTATCAGAGAACCTTGTGATCTCTTTCATATCAGAGAACCTTCTGGAGTCCACCTGGTTATCATTTCTGTCCTCTTCATTCTTCTCTTCCTTCATTGGTCTAGTTCAAAGTTGCTGAGGATGGAGGCCTGGTTGTTGACTCGAGCATGCGTACGAATATTCCGCATGTCTATGCTGCCGGTGATGTCTGTTCTGCTGGATGGACTCCTGCTGCTCAGTGGATCCAGGTGAGGCTTGTTTTTGAGTGTGTTTGTGTGTGTGTGTGTGGGGAGGGGGGGGGGGAGGGGCAGTGATTTAACACAGCACAGGAAGTATTGCATCTGCCGGTGCTATCATTGCATGAATCAAGGTTCATCAAAAGGTCAGAATGTGTATGGTGGTGGGCGGGGGACTTGTTTCCATGTGTCTGTGAGTGTGGGCATGCTTGCACTTATGGCTGATGAGAATATACGCGTGTAATGTTCCTGTGGTTTTCCTTGTAAGATGCGGCTATGGACTCAGGCCAGGCAGATGGGATGCTATGCTGCTTTGTGCATGGCAGAAGAAAGTAAGTCATCAGTCATCAGTCATCAGTCTGGCAAGCTTTGTCCAGTCCAGTACAGTACAGAGTCTAAGAGGCGAACTATCTTGAGCCAAGCCACCCACTTTCCTGGTTTTCTTTAAGCTGTGTTCCCAACTGGCGCGTGGACGCGGTACACTTGCGGTTCATACATGGCCAAACGCGCGCTCAGGCTTTCACAAAAAACAGCAATTCGTCTCGTAGTTAGGGGGCGTGATGCCTTCGAGTACTTATTTTTTGACCCCGCCAATCAAAGTGACTGGCATGTACGCTGGTACGTGCCTGATACGCGCTGAAAATTCCAACATGTTGGAATTTCCATTTGGGCGCGTTTCTGTACGCATGGCTACCCAAAAGCCAGCAAAAATACGCACAAATGCGTGGTTTCACGCGTACACGCGCCAGTTGTGAACGCAGCTTTAGAGGTGACGCCAGTGTTTTGCCGTCAATGCTAGCACGATTTCCACATAGCAATTTCAGATACTGTAGTGTCGCGTATAAAAGCATGACCTGTATAGAAGCATAACTCGAATAGAAGCCAATTTTTTGAAGCGCGCCGTAACACGAAGCATGGTTTGAATAGAAGCCGCTCCCTGTAAAGTACATGTGCGAGTACATGCGTGACCGTATGCACTGCACAGTGCAGACTGATGATGTTGACGTTGAAGCATGTTTCGCATAGAAGCATACTGTAAAAGCAGAAATTTTCGGTGGTGTAATATTTTCGGTATTCTCCAAAATCGGCGGTTCGGTGGAGGGAAATTTTCGGTAATAACCCGCTTTCCAGGTAAGTGTACTACGAAAATTTTCGGTGCGTTTCATTTTCGGTAAAAATTGTTGGCACCGAAGTGACCGAAAATAAAACACCACTGAAAATTTCTGCTTTTACAGTAGCTTGAATAGGAGCAGGGTTTGAACCCCGGCTTATACGGCCATAAGCACCTGCTTTTATACGCGACATTACGGTAATTCTCGAAATGGGTATGTCCGGTTAATTAGAAGTCCCGCGAAATCCACTTGCATAGAAAATGTGTGGGATTTGTGCTGATAATTCGAAGTTAGCAAAGCGTAATTAGAAGCGAATTATCAGGATTCCACCTGTACGAGGTGATTTGGCTTTTTTTAACATGGTTGTTAGGCCTCGGTCACACTACGGCAAAAATTCTGCGTCAGCGTCAGAATTATGAGCTTTTCCATGGCGACTGACGCAAACGCGGGAAGTTTGAGCGTCAGACGCTGCTGCGTCTGACGTGGGGAAATCGGCTGCGTTGCCGCCGATGGGAGTGACGCTTGGCGGAAAAACAGTGTCTTTCAAGTAAAATTAGTTTCAAAACAGTTGCTTGAGTTGAGCAGTCATTCGATATTCGTCTCTTCAAGGTTTGTTTTGTTCCCTCTTTTTTCGAGATGAGTCCGTGGACCTACGAGGCCGAGGCTGCTCTGCTCCGAACCTGGCGGAAGAGCGAGGCGTTTTCTGAGAAGAAAATGATGTCGAGAAAGGACCAGTTGTTTGAGTGGGTCATCGGCCAACTGGAGCCTGTTGACTTGTGAGTGTTGTGTTGTCGTCAAGAGCCACAAAAAGGACAACCAGTATGACGAAGTCAGGAAAAACACAGCTGCGATGCGGACTTTTCTTGCCTGATCCATGACACTACAACTGAAAATGGCTTCAAATTCGGAAAGAAACAACAACGATCGTGCACGCGTGGACCTTTCGTCTTCTTGCAATCAAAAATCAATGAAAAATTTGAAAACTTTGTCCGACAATTTTTTGGCATAATAAGCAAAAGGCCGGTTTCCGTGGGAATCCGTGTCGTCATTGAGTTTCCCTGGTGATTTTGTGACGTAGACAAATGCGTCAGGCCGCGGCAGTCATGAGCTGCAAAAAAACAAACACTGTGTGACCCGCGTCTGCGTCAAGTGCTGCGGCTTGACGCTGCGTCCAGCTTCAAACTTGCCGTAGTGTGACCGAGGCCTAAAATGACGTTTTTTCAGCCACTTCTAGGCAAGCTACGTCTAAATGTATTGTTGCAAGTGGAAGTGCTATCCTTCATGCCCGTTGTCTCAAAAAATGGGAATGATCCCACTTTGGAAAGGTCCTGAATCATGTCCTACTTTCATAGTATTCTCAGGATTCAAATAATTGGTGTGTCATTTTTTAACAAATTTGTAAAATGGCATCACAAACTGGGATATTCGGTCATCAATGTTCTGAAGTTGATAGATATCACTTCAAGGATTGCCAGCGGATGAAAATTAATCTGTCAACTGCATTGTATGCTGCGAAAGCCGTGTTTTTGTATTTGTAACTAGTGGCTGTGTAATATGGTAGAATTGGATAGGTAGCAAAGCATCGCAGCCATGTTTTCGTTCTCACAGATTGTATTCCGTGACCTACTGTTCTTCATTATTGTCTTTAGTGATGGCAAGACGGCCTGACGTCGTCCAAAGGCCCTGCGGAAGCAATTCACTGCCCTCCTCGTCCATTTAGGGGCTTTACACATTTTGCACAAAATGGCAAAGCACCCACCACTAGTTATACCGACGTGGCAGGGAGAATTAAATTATATGCACCATATGTTCTGGTCAATGTTGATCTACGATAAACTGGCTCTCATTTGCCACCACCCATGTTTCGATACAGCCATCCGGAGCAGAGAAACAGCCAGAAGAAAAGCAAATTTTATACATTTGTTAAAAATGCCAAATGTTAAAAATAGCCAAATCACCTCGTATTAGACTTTTTTTCTTTTTTTTAAATCGCGAAAGAGCAGCAGCTTTTATTATAGTGAATGAAAAACGTAAAATGGTTGGCACCTATGAAATCAGGGGATGGCCCACGTCTGGTAAAAAAATGCAACGGTATATCGTGGCAGATAGTAAAAGATGATCAAAGAGAGAAGAAAAACTAATGCCAGTAATGGGATAGAATAGCAGCCTGGGCAACAGTAACCTCAGCGGAATAAGTGGGGATGTATGAGAACACACACCTAGCACCGCGCAGACACATATGGCTGGCCCGCAGCAGAGCGAAACACAGGCGGCAGCGGAGCATAGCGATGACTGCAGAATAGCGCTCACATCATAGCGCCCGAGTCGTCAGCAAACCAAGCCTGAACCTCGCTGGGGAGCGCCATTGCCTTGATCAGAGGGAGAATCCCTAACGCGTACATTGCCATTGCGACCGGGTCCCCTTGTGTGGTCCCTTCGCATGACAAGATGGTCTCTCCGCCGACGTGAAGAGCCGCTTGATGACAGTATGTGTTGATTACGAGGGGCGCGAGCGAGGGGCAGAGGTGTCAGATATTGTGGAGGCAGGCCTTCCTGTTCAGGCCATTGAAGGCATTTGCAGCGTCGGCTAGTAGAATACCTTCCGTATCTGGGCTGTCGAATACGGACCTCGATGCCATTCTCGTGTCCTGCGCAAAGCTGGAGACTGCCGGCGGCCTCGCGAATGTCGTCGCCAATGATGGACAAAATGGCCTTTCCGATGATCCGGCGGACAGTTTCGCCGATGCCAATTGGCCTCACTTCTGGCCGTTTGTCCAGGGGGATAAGTCGACAGGCTGTGAAGGCCTCCAGTGACGTGTCGACGAAGGATGTTGCCAATCTCCGTGCGCAGCTGGCAAGCGCATCGCAGAGGCGATCAGAGGCCTCAGCAAAGGAGGTGCACATCCGCCTCCAGGAGTTGGCGTCAACGCCCGATGGTCCAGCTGCACCAAAAGTGTTCAGGGTGGCTCTCCGGATGATACCTCGGTTTAGGGCTTCGAATCGGACGGGATGCGCGGGGTCTGGAGGTTCTCCCGTGATAAGTGAGGCAGGATCCAGCGGTTCGCCATCAGCGTGTTTCTCCCTCAGGACATCGCGCACCGACCTGCCATTCACCCAGGTGTCGAGGTGTAAGGGGCCACCATTGGACTCTGGCATCAGAAGCCGGAGGGCGGAGCTCAGTTTGCCCTTGGTGACAAGGTTGGAAAAGACTTTCCCTTCGTTGTGGCTACCTCGGCCTGTGCTGGAGTCCCGCTGCTTCCTGAGCTGAGCCTGGATGATGTGGCTTTCTTTTAGCAGATCTGCAATTTCACCATTGTTCCATGACTATCCGTCTCTGCAGGCACTTTGAGTGGGATAATCTAGGGGCCCCACAGAGGTTCTGCAGGAGAAGCTGCTGATACAGGAGAGCCACCTTCAGGGCTTGGCCCTCGCTTGGTGCTGCCTGACCGAACCATTCCAGGTATTGGCTGAGCTGGGTGACAAAGGTCTTGCCTACAGCTCCACTGGGTACATCAAATGTATTGGGTGCAAAGTGGACCGATTCGCTGTACGCGGCAGATATGGTAGCCGATGTACGCATGCTATCCATGGGGCCCAGGCTGAAGGCAGATCGCTGCAGCTGTGCGAATGGAGGTAGTGTTGGTAGTGCCACATCCGGTTCCTGGTCTGAACGGTTGTCTGTAGTGTTCACTATTTTGCTCACAGGTTGAGACTGCGACTGATGTAGGTCGCGCAGGAGTCTCACATCTGCAGGTTCAGGGGCTGTCTGGTTGGCCTGTTGAGCTTGGTCTTCCGCACGATCAAGCAGGTCCCATGCAAGTTGTTGGGAGTTCGAAACTATGGTACGACTCGTACCTGCATCTGTTCTGGTCGGCAGTCGCGGGGACAGTGTCCCAGGCCCAGGTGATCTGGGAACGTGACGTACCGTTTGAACTCCTACGAGTACGGGGCTGCGCAAGGCAGGCGGTGGCGGCGCGGGAGGCGCAGTTGGAGAAGGATTGTTTCGGCATCGGTTTTTCTGAGCAGGGCAGCGATTCCGGCATTTACGTCCACTCTTTAGACAGACACAGCCAACACAGGAGCCATTGCCGTTGCACCGGCAACACGGAGGGCCTCCCTGCATGGCGTGTGCTGTCCAAGCTGAAGCTTGAGGTGCGCAGCACGAGAATCCGGCCCAGAACTCAGTACAAATCCGACAGCTCCAAAATCCGAGACCATTCGACACATCAGCAAAAAAATCTTTCTCAAGATCGGAATGGTACGCACAGCTCGATTCGAGCTCCGGTGCGGTTCAGTTCCCGGGTTTCGGCACCACTTTGTGCACACGTCAGGCAGTTCAATATTCTTATTCTTGGGAGAGCTTGATTAGACTGAATTTATTGCTGACATTGCACAAGGGGTAAATTCTTGTTCTCGTTGTGAACTGAGAAAGAAGACCACCTGTACTAGACCGGGATATGGTACGCACTGTGACTTGTGTAGTACGCCTTGTGCTCTTTCTTTGAACTCTGCCATCGCTTGTCTCCAGCTCCAATCCCAATCAATTTGTACAATTTTTCCACAAGATTGCCATTGTCAGATTGCAATATGGTGTGCTGGCCCAGCAAATGTTTTAACCTTTAACAGTTATATGCAGCTGAAAAGAGAGAGAGGATGACTCAGTGTATGTCTGTGTGATAGTACTGAGTATCTGCCTCTGAGTTATTCATGGGTGCGTCCTTATAGAAAAGGGCATGGCGGTTATCCAACTGTCTGTCACTGTGGTGATGAATAGGGCTGTTGGACATAGTTTCCATGTTGCGACTCCAATGAGCTTGTTTTTCAGGATTGATGTACATAACATACCATTCCGTAGTGGATCCATGGACTCATGATATGGGCATACTTCAGACGTTTCCGAGGCAATTGAGATTGGGTGCCCAAGCTTTCAGAACCTCCAGAACATTGGCTACACTTCATGCGCTGTTACGACAGCAGTTATAGACATCGGGCATCAAATGGCTGGTTATAACTACATCAGCCTGACCAAGAGACCCCTTGGCACGTAGCTGGCAGTGTCGACGGGAGAGCAGAAAGATCAACATTAATTAATTTACTCGAGGTCACTCACGTATTGAATGCCTTACATACACTTACTCTGCCTTGCTTACACTGCCTTGCTTGCATTGTTGCCAGGTGGAGAACGTGCTGCTATGGACTTCTCCTTTGAGCTGTTTGCGCATGCGACCAAGTTCTTCGGCTACAAGGTGCGTGCTGCCATACTCTAGCATAGGGATTACTCATACTATGCCCTTTCCGTGCTAATGACGTCTATAGACGTCATGTGCGCTGTACGCCAAACGACTAATGACATCTATAGACATAAGATTTGCACAGGACATCGCAGTGCATAGATCGGTGTACAAACCTTCGTAACTCCGTCAAGAATAAGTCTATCGTGACAATCGATACACAGTTGGAAAGGTATTGAGCTCAGCTCAGGGGTACCCCTTCCCCTTGACCCAGGCAGTATTCCATTCTGATCTTGTGTTCATCATGATTGTCTTGTGCTGGTGTCAGGTCGTACTGCTGGGGCTGTTCAACGGGCAAGGTTTGCCGGACGATCATGAGCTGCTTGTACGCAGTACGGAGGGTGAGTAGAACCCAGTCATGCTGCAGCATATTTTTAAAAACGTAGCCCTTGCTGTTTCACCAACCGCCACACCATAACTGCGCTCTCCAGCCGACCTCTCGACACGTTGCCACAGCACACCACCAGCAAAACGACACATCCGGTGGTACTGAACTCCTTCATACAGCTGTTTTCGAGTACAAAACTCTCATCAGTGGAGGTATATGTTGTAGAATTGCAAAGATATTGATAATCACCGTTTTGTGCTGACAAGGGTGAGCATAATGCACGCGCCTAACACGCGAAGATTAGGACTCAGCAAAAGAACCAAGTGCAAAACATTGAAAAACTAAAACTGGTTGTTCATGGTGATAATGTAAAGACGTGATACTGATAACCAGCTGTGACTTCTATAGATGGCACAGCATAGCAAGTAGCAACGTGAGAGGCCCCTGGCGCATGCACTCCGTCCATTCACTCGCCACACCGCACCTCGCCGTCATCACGCCACAGGCGTATTCTTCATTTCCATGATACTGCTGCAGCTTAGCAATGCAGTGGCAGTGTTGAAAAATACATTCTCACGAAATACTTTATTATTATTATTATTGACTGGTTTGAGGGAAAGAGACAAACGGGATTATTATTATTATTTTTTTTAGTGTTTATTTGAATTCGGATAGCTCAACAGTACAGAAGTACAACTACAAAGAGTACCGAATAGAAGGCCCCGAGAACGGGAAAACCCCAAAAAACCCAAAAAAAACAACAACAATTTACAGATTATGCACATTGCTTGAAAGCAAATCACAACAATGATTAAGAGTTAAGCTGTCTCTTAGCCAAATAGCCAATTTGACGCGGAAATCTGCGGTAGTAGTGCAGGACTTCAGGTCGTCTGGTAAATAATTCCAAAGAAGAGCCGATTTACTTGAAAAGGACAGAAAGCCAGACATAGATCTATAGCGATTGATACTCATGTTATGAGTTGTTGAGCCGCGAGTAGCTCGGGTAGACGTACAGATGGGAAAGAGGGACTGCAAGCAAACAGCCGGCTTAATACAGTAACAGTGGAAAATGAATACAAGGAACAAAAATACTGATCGATATTGGAAAGAGGAAACATTGAAGTGGCGAAGAAGTGGCGCGATATTAGCTTGGGGTGATGCGCCACAAGCAACTCGTACAGCGCGCCGGTGGAGTGAGGCTAGCTTGTTTCTATTTTTAACGGATATAAACGAAAGGTATACAGGGAGAGCATACTCTAGATCAGGCTGAATAACACCGACAACGAAAGTACGGCGGGCAAACAGGTTCATCTGGCGGATAGATCGGCGCAGTACACCGATCTTCCGTGAGGCTTTCCGGACGACATTGTTAATGTGTTGGTCAAAGGACAGCTTATTGTCAACAACGACTCCTAGGCATCTGGTGCTTTCCACTTCCTCTAGCATCACACTTGACAAGGTGATTTGCAGTTGTTGCCTTTGTTGTTGTTGCTGACTTGTTGCTGACTCCCTGTGGCACATTTGGGATGGATTTGCATGACAACGGTTTTGTCGGTATTAATCTGCATGCCAAGGGAGCCAAGGTGGTTGTTTAGTATCTCCAGGGCCGATGACAACTTGGCTTCGGAACGCGCCTTCGACGGATCATTAGAGTAGACTGTCTTGTCATCTGCGAACATCACAAAATATCGTTCGAGAAGCCCATGGGACGTTCACTCTTGATACTGCGCCGTGGTTTGACACCCGCCTGAATATACATGTAGTGCGTCACAGCCATTCTGAATCGTCCCGAATTCTCGCTGCCGAGTTTCAATCTTCATCCATTGTCTCTACATTGGCCTCGTGGTATGGAATAAAGAAATATTCAGGTCGTCTAACAAGATACTATCCTCTCCCTGGATGTGGTGGACGAGCTCTCGAACACAGCGCCAAAATTGATTGAGCATCAGCTGAAGGCGAACGATACATACAGCCGAGAAAGAATGCTCCCCCAGTCAACTTTGCTGTAGAACATCGCCGAATCACCTCAGCTCTACGGACAAGTATACTTGCTTTGCAGAAATGTCATGACTGTGACATCTGCTGTAAATGACGATTCCTCCTCTAATCTGACACCGTTGGCTCCTTGCACAAGAACTTTCGATCTTGCACGGTCGATCACACCGAAATAACATGAAACCTGAAGTAGCGTATCATAGATGCTTGACCAGGCATGCTGGCCTTGGGAAGTATGTCATTACTTCTTGTACTACAGTCCATTTCAAAACTATAGACGCGTAGGGTTTTTGAAATATTTCAAATCTGGCTGGAACTTTTTGAGAATAGTTTTCGGAATATTGCTCAGGATCGCTCCCCAATTACTCTCTTATAGTTTCTAAACAATTGGATAACAGACGCCCAATTTGGAAAATTTTATGCACAAAGTGATCACAGATTTTATGTGGTATAGATGCTGGCATAACGGTTTTTGCCTAGGTACGCGTCTATAGTTTTGAAATGGACTGTAGTAGGCACTTTAGGCGATTTTTTCGAAACCAGAAATGTTCATATTTCTTTCTTGTATCTGATTCAAATAGGTATAGGAAGACTCCACAGAAAATTTAAAGCAAAAAGAACAACCTGGCACAGAGATATAGCCACCCAAAGTTGGAGCAATATATACAGTCCGACCTCGCATAACCGCACACATCCGTTTTCCAGAAATAAATCCGGATAGGCGAGGGAACCGGATAATCAGACACGCATACTGTGTGTGTGCATGGCATATGCTGGAAATCAGTAACCAACGATTTTCTTCCGGATGGCGAGGGATCCGGATAAACAAGGACCGGATAAGCGAGGTCTGACTGTAACGGCAATTTCAGTATTTCGATGACACCAGCACCATGTCGGCACTTGTATCAGTGTCCATAGTTACAAAACACCACACATGTGAATCAGGTGAAAATAATCAAATGAATGCAGAAACAAACATGGCTAGGCACTCTTCATTAGTCTGGCGACTCAGCCGACGACAACGGGTGTTGGCACCATGGCAACTCCATAGCAGCAGCATAACAACAGCATAGCAACCATGCAGAACTGGCTCCAAGTAGGCGCAAGATGACGCTTTGAGGTAAAATGAAGGTAAAGTAAATTAGGTGCCAGAACACATTGTTGCTATGGCATATAAAAGATGCCAACATTGCTCGACAGCAGCGTGAGACAGCACTGACGCACTGCGGGCAAGTACTTTCCATCAGCTATGGTCTCAAACTGGATGGTACCGCTCCTATCGATGGCGTCTGCTTGAAGAGAGGTAAGTTCTTTCCGGAGGGCAGCATTTTCTTTGCGTGAAGCTGTCAAGCGAGAAGACACTTCATCAACTTCATCTTAAGATCACTGACAGACACATCAGATTTGCTTTTCCGCTGAAACTGTCTCTGCCGAAGCCGGTTTTGCAGAGTCTGTCGACTTTCCTTTGATGCTGCTGTCACACTTTCAAGCTCTTCCTCCAAGTCTTGTGAATGTCTCTCTCTTCAACCAATCTTCTTACGAGCATTGCGAACCTGACCTCGGTAATCTTTTAGCTGCGCTTCCAAATCATCCACTTTTAAGCTCAGGTCAGAAACATCCTGTTCAAGCTCGACGTTTTTCAGGAAAACAGGGTCACTGCTGCGGACATCTGACTCTGAGCTGGATCTTGCAGATGCTCTGGAGCTGGAGATGGCACCGGTAGGACTTGTTGCACTGGTGGCGGTGGTGGGGACACCATGCAGCAAGAATTGAGCAGACAGAAATGCTGCCACGGACCCTGGTGAACGTTTTTCAGATTATTGAATTCTTGTTTTATTGTCCTTAACTCGATGAAGGCGGCTACTCAAGGTCTTCGCAGACACACGTGGTGCATCTAATTCTTGCGATAAGAAATGAAAAAACTATCATATGCAAAACATCCTCACTGAATTTTTGAGCCTGTTGAAATTTCACCAACTCCAGCATGAGTCCATTTGTGCAATAGTTTAAATCGCGAACATCGTCGTCAATACTTTTCTTCGCTGCTGGAAGCCACCTGCTGCTGACGATTCGTTCTAACGAGGCAGTTCTGATATCAGCTTTCTTGGTCCAGGTATATGCTGTCCTCTTTCGGCTTGTCGCTGCCAGGAGAGGATGCCTGCTCTAATGCGCCTTCCATAGCACTAGTGACTATTTTCTCCTTGCGCACGGCTGCGTAAGTCCTGCGACGAACAAGGACGCCTGCTCAGCTGATCGGATTCGACTTTAATATCACTTCGCGACGAGACTTCATCTCTGCCCATTAATGGCCAACAATTCCGTAGCGAGTTCCATGAGGACAATGCAGCTGAATTTGAGTTAATCTTACCTAAGCTAGCAAGCATGCCTCCTGTAACGGGTTTGGAACCAATCCCTTCCTTGCTGAGTGCTGCTACAAAGTCGGGCCCGGAAAGAGAGTCAGCTTTCTGTATTCCACTCCAGGTGGCAAGGTTTTCCAGACTTTCGAACGTCAGAAGCACCAGGTTGATACCTTCATTTGTGGTCATGTTGCTACAATAGAGAGGTTGTGCATAACGAAAATTCGTAAAGATCTTTCGGAATCTGAGCCATCTGGAAGTGACGAAAATTCGTAAAGAAAATCTGTTGTGCTCAACGAAAAACGTAGTGTGACCATGGTGACCCTTTCGAGTACTTTTTCCGCTGTTTGCGCGCGTGGTGAACATTTTTTTGGAATCAAGTGTGTACTCCGGTCCATGGCCCACGTGTAGGCACACCACCGAACTGAGTTGGGCTCAAATTTTCCAGCTCACAGGCAACGATCTCCATGGCTGGAGACCCTCGTCGAAACGGTTGGTCGTGAGAACGAAGCTGCCTGAGAAGGGCCAGGTCCATCGCGAGATCAAATGTCCTTCGCTGAGACGTCACAGGGGAAGACGAAGACGCCGAAGTGGCAGAATTCTGCTGCGGGGATTCAGCAGAATAATTTGTCACAGGGCGTAGCGAGCACTGACAGGACTTCCAGATCTGACAGAACTGACAGAACTAGCCGAGCGCTGTCCAGGTGACAGAGGATCGCTGAGAGAGCGGGAAAGAGAACCATCAGCTCCACAGGATGCCGAGTAGGAAGAACTCGCAGAACGACTTGAAAAGGCCATGGCGAAAAAATCTTGACACCACGTGCATCAACACAGCTACATGTACATGTATACAGAAGCTTGCGAGAACGAAGCGAAAGTTCAAAACGTAAGATCTTCAAGTTTCGCGATCGGCCTCGCGAAAGTTCCTTTCCTTTTTCGTTACTCGTGCCCAGACTACGTCTAAGTTACGAATTTTCGTTATGCACAACCTCTAATGATTGACGCACATCGTGCTTCTAATTACGCACCCAATGACGGTTTGAGGCGGAGCTCCAAGGATTGCACCCGTACTCAGAACAAGGAGAAAACGAATTGTGAATGGCGTATACAGCAATTCCAAAGCCATCAGAATCTGAAGAGACTACAGCACTGTGTTGTCTTTGTGAACTTATTAGCTCGGCACAGCCTGGTAGCAATCATGAATGTCAATAAAACTTTCAAAATCAGATTCACTTTAGCTCTGAAAATTTCTCTTAATCTAAACTAAAACTAAATGAAAGACCACCCAGGCCTGAGCATACCTTGTTGGATTGCTCAAGCTGAAAGTCGGTGTACTAAACAACACATGCACCTCCCACACGGGAATGTTCCGTGGACAGGACTGTCTCATCCGTTGTGGACTCATTGGGGCAGCACAGAGAAATGTGGCCGAACCTGGTAGCAATGAAACATAACATTGTAAGGGTGGAATTCGAATCAAGCCCGAACGATGCTATATGCATAATGCTATTCCATCTACTCGACTGTAGACCCCACATTGAGATTGAGTGGATGAAGGCCCCAATGGAAATATTCCTCTGTCCACCCAGAGGGCTCAACACCACAATGGGCAGAGCTTCCTTACCAAGAGGGCAGAACGAGGTTTTTTTCTTGCAACTTGAAAGTTTCATGCTAGTGCGATCCTCAGGCAAAGTAATTTTCACGTGATTGTACACATTCCGTCGAGCTACACCAGCCGGTGAATGCCAGACTTGTTGACGGTCATGGTGTTTTTCACCGCAACACAAGTGACCGAATAATATTATGTGAACGATCACACATGGATTTCCTTGCACTCATGGAGGGTGTTTTGTGAAGCAAAGGCATGTAAAACGGCATTACTGTGGCCCAGCATCATGTAAATTTGTGTGACACAGCCTGTTCAAGGCTGCTATGCCTAAATGCTTATACATGTACGGCACATAGCATTTAGTCCACTGGACCATGACACAAGTTCTTCTATTGCCATCCATTTTCCAAGTCAGGATTTGATTTGACTACTTCAAAAGTATGAGACTATCAACGAGGTGCAATGTTATTTTTCGAGGGACTTTCAGTGACTTTGTATTTAGTTCGTGTCGTACACGTAGCCTTTGCCTGGTATTAGTGGCACCTTACTTATATCTTTCCGGCACTAGCCTGCCGCCATGATTGCCATGGTTACCTGCAGCCCTATTGCAGCATTGAACACTGCACTTCTGTGATGTTGTTGTCCTGTGCTGTAGGCGTTGAATATGTCAAGGCAGTATTGCACGGCGGTCGCATGCAAGGCGCGGTCTTGATCGGCGAGACGGACTTGGAAGTAAGTATGTAGCGTTTGCACACGTGCAGCTGCAATGTGTCTCCAGAACAAAGTTGACACTGGTGTGTGTGCGTGTGTGTGTGTGTGTGTGTGTACGTGTGTGCGTGGGTGCGGGTGGGTGGGTGTGCGTGTGTGTGTGTGTGTGTGTGTGTGTGTGTGTGTGTGTGTGTGTGTGTGTGTGTGTGTGTGTGTGTGTGTGTGTGTGTGTGTGTGTGTGTGCTACAACTGGTGGGACCGAAACAAGTTCAAGTTCCTTCACTGCGGACAGTGCACGTGCACAGTGCACACATGCTAGAGCTGGTGAATAGCCTACAGTCGACTCCACTTCTTATGAACTTGTGTGTAGCAAATATTGCTGTATCATGGCAAACCATTGTCCATGTCCCTGTATGAACCTGTACACCGTTAACTGTTGTGGCGTGCTGCTCTCGTTTATAACGAACTTTATGTTGCAGGGGATCATGAAAACCAAGTGCACTTATGCAATCACAGACCACATGTCGGGTATCACGTTGTGTTTGTACCGTGTGAGTTCATTTCTGAGCATTTCTGTCACAAAGAAATTTGTCTACAAAGAACTAATTCTCCGGCACATTGGTGTTGGTGATACCAGGAGTCCACTGTATGATTCTGTTTTGTATTCTGTGTTGGTGATACCAGGAGTCCACTGCATGATTCTGTTTGTATTCTGTGTTGGTGATACCAGGAGTCCACTGTATGATTCTGTTTGTATTCTGTGCCTAGGAAACGTTTGAAAATCTTATTCTCAACCAGATGGACTTGAGTGCATACGGGGAGTCACTGCTGGACCCTGGTGTTGACATTGAGGATTATTTTGACTGATGTTGGGGGTATTGAAGACTACGGATTTCTTTGGTTGGGGTTGGGAGAGTCAAGACCAGTTTGACTGAGTTCATTCGATGCGACACGACGACTCTCCTCAAGGCTATACGACTAGCAATCCAACGGCATCGGTTGCTGCAGCTGGGGTATGCACTGTGAATACAGGATGCTGCCAGTATCAGTATCATGAAAGTGGTTCCAGCCCATACCCACACGTTGTATGCCTGACTATCGGCCTGTGTGCAGGCTACAGAGCAGCTAGTGAAGCCAAGGTTTGAATCAGGGAAGAGCTTGAACTTCACACGGGGTTAACAAGTAGACATGCAAAGACCGTGTCTCTTGCCCAATGGCAACATCTGAACCCCGTCTTTCCTCCACGCATCGTTATCAGTTCAGCAGCATTTGTCGTTGGTGGCATGGACGGAGAGTATCGCAAGGTGCCGATGAGATGAAGAAGTGGTTGTTGGACCTGATGATGGCAGGGCGGACATTCTCTTTTGAAGGTATTGTGATAGCCACCTTCCCTGATCTGTGTCCTGCCCGCGTTCTGGCGTGCCAACTTGACATACTTACCACTTGCCTCCACCGCCTGTCTTGCAAAAGTGTACATTGTTGCAGTACCATGCTCTAGCATGGACCAGTGTGCACATGCTGTATTCTGTAGCCATTACTTTTCCAGCTGAAAGGGGCTCTTAGGGTACATGTATGTCCTCTTCAAAATCAACTTCACGTATAACGGGACTGAATTCAGCCTGTGTATAAGTGTGATCGCTTCCTGTGGATTAGATGGTTACATGGAGCAGTCCTTGTCAACTAGAGCCGTCAAGTTGGGGTCTGAGTAACTCATGGTGGGTGTTTTCTACTGGTTGTTCGCGACTGCTCAATCTGAATCATCTTGAAGACAGAGTCAGCCATGATCCAAGTCTGTGTTTGCCATGTGCAGCACTCAGAAAGACTGATTTTTGCATTTATTTATTTCACAATTAGGGTGGCAAGTGGCTACAATACGTATTATGTGGGCTATTGTGACCAGCTATGGCGTGTGAGAACGAAACTGATGCAATATGAACTAAGATTTTATTCACTTTTTTTAATGTTATACTTTTGACTGGCTGGTCCATGTCTTAGCCTTTACGGACCGTCAAGGAATTCTAGTCTTTCTCTACCCAGTTCTAGGACCTTTTTATACATTCCATCTGAAAACATAAGGTTGGAGTTCACACATATCCTTGTGTTTCTCAGATAGAGAGTCTGATGTTTCTTGAATAAAGAATTGCATGCTGAGCTGCTTCTTGAAGCATGGAATGGGGCCATGCGATGCAAATTGCTGGTGTTCTCAGTCTTTCTAAACTATTGATTTTCAATGCATACATGTACGTATGTATGCTGAAACTTCTGTTGTACTTGCCAGGAACAAAGCAAGAGTGTACTGTATGAAATTCCAGGCATCTCGCCTAGCATTTTCAATGCTTTCTCAGGTGCCCGACTGTACTGTACCTTCTCCGGGATATCCATCTCGACTCTTGTGCTCTATTTTGGACTTTTGGTATTACAATTATTTTAGTCTTGAATATGATTACACATTGACATAGTAAGAAAGTTGGTCGGTCCAAAAGTTTTGAGCTCGCGCTTTTCCTGCCACCTGGACTTGGCCTTTGACTGACTCGCGACTGCCGCCCAGAGCACCCGAGAAGTCCAACGAATCTTTGACTCAGCAAACCTGCAAACAAGCACCACTCCCTGCTCAATGCACAGTGCTTCAGGGAATTCACCCCTCGTCAGTTGAGGTTGAGTAGGCTGAGGAAGATTGTGTCTGAAGAACACCACTTATGCAGTACTATTCAGGCCGAAACATCACATACCAAATTTCACATATGCTCCGTTTGCAGCTCGACAAATACCTCGTGAACACTAGAAAGCATTGTTTGCTGCAATGATATCCTTGGAACATGTGCAGCATTTTCATGTGCGACAGACAATATTAGTATCTAAGTACATTGATAAGTGAACGTGCATGTGCTCTGTCAAACCGAGCTCAGCTCCTTCTGTTCTACCAGATATTCAGCATATAGGGGAAAAGAACACGGACGTTATAACAATATAGTTTGGAGTCAGGTAAAACTAACTTTGGCAAAGTACAGATCAGTGATATTGTTGGACAGCAGTGTTGTAGTACAGGCAGTGCTATTGTCAAGTATGGTAGTATTAGCAATTTAAGAACACAATTATTTACTCAACTGTTGTATTGTGTGGTGTAATGCCACCTTGCAGTGGATTGTCACACTTGTCATAATCGTTTTTGCTCGATCCTTGTGATATCGACAGTCGATCTGGATCCCATCATTCAGCTTGCGTGTCGCATGGGGTGATCGTTGCGCCGTATCATTGGTAATGGTTCCATGGATATCATTCAGGAAGGGTTGACCTCGCCTCTCTGCAATCCATCAGCCTGTACTTTTCATTACTTGCAACATGTCACTGTTATACTGTACTGCCACATAACCAGTCCTGTTCATGAGGAATGCACCATCGCAAAATCACTCTAATCTTTGTACAGTGCATGTATAACCAACACGCCGAACAGGTCGTGTCGGTTCCTGTACGAGGCATGCACAAACGTGTCCGTTTCCACATCCCACAGACACTTTGTGCCAACCAACATGCCACCGCCGTTGATTGCACCGATCTTGGCCTGGGCAACGTAGCGGTAGCGCTCGCTGGCCCCGCTCCGCTTCGCAAGGTCACGCGCATCGTTCGCAAGCTGTTGGCACATGTCACTCACTTCCTCCGGCTCATACATGGTCAGTTTATCCATGCCGCCTTGCAAAATCTGGCTCAGTTCCTTTTCCACCTTGGTGATTGGAAAGTGAACTTCAGGCTGTGTTAGAGGCATCTCGTCTGATTCTTCCTCCTCTGATGAATATTCCATGATCTCGACGATATACCGATCTTCACCGTCCTCTCCACCGACTCCAACTGCGTTGTTTTTCTGCTTCCGTGGTGATTTCCGCATACTGTTGGATGGTGATGGGGCCTTCCTGCCTGGTGAAGGGATTGCACTGCCCCTCGCAGGACTCCTTACAGAAGGTCTTCCTTGCTTGGGATGCGCAGCGCCTTTCCCTTGTGGCCGATCCATGCTAAGGAAAACTGCGTCAGTTAGCTAGTCAGCTTGGTAGAGCACAGCTGCTCTTCTACCTCCCCACTGCTTGCACTGCCAGCGACACCCTCCCTTGTACGACTCCCTGCTGCCAACTGAGAATATGATGGCCGGTGCGACTTTTTCCGGTTTATTTCTCTGACCTGCGACTTGGGAGGTACTGCGGCGCTACAGTCGAAAGGTAATGGAGCAATATGCTAGCCTGACTATCTGACTATCGTCTGTCCACTAAAAGTTCATCCTCTCGATCGGAGGAAGACAGTATTTGCAAAACACGTGAGCCTGAGATTAACCTACTGGATACTGGGTAGTGCTTCCCCGCATGTGCTATTTGCGAAGTACTGAAAATGCTGCCAATGATGTCTGCCTTTGCAGTTCAACTCAGTTGAAGAAACTAGTCGAACAACAGAAATGTGAAACTTACTACTGTAGTGGTAGATCTACTTGTTCAAGCGTTGCTAGTTTATCGCATTTTACGGTCACCGAGCATCGCCACCACGAAGCGATACGTAGATCTACCTGTGTGAAAATGATTATTCCTCAGTCTGGTAGGTCTACCCTGGCCTGGTGATAGTGCAGATTTCTGTTTGCTTGGTATCGCGACGTCGCGTGCCGTTGGGCCTTTGCGTCGACGTCTCAGCTCAGCCTGGAAAGTGGAAAGAGTGGACTTGGTACATGGTGTCTTGGCCTGACTGCATCTACAGTGCTGGCAACTGAAATCCGACCCCCTACCGTCTCGTACGAATCGCTAAATCGCTAACGCGGGGGTCGGATTTCAGTTGCCAGCACTGTACCACTGACTCTGTACCAGTCCACATGGTCCAGGTGGCTGGTAACTGGTAGTCACTAGTGCCTGGTAGGTCTACGTGAAACTACTTGATGGCATTAGTGTGTATGTAGAAGTTTATTTTTAAAACCTCGCACCACAAACAGGCGATTTCGCCTCCTTTGATACATGTGTAGTGCTCGACTCGAACGTATGCTATCCATCGCCATTGTGTTGTTGGTGCTGTACTTCTTTTATTTTTTTTACTTGTAGAGTTTGGCAGGATCCGTCCGCCATCCACCGAGGTCCGTACCGCAGAGCTCTTCCCGCGCTAGCGCACTAGTAATAAACATTAGTTTAGGTGAATGACATAATCTACCCACATCGCCTTCATGCATACCATACCGGTGCTTGTGATATCGATAGTCGAATAGTCACCAGTTCAGCAGTAACTGTTGTATTTTGTTCTATCCCAGGCCAAGGACCGGTACCCGAGCATCGATAGACCCAGCAAGAGGATGACCACGGTATTGTCTATTGATGACTCAAGTGTGTGAACAGCTAGCTAGCTGCTTGGTGTTTTTCATATTTTTCGCATGTTCGGTGTGGACAAACTGATGATAAGCAATTGAGTACTGTACTGTAGTTAGTTTCGACGCGAGTCAAGCCCGGGGCGCGTGGCGCCTGTCGGAAGATCGTTTTCGTTTGCAATGTGAAACATCGGAGAATGTTGGCTTCTGTACCGTGGTCTGTAGCACTTGAAGATGAAACAACGCGATAGTCAGGTGAGACTAAGCTTGTGATCGCAATGATTATGTGCGTGACCTCGCGCACTCATATCATACACACACTCATATCATACACACACGCAAAGAAATTCGCTGTGGTCATGGCGAGCTAGTGTAGATCTGCACGTAGCATGCAGTGTTGATTGTCCATCCTGCATCTCGCACGTCTGTACTGAGTCTGTGTCCTGTAGTGTACAGTGCAGTACCGGTATGTTAGGGGCGTCTGAAGGCCCAACTATTCTACATTGGAAGGGGGGGGGGGGGGACGTTTGGAGAATCGCCGGGCCCAAATAACCCCATAATTTCATTGCTTCAAAAATCACAGGAATTATGATCATGATAATATTATTATCATGATTATCAATACAAGCAGTGCAAGCACTGTGACATAGATCTACCACACACTGACAGGATGAGGCGTGTTTCTGTATAATTATTACTAGTATGTAGTACAGTGGTCCCTCTATAATCCGGCACCATTTGTGCCACGAAAATCTGCTGGATTAGGGAGGGTGCTGGATTAACAAATCTGATCTACTGCTGCAATGTGCATGAAGAGGACATTTGGCTACTGAAAATTGTGCCGGTTTATCGAGGGTGCTGGATTATAAAGTGCCGGATTAGAGAGGGACGACTGTACTCAGTTTGGACAAGGCACAGTAGACTGTGAGTGTGAGAGAGAATACAGTGTTTGAGGTTGGCCCATACTGCTCCACACTGCCACTGAGACCCAACTGCGGAGACTTGCATGCCATAGTGTCTTCCCCACGGATGCCCACACACTAGCCAGAAATCATAGTTCTGAGTTCCAAGCATTCTGTTCTGGTCTGAGTAGATCTCATGGCTGAGTGAGCACCCCATGGATTAGCAGGGCTGATTTGTATGCAGACACATGTGTGAGTGAACATTGGTCCATGCGACTATTGACAATACGCCCTGCCCCTCCTGAGCAGATCACAATCACCCCTGCCCCTCATGGGCAGGTCCCAATCACCCCTACCCCCCCCCCCCCCCCCCGGGCCGAGTACGTCCCAAACATCCCTGCCGTTGTGAGCAGATCACAATCGCCCCTGCGCTCATTGCCCTCCAGGGAAGATCCAAGAAAGGTGACCCATGGAAGCAGGGTCATGATGACATCAGCCACTGTAGTAGATCTGTGCTGTGCACTTCCAGCAGGCAAAGCGGCGATGCTCGCAATGGTACGAGCAGAACCTGAAGAAGCGCGAGTGCAAGACGTTCATCTCGAACACTGGCATTCGCACCTCACTCTCTTGTCAGTGTGGTCTGAAGCGTACTGACCATGTGGCAGGCTACGAAACTGCCAATCATCGAAACATGACTTGGTTACCGCACGAACACACTCGGGAGGTACCCACCGATGCCGCTGGCTTTGTTCAGTTCACCGGTGAAGCTTCTAGTGCACCATCATCCACAAGCTATGTAAGTGATACTTGTACATTGCCTATGCTATTTTTTTAGTGATGATGCATGGTACATGTATGTAGCACTCAGTAGTCCACAAGCTCTCTATATGTGTTCACTCCTCTATATGTCATCACCTGTTTACTTCGTGACGACCATGTGTAGTGTGCATTGTATGCGGCCCACTGCCACTACCAGTACATGTGTAGTGTACTAGTAGTCAGTCAGCGGCCGGGCTAGAATCATTCTCCACCACCCTGATGTCACGTGCCGGGGAATGCAGAATCCCGGCTTGGCCATTTTCGCTCGATTTGAGTTTGCGCGTTACCTGGCTGCCATTGTCAGTGGGTGATTTAGTATGCTTTCCAGCCTGCACATCCTCTGGTAACCCATTCTTCAGTGTGCAAGCCCCATGTACTTTATAGCAATTTAGTATAAGGTGAAAGCCCTTTGTTTTTATTTTCTTTCCTAAATGCAATACACACTTTCAGTGTATGCAGGGAAAGCAGGACGATATGATTTGTTTGCAATTTCTCATCCAGTCATTCATACTTACAATAGTGCAGTAGCTATTGCTGGTTTGCTGGTCGAGATGTTCACGATACGCTGCACTATCACCGTTACCATGGTTACAGTGGCTGCTGTCACCACCGGGCACGTTTCAAATCTGTAGATGACAATGAGCAGCGGGAGTGTACAATCACTCCAGACTCTCATTACGGGCATGCATGCATGCATGCATTGCATGACTAGTGATGTGGTGATGTCATTCGCCTCTCTGCTCTGCAGTATGCACGGGTGTCTGCGAGCACCAGCGATGCAGTGCTGCTGGATCTGTTGCTGAATCGCTGGCAGTTGCCACAGCCGGATATCATCATATCGGTGACCGGAGGAGCTCGCACCAATGACCTCTCCGAGGATATGCGAAATCGCTTTCGAAAAGGTGCTGTTCCTGCTCTGCCGATTTCTGGTACATGCAGCACATTCCAGGGTGTACTTGATGCATACAGTGTTTGGGCAATTTGATTGGACATACCAGTATGTACCGCACAGCCAGTGCATTGCAGGACATATGCCAATACTCACTGCACTTCTCTGCAACGCATACCGGTATTCACAATACAGTAAGAGAGAATGTACCGCCTTCTGAAAACACTAATATTTGAAGAGAACGGCATGCCAGAACCTGACTGTATATAAGTGCCTGTTCACCTCCGTCAACTCAAATTCCTCCGGTCCTTCTTCCATTCTCCGTTCCATTCTTTTCTCAATCGTCTTTCTATTCTGGTTTCTGGACAGGGTTGGTGAAGGTTGGTATGGCCAGCAATGCATGGCTTGTGTCCGGTGGTACCAACACTGGAGTAATGAAGCTGGTTGGCGACGTGGTGCAAGAGCACACCGTACACCGTGCAAAGTCACATGCCTCGTCGCGCAACCTGTGCGCCATTGGCTTTGCAACGTGGGGCACTCTCGAGGACCGTGAATCGCTGGTGCAGCAGCCACTCTCAGCAGTAAGGGTCCCTTAAGTACATGAACAGAATATCAGTCTTGACTAACTTCATTGCCTGCATGTTACTACTGCTGACCAGATGTGTAAACAGAGTGTTATCTTGGGCTAGCACTAGACTCTTAGCTACAGTCAGACCTCGCTTAACCGCACACATCTGTTTTCCACAAAAACATCCGGATAGGCAAGGGAACCGGATAACTGAACACACATACTGTATATGCATGTGGCATGTCAAAAGCAGTGACATCGTACATACATGTAGACAGGTCCTATGCAGTACAACTAGCGTGCCCAGTATGTAAAACAAGCGAGAAAAATGACAAGTGCATGCAACTGAGTACTGTCCGCATACACCCAGCAGGTCAAGGACCTCATTTGCTTGTACAACTCCCTGATACTAGCTTCTGTAAGCGCTAGCCAGCCTCATGCAACCGGATACGACGAAGCTTTTTGTACACATTTTAACCAGTTTGTACACAAAATCATGCACCGGTATGCGGATCGCGAGGTCTGGTTATGTTGTATGCATAACATATGCTGCACATCGATAACCAGCGATTTTCTTCCGGATGGCGAGGGATCCGGATAAACGAGGACCGGATAAGCGAGGTCTGACTGTATCGTCATTTTGCACCGTCTGGACTGTAGTGATTGGTACAGCACTCTGCAAGTGTAGGCTTGCATCATACTTCAACATACTCTTTTGCAAAGCCAACATTCACCACAATAGGAGTGCTGTCAGCTCTTTGTTAATAACAGTCTTGTGTGGGTCCGACGCATGCATATTGAAAGATCTATTTTGTTACTCTTGTCACTGTACACCGCTAACAGTACCCTGTGAGGTACACAGCCTCATCCAGCAGAGCTCTGAACCCGCACCACACACACTTTCTCCTCGTCGACAATGGCTCCACTGGCTCGTACGGCGTGGAAATTCAACTGCGCGCTCGTCTGGAGAAGGCCATGTCAAAATGTCGGCTGGAAGGAGGTAAGGAGGTTAGCTTGCACTGCAGGAGATAGTGTGATGATTGTCTTTAGTCCTTAGATCATAGCAGCGCATTGCAATGATTATGTGGCCATTTTGCATACACGAGTATCTGCTTTCCTTTTTCTGAGGCCTTCAGCACCGGCATCCAGTCCATACACTATATGTACGTCACATACTGATAAATCATGTGTGTTGTTGTTTCCAAGATTGGGTGAGCAACTTATCGGGAGTAGACTGCAGCCAGTCAGCTAATGGTGCATTTGTCCGGCTCTGCTTTCATCGTAGCTAACGGCAATGCCAGCAAGATCAGTGTGGTGGTGCTGGCCGTGGAAGGAGGCCCGAACACGCTGAGAACAATCCGGCAGGCCGTGTCGAAAGGTCTTCCAGCAGTGCTCATCCAGGGTACCGGCCGAGCCACAGACTTGCTGATACACGCCTACAACAACTCCTGTCAAGTGAGCGGACGGAACGGGTCAGTAATTGCTGCTACTGTTTTCTGAATTGATCATAGCCTCGTAGGTCATGCTCTCATTCTCTGACTTCTGCTATTTCCCCGTCACTAAGTTCAGTTCTCGAAGTAGTGTGCCACCTGTAACTGGAAATTGTAGTCCGAATTCCCCTGCCTATCGTTTTCCCGGAAAATGATGCTGTCGCTCTGGCTAACACTCTTAGTCTGGATGGTCCAATACCACACTTTCACGGGATTGCAAGTAGCAAACAGCTAGATATTATCTTATAATGCCTTTCAATACTAAGGTGGACCATACAATAATGGATCTAGAATTCAGCGATTGTCCTGAGACTCGAACAAATCGAGGAAAATAACTGGTGTGCTCAAGTAAGCAATAATTATTGTAGGTCTGAAAGCATGACTTTAGGACTCGATACGAGGGAGTTTTGTGAAGGCAGGGTGCTAAACACTGGGCCGTATCAGAGTTGTATACTCCTGGGCTCTTGGTACAACGCAAGTAGAGAATGTATGTGTCCTGCCAAGCAAATGGCTTCTAGTCTGGTACTTGTATAGCACGAACGTTATTTTGGCAACTGAATCCGATCCCAATTATACCCGATCCGAGAAAATGAATTCCCTGCCTGGCTCCCAGGTATGCCATACACTACCTTGTAGTCCGGAAGATATGTCCCAGGTAAATATGGCAGCTTGCGTAGCACGTCATGCACATGACCGTAGTGAATGTAGCCTAGTCACTTGAACACACTACCCAGGTTGTGACTGGGGACTAGCACTACGAGCTGCGCCTGGTAGCTTCCTGCACAGTAGCCGTATCACTTGGTATGATTACCTTCACTCTTGATATTTATTTTCCTGTGTCCCTTGTTCGCTCTGCTGCACTTTGCAGAATATTTCAGCAAGTTCCACCAAAACTGCTGCCTGAACTCAGGGAGAAAATCTCCTCAGCATTCCGACTGTCAGGCATTGGGAGCCGCGAGAAGCAGCTGCATCGCTGTGAAGCTGAGATACAAGAATGTCTGAAGAATAAAGATATGGTAGGGTCTGGGGTCCTAGACTGAGTAGGCCGCTAGTCACGGCTTGCATTGACTGTAATGGTATCCATGCACAGGGTCCGTATATACTGTATGTTGCATGGTAAGCACAGTGGTCATTGAGAACTGGTAGCCCCCCCCGATGTCGGCTTTCTTCTTTTGTTTACTGGGTGATCGTGATGGTCAAGGGGGGGGGGGGACCTATAAATATAATCCAAAAACAATGCAACTGCCGCTTACTTGTAGAGAACTGCCTGAGCTCAAGTTTATCAGTGTTGTGGATGCCGCAACTTCCACATACTTGGACACCAATCCAACGAATGAGCGAATAATCTACTTTTTCCCCATAAACCAGTGATGAACGCTGAGATAGGAGGTTGTACCGTGCTGGCCAAACTCTCCTTATTCTCCAATATGCCTTATCTCTCCTGTGCCATTTGTTTGTCTAGACACTGCTGACGCAGGTGGGATTGCTCTCACAGCAGTGCTTAGTGCTTTTAGAGGTGTGATTGCCAAACGGGATGGCAGTAGTGTGATATTTCTATACTCCTAGGGGAAGAAAAATGTAGAAAGTATGGGTGAGGTTTCTTGCAGTTTCATTTAGAGGAAAGGCATTTGAGCTTGACCTGATGACTGGTGAAGGTTCCGACAAGTTGCTGAAATTGATATGAAAACGGTGTGAAGCGTTTTGCAGAGTGATGGGAACGAGTTTGTCAGCTCAAGTGCTTTTTTATTATAAGAAAAATATACATTTGGGAAGCAAACTATGAAGTGCTCAGAGGCAAACTGATATCATCTACCCATGCCGATTGCCCACACATGCCAATGGTGTTCATGTTTGCTAAGGTTGTTGCAAATGTCTCAGTAAATGAATCTGTTCTCTTCTTGGGTGTTGATGCGAGGGCAGTTGCACATAGTCAATCTGATGGGAGGCGAGGAGGAAGATCATCTGGACTATGCTATTCTCAAAGCCTTACTCACAGGTAAGATCTTGGGGCAAGGCGAGTGTTGCGGCGAGTGCCACGAGTTCTATCAGCACGGCCGTCTCGGGTCTGTCGTATGCATGGATATGGGACTTGTACTCTCACTTGTTCATTATTTTGAGCAAGCTGACTGACACTGGAGTGCGGGGAAACACGGTGCATTGACTTAAAATGCTATCACCGGGCTGGGTGTCTATCCATCTCTGCCTCTCTCTCAGTTAATGCTGGATCAGCTGTGGAGCAACTTCACATGGCACTGACATGGAACAGGCCTGACTTTGCCGAAAAGGAAGTGTTTGACAAGATTCCGGCGTGGAGAGTAAGTACACTGTAGCTACAGTGGACATGATTGTACTCAGTGGAGTAATGCGGCATGGCCCTTGTGTAACTCTAGCTATCACTGGAGCGGTTCGCACTCCGACTACTTGGAATGGTGAGGCAACGGTCGAGAATGTATGCAAGCTGCAAACATGGTCACGTTTGGGCAAAGTAGGTTTGAAGTATCCTCTCTGCACTGTGTAGCCACATCAGTATGTCTTGACCAGCGCATTGCTTGGCTAGCAAGCAGCCCACACGGAAATCTAGATTTATTGTGTACTAGCACACACGGAAATCTAGATTCATTCCTGTAGCTATGCAAAAGACGTTACTTAAGTAACACCTGGCGCTAGCCTAGGTCCGCACAGCTTTAATTCGGTAATTGTTTGTGCCTGGCGACGGCATCCCTGGCGCTATCCCGTATATGTCCCGTACCGTACCATCAAAGATAGCTGACCACCTTATTCAAATAGGGCTTTCAACTGCAAGATCAAGCGAGAAGCAACTTGGAAGAATGTGTATATGTGCGAAGTGTATTGGGGGCCAGAAATGCATGCAGGGCGATAGTGCGGATTCGAATCCCATGTTAGGCCAAGCCAAAGAATATACTTCATGATCGTCCTTTTTTTAAGAAAACTTGAAAATGGGGAGGGAGTGCGGATTTTTATTTTTATCATTGTAAAAGACAGCTGGCCACCTTATTGAAATAGGGCTTTCAACTGCCAGATCATAACGTGAAGCAACTTGGAAGAATGTGTATGTATGCTAAGTGTATCAGGGGAATGCATGCAGGGCGATATTGCAGTTCGAATCCCATCAGGTAGGCCAACCCAGGGATCACAATGGCATGTACTTCATGATTGTCCTGTTCTTCAGAAAGAAATGGGGAGAGTGGTTGTATTTTTATTTTTTATCATTGTATTGCAAAAACGTTTCCAGTAGTTTGAATAACATGCATGATGACCTAGGCAAATTTATCATAGCGAGGGCCCTGAGCTTTCAAGCTCTCTTGTTGTATCAATGGGATGCACATGTAGGTGCCTTTGTGTACACCGACATAGTACCGACTCTCAGCATCACACTACGGTTTATTTTCTTCATTTCCCTCTAGCCCGGCCTGTTGGATAGTGTACTGATGCGAGCGCTGGTCGAAGGAAAGGTTGAATTTGTCAAACTCCTTATCCAGAGCAAGGCAGTGTGTCTGGAGAAGTTTGCAAAGCAGGACACTGTTCTCTCTCTGTACAATTCGGTGAGTCGGCATCTTCATAACCAGTAGTGGGTGGTGCCTATGTTTGGTATGTTCCGGTATGCAGTCAAACCTTGTTAGGATGAACTTCAAGGGACTGAACATGTTTGTTTGTTTGTCTTATCTGGGTAAGAACCTGAGGGCCGTAGGCCCGAGGGCTAACATGAAGTGCGCTAACAAACTAGGAAGGCCCTCCCTAGGCTTAGGCTTCCATAGGCATAGGCTTCCGACATGCCGCATGCTCATCCAACATGCATGCACATCCAACATGCATGCACATCAAGATCTCTTCACTGCTTCATGTACATGTAGTGTGTTATATACGCCTTATGTACATTGTATATATGTACATTGTATATATGTACGGAACCCTGTAGAACCTCGTATAATCCTGTAGACTCTGCTTGGTGTTGAATGTGCAGGAACCTATTGTGTTTGCTGCTACAGTATTTACTCGTACACTAAGAAACAGGCCTAAACGACATTAAAAACTTTCTTTGGATGAAAAATCTAGCTAGTGATTAGTTCTATCCAAAGTGATGAAGCTGGAAAAGCGATTGTCTGCCATTGATAATTGGGCTAAATTGGTCAAATGCACATGTATAATAGCGCACAATGAACACTCAACTGGACATGTACACCGGCCTACGGCCCTAGTACAGAATTTCGTACATCTGTACAACGTGCACTGCCTAGTTGGTGGGTTCCCTGCACACAAGTAGGACTATCACTTTTGATCTGTCAAGATGTCTATTGTGTTCTAGCTGACACCTAGGACTGTGTGTGCGTGTTCATGTGTGTGCACATATGTGCATGCACAGTTTTCTTCTGTTGTTACCCTTAGGGTGATGTTCTTGAACTACAACAAGACTCCAGTAAGTACCCGGATCGGCTGCTTCTCAATGCAATGACATTTTGAATTGTTTTCTAAGACACTTGGAGATCTGGGGTACAACAATCCACGAGACCAAATACTACATTGGAACACTTGGAGTCCTTCGTACTTCAATTTTTCTTGAAGTAGTACCTTTGCCTGAGCTTCATCAACAAAAGGTCTTCAGAATTGTATACTAGCGCACTCCTACCTGGGTTATCCAGACCCCGACTTTACCAGCACTTCAGTCTACCACCGGGCACCCTTTGGGCGAGTTTCAGTGGAAATATTCAACGTGACTACTCTTTTGTCACTTTTTGTGTAAATAGTGACGCCACATGCCATGTCTATGGCCTTTCCCAACCAGCATGTATGTGATTTGGAGTTAATGATATTTCAAAGTTACGGGCAGTGCCTGGTCCCGACCACCCCCCCCCCCCCCGGATAAATGAGGTACGAGTGTAGTTTGAAGTAGATGACACATACGGAGTAAGTGGCCGTGTGGTTGTAACACAACAAACCTATCTGACCGGCTGCTATGTCGTTAGTGCATCATTGTGCACATGCTTTGGCCCAGTGTGTGTGCGCCCGTGTGTGTGTGTGTGTGTGTGTGTGTGTGCGTGTGCGTGCGTGTGTGTGTGCGTGTGTGTGTGTGTATGTATGCGTATGTGTGTGTGTGTGTGTATGTATGTGTGTGTGTGTGTGTGTGTGTGTGTGTGTGTGTGTATGCGTGTGCGTGTGTTCAGGATCGTGTGACCATATTCATGTTGGTGTTACCGCATGTCTACAACTGGTACATGCACCGATGAATTGAATTGACATCACAGACTCAGTACTGTATTTGCAAGGTAGAGCGAAATCACTGTCAGCATGTTTGACAAGTCCACGAGCTCCAGTCGTTATCCTTATTCTTTCATACATGTAGCAAGAAAAATACAAAACCCCCGTCTGGACTCGGAAATTCCACAAACCGGTTTTCACGCTTTCTCGCCAAGCTAGTGAAGTACAAGCAACTAGAACCATGCGACGGAATGGATTTATAGTATCACTTTTAATCCTTAAGAAGGGCTGGCAGGGGCGGATCCAGACCCCAAAGCTGAGGGGTGCGAGGATGAAACTTACATATTTTCTTTTGCAGTACTGTAGTAAACCAAAGACATAGTATGTTATGTGTGTTACTGTATAGTATCATAATTACACATAGCACCAAGATGAGTAGTATGATTAGTTACACATTGAATGTCAAAATTTACAAGTAATTTACGACTGCTACCGGTATGATTCTCAGTCAGACACAGATTATGCTATGTACATGCTATATACACAATGTCAACTCTAGTCAGAATTCAGGGGAAAGTTCTATTCCAAATGTGCAGCCCTGGCGCGAGCACGTGTCCAGAACGATCACGTGATTGCACACAAATCATCCCCGGATCCGCGCAGCGAGCCTGGGCCTGGCCTGGCCTGACCTTTTTTTTCTTCTTTTTTTTTTGGAAAAATCCTGACGGGTTCATTTGCACCCTTCGCACCCCCCTGGATCCGCCCCTGGCTGGTGCTTCCTGCAGCTTCATCTCTGAAATAAGGAATTCGTGTGGACACACCCATTCCTATAGCGCTGCACATCCGCACCAGTTTAGTTATTTCACGACGCTGGGAATTAGCGTGTCCACCGGAATTCCTTGCTTTCAATACTACTACAGCTAATATATTATTATTATTTTGTTGTTTAATGTGCAGGGCAGTGAGATGAGCCTGCGCGACCTGACGCAAATCATTGCTCGACTGGTGGGATATGACTTCTCCCTCTGGTACGAGCTGCATCCGGAAGAGTCCCAACCGATGCCAGCACCAGGCAGAAACAGACCGGATGGCCTGGTGAATCTGGGAGAGAGCATGCTTGGCCCAATGTACGACGACAGTATCGACAGTGATCTTCTACGGTCCGGTGACATTGCCACTGCCCTGCGCGGTGACATTGCCACTGCCCTGCGCAGGGCAGACTCTGGCAAGCCAGAGAACCCGATCAATCCATTATCCGCCAATCGAGAAGCCAAGAATATGCTAGTAAATCATCCATCAACAGACACGAGCAGACCCACTACGACACATCCTGCGCAGGGGAAGCGTCTCAGTATAGATGATCAAGCTCGCGTTGTCGTGAAACATGGAAACCTCCCAGCAAGAGTGTCCACACCGGGAGGTCTCTCTGTGGTATCAGGACATATTGAGTCGCTGTCTTCGGATCGCCTACCTCCGCTTGGAGCAACTGGTGGTCGCCTTCCCCCTGTGGGTAGGGCAGCGGAACGTCTTCCGACCATCAATGTTAAGGGTACTCCCCTAACTGGGGCTGCACCTGATCATAAGGGGAGTCCGCAAACCAGGCCTGCGCCTAACCCCATGGGGAATCCTCTAACCGGGTCACTGAATAGCAGTGGTGAGGGGATTCCCCTAACTAGGCCCGTGCCCAGCCATGACAAGGTAAGCTCACTATCAGCGCCTGTCTCTGGACATAGAGCTAGTGCTCTAGCTGGTCAGTCTGTGCGTTCCAGTAAGACCTCAAGTACTGGACTGGCTGCTGGTGTTGGCCGTGAGCATAGCACTTCAGGGACTGGACTGGCCATGGGCCATGAGCGTCGAATCTCAGGTGCTGGTGTCAGTGCTGGCAAACAATTGCCAAAACCTAAGAAACCATCCAGAAAATTTTCATCCGTCGTAAGACTTGCACATGCAAACAGTGTTATGTCTCGAGCCGACACAATTACCGATGAATATTTGAATGAGGCCTGTTTCAGTGACTATGATGAAGTTGATGCTGTGTGTAACATGAGCGACAGGCCCACTGACACGGTTGAAGCATCGGAACAATGGAAAGAGACGTGGAAAACATCCTGTAACCATCTCTTTCTCTGGTCCATTATTACCGGGCAGAAGTGCGTGAGTGAGGTGCTCTGGCCCTACACCTCGGAACCAATGGCTGCTGCTCTGATGGCGTGTAAGCTGCTCCGTACCCTTGCCGAGTTGCTTGCCAAAGAGCAGACCTACGATGAGGAGAAGAACGAGCTCATGGCCTCAGCAGAGTAAGTGCTAATTCATCCACTGTACAATGTCCGTTTAGCAGTGACCTGACTCTAGCTATGTTGGTGAAAGGAGTGGTTTATTATTATTTAAAAAATCGACGAGGAGACAATAATTTTAATATGGCAATAAGTAGGACGAGCTGAAGCGACATGTGGACTACTTTATTAACACTGTAAGCAATGGAGACGATGCAAGAAACAACCTAAAGGGTAAGGAAAAATACATGTAAGAAGAAAAAGGGCAATGGAAAAAAAAAGGATGATTCGAACAATCCTGAAGAGTGTTGTACGAAAACTTGTTCGAATCATCCTCTTTTTTTTTCCATTGCCCTTTTTCTTCTTACATGTATTTTTCCTTACCCTTTAGGTTATTTCTTGCATCGTCTCCATCGCTTACAGTGTTAATAAAGTAGTCCACATGTCGCTTCAGTTCGTCCTACTTATTGCCATATATGACGGCTTTGAGCAGCAAAGCCAAGTTAGCCCACGCATGCACGCGTTTTGTCACGGTTCGTCACGCGGCACATGAATAAAAATATTTTTTCCGAAAATGGTGGATGAAAAAATAAATCTTGCATGGCCGCTTTGCCCTGCCTCGTGTCAGCAAAGCAACTTCCTTGTCAACAATTTCTGTCATCCAGTTAGCCAAAATGACTCAAGGTTGTGTTTTCTGGTTTTCTCCTTTGTCTCTCCGCCAAGCTGTACAAGAGTATTAGTTGTGCTAGTCTGCGTAGACAAGCGCTGACTCGTGTGAGCTGGAAGCGCTTGAAAATTCACAACTTCAAACAGCGATCGATCGCGCTTGGTTGAAATATTTATTTGTTGCGTGGGCAGATAGAGTAGCTCATGGTCGCAGTAGTGAATTTCCTGGAGTTCACGAGGCCAAGCAAGAACTACTCGAAGCAGAGGACCAGTTATTTAGGCCTCGACATGGCGAGTGGCGTTGACGCCAACTCAGAAATGGCTGTGATTACCTGTCAAAACATCTAGCCAAAGAAGTAGACAAGGAGCAGAGGCATTTACATGGACAACGTACGATGGTGGTTTGCAACATGCTACTACTGCTGGAGCGACGTTGAGTGCAGGGACGATCGTTGATCATCTACGTATCAGGTGTGGTTGTCAAACGCTTGTGGCCTTTGATGTGGATATGAAGATTTTATGCCCACTGTGCGTTCGTTATGCACCACATCTGCTGTGCACGTGGCATTACCCTATCTCAGGGAGAAATCATCAACCCAGTCATTCTGGGTAAAACTATTCCTGATAGCTGTGCAGGCCAGCACAAGAACCAGTACGCTGCACTAAACAAGGTGCTTATGTTCGTGTGCTTGATGGTCAATGGAATGAGTTCAACTGAAAGCAACGGTTCCGCAGGTCTTCGACAACCTCAGCAAGGTGGTCGGCCCAGCAACAGTGGTGACGGTACTTGGCATAGAAGTCGACAGCGAGGACCAGGTGATGCGGCTACCTGACAAGAAGTTATTTGCCTTTCTAGCGGCTTTGAGTGAGTAGTCCACGCGCACTAGCTACACAACGCGGGAACTGCTGTCGCTGATCGGAACCTTGTCCTTGCCGCAAAGGTGGTTCCTCCTGGCAGGACCTTCATCCGTCAACTCCTGTATCGAATGGTCGCGCTCCTTTGCCGCAAACTGGAATGACCAATCCTTCTTCTACGATGTCAAGTGTTCAAAGTCCCCTGACCTTGAGCTATTCACGGATGCCTCTGATGTTGGCTTCTGCGGTTTCTATCAAGGACAATCGTTTTTGGGGCAATGGGCCGCTGAGATGCAGCACGAACCTATTGTGATTACTCGCTTCCGAGAACTGGCTTCCACAGCCAACCAATGCCTGGTGCCAACTCCTCCGCTGAACTCGCCGCTCTGATTGCTGCCAGCAATGATCTCATGAGCGACTCAGACCTTTAAGCCCGGTATTTGCGCACACATAATCTGATGTACCCAGTTTCGGCTATGGCCGAGTTCCGGTCCCTGACCGCTACTGCCGGCAGCTCACGGCCAGTGTTTACGTTCGTCGACGGCGGCTACTTCTCCCGAGTTTTCTCGACTAGGATCCTCAACTGCAACCGGGTGAGCTCCCCTTCTGTGCGCATTGGCGGGGCCACACTCATGGCTCACCGGAGTACAAGTGTCTGTGAAGCAGCCATATGCCATGCAGGCTGCTGGCGAAGTGCAGCATCCGATCACTATGTCAGGCGTGCAGCCGGTATACCCTCTGTGCAATGGCTAGCAGCAAAGACTGGAACAGCCCACGCCCATGTGGTGTTGAGAACAGAAGTGAGGTACATTTGTAGTGTTGTACAGTGTTGTGCCGTCCGCTTGTTGTGCAGTCCTTGTGCCGGTGTGGCTCTGTGGGTATCACTTAGGGGTTTGCCATGGTTACTTGCAGGAAGTTATGCTAATGAGCGATGCCGTGAGAAATGCTTGCGTAAACACTGGTTTTTGGGAGGGTCAAATGCATTTGCCTCTCAGTGTTGTGCTGTACTGTCTCAGTGTTGTGACACCTGTATGTTGTTGTGTGGTTGACCCGCCGGTTTGAGGCATGGGTGGTCAACTGTGTATGTTGTATCGGTGTGTTCCCGTTTGAAGTTGCCGGGCCACCATGTGGTTGACCCGCCGGTTTGAGGCATGGGTGGTCAACTGTGTCTATTGTATCGGTGTGTTCCCGTTTGAAGTTGCCGGGCCACCATGTGGTTGACCCGCCGAAAATGGAGGCATGGGTGGTCAACTGTGTCTGTTGTATCGGTGTGTTCCCGTTTGAAGTTGCCGGGCCACCATGTGGTTGACCCGCCGAAAATGGAGGCATGGGTGGTCAACTGTGTCTGTTGTATCGGTGTGTTCCCGTTTGAAGTTGCCGGGCCACCATGTGGTTGACCCGCCGAAAATGGAGGCATGGGTGGTCAACCGTGTATATGTATCATTGAAGTTGCAATACGTACATTGCTGTGACTCGCCCGATTGCTGTTGCCGGGCACCTACGCATTTATTTGCCTACTTGTGAAGAGATATCTCTTCTGGTTTATTGCATAATTCTTGGCTCAATGTTATCCACGGTGTCGCTCGATGCAAAGTCTCGTAAATATTTATCAGACAAAATGGAAAAAAAAAAAAAAAAAAAAAAACTATGGCAAACCCCACTTCCTTGTATTCTATCTGCTTGGTGTACATGTGTCCACGTTTTGTACGTTTGGCTCGCGCATGCGTGCGTGTGTATGTGAGAGCGTCTCTGGATAAATGTGCATATTGATGTTTTGGTTGTTTTAAGTTTTATTGTGTGTATGCGTGCATGCATGTGGGTTAAATGACGGCTTTGAGCAGCAAAGCCAAGTTAGCCCACGCATGCACGTGTTTTGTCACGGTTCGTCACGCGGCACATGAATAAAAATATTTTTTCCGAAAATGGTGGATGAAAAAATAAATCTTGCATGGCCGCTTTGCCCTGCCTCGTGTCAGCAAAGCAACTTCCTTGTCAACAATTTCTGTCATCCAGTTAGCCAAAATGACTCAAGGTTGTGTTTTCTCCCCTCCCTCCCTCCCTTTAGACATGACACGTCGGTATCTTGTGCCACATGACGAGGCCCCAAGGAGGGTCAAATGCATTTGCCTCTCAGTGTTGTGCTGTACTGTCTCAGTGTTGTGACACCTGTATGTTGTTGTGTGGTTGACCCGCCGGTTTGAGGCATGGGTGGTCAACTGTGTATGTTGTATCGGTGTGTTCCCGTTTGAAGTTGCCGGGCCACCATGTGGTTGACCCGCCGGTTTGAGGCATGGGTGGTCAACTGTGTCTATTGTATCGGTGTGTTCCCGTTTGAAGTTGCCGGGCCACCATGTGGTTGACCCGCCGAAAATGGAGGCATGGGTGGTCAACTGTGTCTGTTGTATCGGTGTGTTCCCGTTTGAAGTTGCCGGGCCACCATGTGGTTGACCCGCCGAAAATGGAGGCATGGGTGGTCAACTGTGTCTGTTGTATCGGTGTGTTCCCGTTTGAAGTTGCCGGGCCACCATGTGGTTGACCCGCCGAAAATGGAGGCATGGGTGGTCAACCGTGTATATGTATCATTGAAGTTGCAATACGTACATTGCTGTGACTCGCCCGATTGCTGTTGCCGGGCACCTACGCATTTATTTGCCTACTTGTGAAGAGATATCTCTTCTGGTTTATTGCATAATTCTTGGCTCAATGTTATCCACGGTGTCGCTCGATGCAAAGTCTCGTAAATATTTATCAGACAAAATGGAAAAAAAAAACTATGGCAAACCCCACTTCCTTGTATTCTATCTGCTTGGTGTACATGTGTCCACGTTTTGTACGTTTGGCTCGCGCATGCGTGCGTGTGTATGTGAGAGCGTCTCTGGATAAATGTGCATATTGATGTTTTGGTTGTTTTAAGTTTTATTGTGTGTATGCGTGCATGCATGTGGGTTAATTATTATTATTATTATTATTATTATACGCATTCCCGCGTTGAAGTGTAGCAGCAGTATGCTGCGTCCACAGCTTCGCTTATGCAGAATGGCTTGGGTGAGAGGAGAGGGGAGAGAAAGCAACAAGGCAACCAACATCTATGAAGGAGTGGTTTAACTATTTATTAAAACTCAGTTTTGCCTGGGCGATTGAGAATGTTTAAAAAAACGTTTTCCCCAGTCACAGTGAGTCTGCAAGTTTCCTGACTTCAGACTCTTGACGGGCAACATTTGTGGTGTCGGTGTGTATTCGTGTGTATTCGTGTGTATTCGTGACCTCTACGAGGTCCCCTTTTGGCATCACAAACTGGGCAGGTTCGGGAAATTGCTAAACATTCACCTGTTATTTCCCCTGCGAATTTCCCCCGTTTTACAAATTATACAGACAGCTCTGCCTACTTCTTTCTCCCTTCGTCTCTTGCTTCCTTGCTTCCCGGCTTACAACAATTGTGTTACATAGGACTTGTGCACATTTCTTAGTGACCTCTGCTACTGTATAACATGTAGTTGTAGGTGTAGTAAAATGTCGGGGTCAGAGACCTGCCAGGTTTCAGGTGTAATGTAGAATTAGGTGACCAGCCTACCCTTCATATACAGTCAGTGCACACTCAAGTGCCTTTTAGGTGTAATCTAAATTTAGGTGCCTGGTTTTTCTACCGAAATTAAAGTTACACCGAAATAAACGAGTTAGACAGTATGCTCTAATAATCTGCTTACCAGGCGTTTCGAAGCACTAGCCATGGGAGTTCTGACGGAGTGCAACAGGCGCGATGACTTCAGTGCCCAGCGCGTGGTGCGGCGCATCCTGCCGTTCTGGGGCAGCACGACGTGCCTGGCGCTTGCGGACGGCAGCGACTCTCAGCGCTTCGTGTCGCACAACGCCTGCCAGGCGCTGCTGAACAAGGTGTGGATGGGACGACTGCAGGCACAGAACACCTCCCTGTCGGTGAGTGCCGCCCGCCTGCCTGCCTGCCATGGCGATTAACCGCTTCAGCTGCCCTTGTAGCATGCAGTCTGACTAATTCACAGCCTGTTCTCCTGCGGGTTACCGACTCCTCAAGTATTGATATGTGTTTCTTTCTATTCGTACAGTCATGTACCCTGTCTATATGGAAGCAGCTGATTGGACTGGAGAGGGGGGGGGGGGGGCAATACCATAGTTAATGTGCCAAACGTAAATCAAGCATGGATCAGACATACTAGTAGACCAGGTATAGATCAAGCATTGATCCAACCTACATAGATATGCACTGTATAGGTTACTCTCTTGTTAAGATGTGGTGCCGCTTGCAATCGTATTAGCCATACGTGTGTGTGTGTGTGTGTGTGTCTGTGTGTGTCTGTGTGTCTGTGTGTCTGTCTGTCTGTCTGTCTGTCTGTCTGTCCGCTGTGGGGGTACTAATTCTTACAAAGAAGGAGGTGAAATACCATTCGAATAAGTGGTTCATCACTGGCAAGTAGTCACCCACCTGCATGGTAACTTCGGGCGTTTTCTCCAATTTTTCGCTCTTGCATACTTGCCAACGTCGAGACGGTGGCCTGGCGCAGCACCTGACGACCGAGAAGACTATAATTTTTTGTTTGTGTTGATCTTACTGAACATCGACAACTGCTGCTTCCAAATGGAATATCTGCTTTGCTCCGACAGTATGCGTCCGTTTTTGTTCGTGGGACTAAGTTTTGCAAGATGTTCGTCCCAGGCATTGTGCGATGAAGAGTGTTGTGCACGGAGGGAAGAGAGACATCAAAAACTGCATGTAGCGCATGTTGTTGTTGTTGTAGAAGTTTATTTAACGTCACACCACAAACAGGCATGCTCTCGGAACAATCTATAACTACACTCATACGTCGTGTATCCGGGCGGTCCGGGACCGGGCACTGCCCGTAACTTCGAAATGTCCGTAACTCCGAATTACATACATTTTGACGGGAAAGGCCATAGATATGGCATGTGACGTCACTATTTCCACAAAAAAGTGACAAAAGAATAGTAATATTTCCACTTAAACTCGCCCATAGGTTTCCAGGTAGACCGAAGTGCCCGTAACTTCGGGGTGCGGATAACCGAGGTAAGAGTGTAAGTGTGAAATGTCATACGTTCAACGGACTGGGTTAATCACTGTCCCGGTTTGCAACGCTTGACAGGTATGGTGTTGACTCTTGATCAGGAGGAAGGAAAATGATGCTGGCTTGGAAGTGATTGAGAAAACAACAGGGTACTCTCACATACTCCCTTCCTCTTTCCAGGCTCTGCAGTGAAATTATCTCACATCATTCTAGACCATTTTGCTATGTTCAACCATTCATTTGCATGGTAAATTGACTGCACCAGAGCATCCAGCCACTGACTGAGAAAGAAGGAAATTCGAGTGTGTTTGGTGAAGCTACCGATTATTGCTGCATGCGATTTGTGACCATTCGCACTCAATTCTGTTGCCATTGTTGCTGTGTTCTTTCTCTGTGGTTTGCTGCCATGCTGTGTTTGTTCCGTGTGGCCTGGCACCTCGCTGTGTTTGTTCCGTGTGGCCTGGCACCTCGCTGTGTTTGTTCCGTGTGGCCTGGCACCTCGCTGTGTTTGTTCCGTGTGGCCTGGCACCTCGCTGTGTTTGTTCCGTGTGGCCTGGCACCTCGCTGTGTTTGTTCTGTGTGGCCTGCTAAATTACTGTGTTCAATCTATGTGGCCTAGCACCTTCACAGATTTGCCTGTGCGTATTGGTACCAGCATTCATACCATTCGCACTTTCCTACGCTCAATACTCCAAAGAAGACACTGAACGTCTGAGCAATGATGATGCCGGTGTGGACGATAACGCCAGCTTGGCACCATCCCTCAATGAGCTGGCGTTCATACGTCCACTCTCGCCCACGCAGCAGGAAATGTTCAACCGAGAAGAGCACCTGGAGGGTGTCAGTATCCAGCGTACCGTTGTGCAAGGCCTCCTGTCCCTGCAAGACATGGCCCGCCGCCATATACCGACTCTGGAGTCAACTACACCGCCAGCCCACAGAGCCACGGACAACCCTATGATTATCAAAGAAGAAGACTGTGAAGACGGCATTTCCGGATCACCGCCACCACCAACAGGGCACGGTATAGATGTTCCAGACACAGGTAAAAAGCGTGCAGTGTCGGTATTGATCGATGAACCAGTTGATGGAAACACTGATGGAGATAGTGACCAAGTGTACAAGCTCAATACGGCCACAAAGAAGGCTCCCGCGAGGAAATACTACAAACTGGGGATTTCCCAGCGTTTCATGGCATTCTATTCGGCACCGGTGGTCAAGTTTTGGATAGCTTTGGTAAGCCTTGTGTGGATGCTGTGCACCAGGCAGTACTCCCTAGTCACAGTGTGTATATTGCTTTAGAACACATCTGATGCGGATCACTGGACACAGACGGCATAATCTTGAAATGCCACCGCTATTACCGCTATTACCTACTTAGTTGGAAAAAGGTGTGTTTTTATTGACCGCATAAATAATGATGCAAAGAAAGAAAACCACTGCTCAAGCATTGCACCTGGGAGGCAAACATGAACTCGATCCCTAGCATAGGCTCAATGAGGTCGTGTATTTGTACACACTTCAAAAGGATCCAAGTAAAACCCCAACAAACCTCCCACCAACACACTGATGGCAGCCAGAAACCAAAACAAGAGAGAAACAAATTCAAAATTAATAGTTATAACAGAGCAACATAGAATAACAACACAGTCAATAAATATCTACTCAGTGCTTTGTTTGCTATCATATTGAACCGATATAGAATAAGTGATAGCATTGTCAGTGGCTTGGTATCACATGTGCATGGCAAACCATTGATATTCAAAAGGGTATACAGGTACTTTTGAACGGTAAAAGTAAATATGGCCCCTAGTCATTTCTGGTCATAAGGGCAAGAGGTGTCAGAGACCTCTGGTTCCAATGAGCTCAACAATGCTCATCTCTTCTCCCTCACCGCTTCCACACGCATGGTTCTATTTTGAGAATAGTGCGGGTATTCTTTCTCAAATCCAGTGTGGAATGTGCCCCTCGCAAATGTACGCTGTCATCGCATGAGTGACAGGTTGTGATGGCTGTTTTGTTGTTGTTGTTGTTGTTGTGATTTATCGCACTACCTGCAGCTTTCCTATCTGATGTTCCTTGCACTGTTCAGTGTGATGCTACTCAGCCGCTGGGACACGTGTTCTCCCAAGCCAATCGAGCTGATGGTGCTGCTCTACATAGCTAGCCTTGCCAGCATTGAAGCCAGACAGGTATGCTCCCTGCAGTCATGGCTCAATGCAGTACCGGGATTAACCTTATAAAAACCGCTTCGGGAGCGCTTCTGCGGAAAAACGTTTACTGGTACAGTACAGTACCCCGTCGTAAAAGTAAGAAATTAGAACTGGTGCATTGTCCCCACAAAATATGGACAGGTCACTTGAATCGCGAATGACAGGACCCGAATGCTAACTCTTAATCAGAGGACTACAAATTCAAACAGCAGAGTAAAAGTCTTTAACTCTGCTGTTTGAATGTGTAGTCCTCTGATGGGTCCATAATCATGACTTATTATGGCGGACTATCTTGCATGCAAGCAAACTATGTGCGTTTCCATGCTCTTTGTACTTCCGTTCTTTACAGATCTCCCAGGACCCTGCCCCGTACTGGAGTGATAAACTGGGTGCGTACTTTGGCAGTCTGTGGAACTGGCTAGATGTGGGCAGCCTCACGCTGTACTTGGTTCACCTGCCGCTGCGCTACAGCTGCCCCAGTGAGCTGGACTGCATGGCGGGTGTGCTCACGCAGGCGTGCAATGCCACGCTGGCTGTTGTGGGCGACGCCAAGCACATCTATCCGCTTGAACTGCGGCTTGCCAGGATCTTTTGCAGCACATCTTGCTTGCTGTTCTTTCTGCGGCTGCTGCAGATCTTCACGGTCAACTCAGATCTTGGTCCAAAAATCCACATGATTCTGCGGATGGTGGGTTGACCGATGCCCACACAAGACATGTTGGGTCTCTTCAATTTTAACAATCTTGACTGTTTAGGCCTCATTGTCATACATGTACAAATTTGTTAATAAATAACTTTAGAGTCAGTCAGGTAGCTGCAACACACCACACATGCACATGTACGCCGATCCGTCTTTTCTGATACGTTTAACCTGCCAAAAATGTGTCCCTTCTAGTGTAGGGTGTTGTTAAAAGAGTGCTTGAAGTGGAGTGTGCTATCCTGTACCCATGCTGCATAAAAACAGCCCCATGGAAAGTTTCCTGGTTTGGTTTTCAGATCCTGTATCACCAGATATCCCATCGCATTAAAGGTTCCCATCGTTTCACTAATCACCGTATCATCATGGTGGCAGGGGGGGGGGGGGAGGATCGATCACGGCGTGCATTTCTCGCAATTCCTACAAGCAGTGTGTAAGTGGTTTGTTGAAATAGCCATGTAAGCCATATGGCACAATGTAGGATTGATGCAGTTTGCAGTACTACCGGTATGATCCCGAAACAAATACTTGCCTTGCCGTGGGCTTCTTCACGAGACTAGCTGTACCACTCTGCTTCATGTGCTCTTGGTGTACTCTTGGTGTGCTGTGTGAAGCTGATGTACATCAACTTTAGTCATGATGTCGATACACAGACAATCTATACACAGACAATCTATACACAGACAATCTATACACAGACAATCTATACACAGACAATCTATACACAGACAATCTATACAGGGCTATACAAGCAGTTATTAAGCAGTGCTTTTTAATATGCTCCTGATGTTTCTGTGATCTTCAGATTTTGGACGTAATGGAGTTTGCGCTGATTTTTCTGATATTTGTGGTAAGCTTTGGTGTTACCAGCCAAGCCATGCTCTACCCTACAGAAGACCTAAGCTGGAGAACTCTCCAGGAGGTGCTCTATCGGCCCTACTGGCAGATCTACGGCGAGTTCTTTCTGGAGACGGTGGCAGGTAACTTGGTTGTACTCAGCTTTGCAACTTTTAACAGTGACTGTTTTCGAAGGACATTTAAAAGAACATGTTCATGTTTAGAATGGCCCCAGGGAGATCTTTCCCTGAGCCTGTCGCAAACTGCACGTGCACCCGCCGTTCACTGTTTTTGTGTACACAGCTTCACTTAGAGATTTTGTAAAGCCTTACAATCGTTCAAGTCTAAGCCGCTGTGCAGGCATCTACACATACGACTTACAATCGTTCAAGCCTAAGCCGCTGTGCATGCATCTACACATACGACTTACAATCGTTCAAGTCTAAGCCGCTGTGCAGGCATCTACACACACGACTTACAATCGTTCAAGTCTAAGCCGCTGTGCAGGCATCTACACATACGACTTACACTCGTTCAAGTCTAAGCCGCTGTGCAGGCATCTACACATACGACTTACAATCGTTCAAGTCTAAGCCGCTGTGCAGGCATCTACACATACGACTTACAATCGTTCAAGTCTAAGCCGCTGTGCAGGCATCTACACATACGACTTACAAGTACAATCGTTCAAGTCTAAGCCGCTGTGCAGGCATCTACACATACGACTTACAATCGTTCAAGTCTAAGCCGCTGTGCAGGCATCTACACATACGACTTACAATCGTTCAAGTCTAAGCCGCTGTGCAGGCATCTACGGATGGGGTCAGGTACATCCAGACTGGACAAAATCCAGCACAAGGCACTGAAGGTGATTGGCCCAGGCGCCTGGCTCCCCAGCCTGAAACACCGCCGACTGGTTGCTGCGCTTTCGTTCACGTTCAAGCTGTCTTACCTTCCAACAACAAGCCCCCTGAAGCCCATCCTCCCACCTCCAGCCAATCCCCGCCCAGTGGGTGGTCGATCCACTAGGTTAGCCACGGAGACTGCCCACTGCCACCCGCTCCAGCTCAAGTCGACGCTGCCCGTGCGCATTCGTAGCAGCCTCCAGGGTTCCTACCCAGACTGCATTATTCCCTTGTGGAACAGCCTACCAGCGACCATTCTACCAGCACGGCCGCAACCCAGCCAGCTCCAATCATTCAAAGAAAAATGCAACAAGTATCTGCTGCACCTGAACTGGCAAGCAGCCACCGACGCCCTATGAAACGGTTTAGACCAGTGCCTCACTAGCATCCTCCCCCCCCCCCTTACCACAATGTGACGTTATCTTTCACTCTGCTTCTCTCACGACCATCTACCCCGCATTGCCCTTGTTTCTCACTATTATTCATTTCCCCTCTTCCTCCCCTCTTCATGGTTTTACTGCATTATGGCGCGCTTTGTCTGCGTAGACGCCGAGACCTTTGAGGTCGGCAGAGCAGCCTGGCCCCGCCACCACTTCTCGCACATATTCGGGAATATAGTGGACTTTTGTATAAAAAAACAAAAACAAAAAAAAACACATACGACTTACAATCGTTCAAGTCTAAGCCGCTGTGCAGGCATCTACACATACGACTTACACTCGTTCAAGTCTAAGCCGCTGTGCAGGCATCTACACATACGACTTACACTCGTTCAAGTCTAAGCCGCTGTGCAGGCATCTACACATATGTTGAGTTCGAAACAGGCCGACTGACAACGGGAACAAGTTAGTGGGTTGGGGGAACGACATTTATTAGAGACGACGAGACAAGAGACCAAGACGAACGAAACGACTACATTGTAGAGTGAGAAAAGAGAGAGAGAGATCAAGTCTGACCGGCAAGATAAAGGGCCTGGGTAGCTATGGCAAATATGGGCGCGCAAGTAGCTACCCAGGCCAACGGAACAAAAGGAGACAAAAGGTGAGTACGTAAGTGCATGCAGGCCAGCTAGAAAAGGTACGGGAGGAGGTACCTAACATACCACCCCTCCATGAAAAAAAATCCCGCGTCCTCGCGGAGAGAAAAAAAAGAGAGAAAAAGATTAAAAAATGAACTGGAGGAGAAAACACACACACACACACACACACACATACTGCACGCGCGCATGGATCTCACGAAAGTGTGTACTAAAAAATGCACTCGTACAGATCATTCCTGTACTACTTATTGTGTGTAATAACTATTGGAGTTTGACGAGGAACGTGAATTACTAGTATTTTGCACGGCTAATACAGCCTAGTTACACTTTTGCTAAACATCCAAAAATTAGAGCGTGGCTCACCATGATCAGACCCCTAACTTGGTTATGTTTTACGAACACACGCGCGCGCACACACTACAAAAAAATTCACGAAAATAAATTATTATTATTATTTTATTATTCCACCCGCCTGTGTGGATTCACAGGAAGTGTGAGTTACGAAGTCTGAAGAAAACGTTGAACGGTCTCTGCTGGGATGACGACTACACCATAGCTCAGTGGTTAGAGCATCGCTGGCTACAAGCGAGGGTCCCTGGTTCGAGTCCTGGTACGTGACAGTCAATTTTTTCTTCAGACTTTTCCCGTTTGTCTCTTTCCCTCAAACCAGTTAATATTATTTTATTATTATTATTATTATTATTTCACAATCACGATGACATAGTGCCAATAAGCATGTGATGCGGGCGATTTTAACCAGCCATGGTGGGGACAACTGAGAAAAAGAAGGAGAAGAAAAAGAGAAAAGTAAAAAAACAAAAGGAGTACTATAGGAACCTGGAGAGAGCAGTATGAAGATTAGGCTAGCAATGGAAAACAACGAATTCAATTCAATTCAACTTAGGCGCGGGCAGAATGGAACAAAATGCAGCGAAGGTGTCGCGAGACTTTACCTCCTGCGGAAGCCGAGACCAATGAGAATAGGACTTGAACAGAGGGGATTTTAAAAGGATCGATGACCTGGCAAGTGGGAAATGGAGAGAACATCTAGTACGCGAGCTATTATTGAACCAGCTTAAATGCGCAAGTGCATGAGGAGGAGCAAGTTGAAGCTTAATACGGTGAATGAATTTGCATGCCGAGTGGGGAAAGCGTTCTGAGAGAGGGGAAGAGGAAGCCAAAATGTATAGCGTCTGAGAGGAGGTCAGAGGGGGCATGCGAAATATTAATCGAAGTAATTTACGGTGGGTGACTTCTAACCGATGCATAAGATCGGAGGATAGACCGGAGGACCAAACGAGAGAGCAGTAATCAAACAAAGGAAGAACATAAGAGTGATAAATTTGTATTCGACAACCATGGTGTAGATGGGAGATGTGAGGAGAAATGCAGCCTATCGCGGAGCAAACTCGCTTTTCAATATAGGTTACGTGCGAATCCCAGGACAAGTGTTCATCAAGAAATATACCAAGGTGTTTGTGATTTTTAACAATGTTGATAGCAATGGGATCATCAGGGAAAGTAAAAAGCCGAGTCGTAAGGAGGGTGAGGTCACTGGAGGGTCGTGGGGGGATACAAAGGATTGCCGTTTTCGACACATTGGGGCGGAGTTTCCACTTCGACATCCAGCGCACAACTTGATTAATGTGATACTGTAGCGAGTCGCAGGCTTGCAATAAGCCTGGCTCGGTTATATGGAGCGCTGTATCGTCCGCGTAGAGTGAGGTATGATCCAAACCTGCCAAATCATTAACGTATACGATGAACAATAGAGGCCCCAAGATAGAGCCCTGGGGCACTCCAGAGTGGACTGTTAGAGGGGCGGACAGGGCATGTCCAATTCGGACACTCTGTCGACGTTCAGTGAGATAGCTGGTGAGCCACTGCAGACACGTCCCGGCTACGCCAAACGCTGCTAACTTATGGAGGAGACCCCTTGTCCAGACAGTGTCAAATGCTTTGCTGAGGTCGAAAAAACATAGGAGGCTAAATTGCTTCTGATCCTTGCATTCATATAGCTTCTGCACAAGCCTCAGCAACTGCCAGGCGGTCGAATCGCCTCGCCGAAATCCAGACTGTGACGGGTCAAGGACCGGGTTCACATGTTGGTATAAGTGGCGAAATGCCACACGTTCACAGAGCTTTGAAATGGTGGAAAGGAGTGAAATCGGCCGGTAATTGGATGCAGACAGTTTACTGCCTTTATTCTTGTAAATAGGCACAACCACAGCTGCCTTCCAGACATCAGGGAAGATTCCGGTGGCGAAGGACTGGTTGAAAACTAGGCTGAGAGGGATAGCTATACTAGGAGACAGGGCTTTTAGCAGTTCATGGGATATGCCATCTGCACCTGCCGCCTTCTTGGGCTTTAGGCGACGGATGTGTTGGGCAATGGCGGTGGGAGTAGTGCTAAAAGAGGGTAGTGCTGGGAGCCCGTGGTGTGGAATACCAGGGAGAGACCATGCAGGATCATCCGGTGTTCCAAAGCTGATGAATTGGCGATTCAGAGCATTGGCAATCTGGGTAGGGTCGTTGTGTACTGTGTTATTTTCATGGAGTTCAGTGATGATAGGGTTTCCAACAGGGGTCGGCGAACGAAGCTGCTTAACAAACTTGAACAAACTAGGGGTGGATGCAATAATGGATGAGGGGTTAGTGCTAATGGAGGACACATACTGGCGGTGAGCCTCTCTAGATAGGATTCGTGCTCTGTTACGTTCGCGCTTGTAATGCTCGTGATTGCTAGGGGTAGGATACTTGCGATACAAGCTGTACGAGTCTCGCTTCCTCTTCAGCTGAGCTTTAACAGCACGTGTCAGCCACGGGGGACTTGGTGTACGTCGTCTAGGCGCTGAAGAGCGCGACCGGGTGGGTAAGAAAGCGGAGCATAGACCATGAAGGATGTCATAAAATGCTGGAGCAGTACGGTTTGGATCTCCAAGCTTCGACTGGAGAGCAGCATGCCAGTTCAAATTAGCAATGGATTCATTTAGAGCAACTAGGCGAGTGGGAAGAATGGAGGAGATGTCAAACTGACTGAAGTCAGGTATCTGGAAGGAATGGGAGGGCAGTGTAGTGTTGGGTGCAGGTGGTGATGCGGTACATGTCGGGATGCACAAACGGCCGAGAACAATTGAGTGGTCCGACTGACCGAGAGGGGCTGAGGGGCGCGGATCGCAGATGCTGGCTGCAGTGTCAGTGATCATCAGGTCCAGAGCAGCCTCATTGCCTTTGTGGGAGCGGTGGGTCGAGAACGTGACGTGTTGCTGCAAGGCAAACATGTCAAGAAGACATGAAAGGTGGTGGCCTGCGGTGTCTGTTGTTGTTCCATACCAGGTGGAACATTTAGCATTGAAATCTCCCATGATGAGGACTGGCGAGCCAGGGGTCCGTATTTTAGTCAAGCAGCTTTGAAACGAGGCGTAAAAGTTATCTACTTGGTCCGCGTCAGCGATATTGTCGCTTATCTTTCGACAATTTGAACTTAGACTTTGGACATGAACGCGTGCACTTGAAGTGATAAAACTTGGTACGATGGACGGTAAGGTATAGAATGACAACTAGCTGCGAGGAATTTATTGTCCAAGGAAGGATTCCTACTTTTTTCGGTCCTCCTCGTCACTGCTCTCAGCGCTGGCGACAAATATTTTTGCTCGGGATCGACTCTCTTGCTTTTGCAAGCTCATCTCTCTTCCTCTCCGCTGCCTGGCTATTTTCTAAAGAGAAGTCGATCGTGACGGTCGCCTTCTCTACAGGAATTCGCGTGGGCAGCACGACACCCTGTGTGGTTCAAATCAGACGCCGTTCTTTGCAAGATTTTATTTTGAACGACGACGACGCGTACAGTACGAGTCGTACTTGCAAATCTCCACAACGCGCTGGATACTCCGAGCGTTGAGCTGGAGGTAAGGGAGCTGCGATCCCAGCTTGATGAGCGATCCCTGAGGTGAGCGATCTCGGCCGTTCAGCAAAATGGAGCTGATTCCGAGTAGCCGATTACTTTCTTGTGGCTTGCGCTGCTCTTGCCTACACAGCGTAACAAGATAATCTATTTTGATGCGGCGCTGTATCAATCAGAATCACCCACCTGTCGCTCTCGAAATCCACTCGAACTCTAGCTAGACCTTTCAGGTACTAGCAAACTAACTTGCCAACCAAAATTGGGATGAAATGGGCTGCCAAGTAAGCATTGGCGACATATAAACAAAGCTCAAAGATAAGCGACAATATCGCTGACGCGGACCAAGTATCACCGACGGGTCGGTGGACGGTGGGCGGTAGACAGCCGCAATTTGGATGGGCTGCTGGCGCGTGGGGCAAGCAGAGGTTCCAGTGGATGGCGATATCTCTACCCAGGTAGCTTCGAATTGCGGAAGATGTAGGTCTGTACGGTGGGTAATAGGACCAAATGCACTTGATTTTACTAAGATAGCAACACCGCCATAGGCCAGGAAGTCGTTGGTGTTAATTTTATTCTCGGAGGTGGGTCGATCCCTTCGAAAACATTCATAGCCTGGGAAGGAGAGGGAAATTTGTGGACGCAACCAGGTTTCAGTTATGCAAACAACAAGGGGACAGCTGGTCGTGAGAAAGTCGGATAGCTCAGCAGATTTGTTTCTAAGGGAACGTGCATTGATACAGGCTACGGGAAAGGAGGCCAGGGGCGTTGAAGGATAGAAGGGTGTTGCGTTAGGGTCAAGTTGAGGTGTTGGTTTACTCATTGTTCAGATTCAGCCTGGTCAGTGTGGAACCTCCATTTGACGAAGAAGCATACAAAAAAAAGAAAGAGAGAAAGGTAGCTGACCTGCATGGCTTGAACGAGAATAGACGAGGTAAGGTTGGCGTAGGAGAGAAGAGGTTGATAGAGACGAGACGAGGTTGGCGTAGGAGAGACGAGACTGACATGGACGAGACGAGGTTGACATAGACGAGACGAATGGTGGTTGAGGACGGCTGGGCATGGGATGATCTCAGGGTCGTGGGTCGATCAATAATCGGGCGCCAATGTTGAGTTCGAAACAGGCCGACTGACAACGGGAACAAGTTAGTGGGTTGGGGGAACGACATTTATTAGAGACGACGAGACAAGAGACCAAGACGAACGAAACGACTACATTGTAGAGTGAGAAAAGAGAGAGAGAGAGATCAAGTCTGACCGGCAAGATAAAGGGCCTGGGTAGCTATGGCAAATATGGGCGCGCAAGTAGCTACCCAGGCCAACGGAACAAAAGGAGACAAAAGGTGAGTACGTAAGTGCATGCAGGCCAGCTAGAAAAGGTACGGGAGGAGGTACCTAACACATACGACTTACAATCGTTCAAGTCTAAGCCGCTGTGCAGGCATCTACACATACGACTTACAATCGTTCAAGTCTAAGCCGCTGTGCAGGCATCTACACATACGACTTACAATCGTTCAAGTCTAAGCCGCTGTGCAGGCATCTACACATACGACTTACAATCGTTCAAGTCTAAGCCGCTGTGCAGGCATCTACACATACGACTTACAATCGTTCAAGTCTAAGCCGCTGTGCAGGCATCTACACTACGACTTACAATCGTTCAAGTCTAAGCCGCTGTGCAGGCATCTACACATACGACTTACAATCGTTCAAGTCTAAGCCGCTGTGCAGGCATCTACACATACGACTTACAATCGTTCAAGTCTAAGCATGCTATGCAGACATACACCGTCTTAAAAATGTTGTAAAATTTTGAACGGCCTCTGCTGGGATGACGACTACACCATAGCTCAGTGGTTAGAGCATCGCTGGCTACAAGCGAAGGTCCCTGGTTCGAGTCCTGGTGGTGACAGTCAATTTTTTCTTCGGACTTTTCCCGTTTGTCTCTTTCCCTCAAACCAGTTAACATACACAGTCTGTAAGCAGTGCACTGGGTATCCCGCAGCCCGGCATACCCAGTACAGTACAGACACACGTATCCCGCAGCCCGGCATACCCAGTACAGTACAGTACAGTACAGCTTACAGCGGCTGGGTCATGTACTGCAGCAGATCAGAGTCACAAAGTGAGTGGCTATTCACCACATTGACTGTACCACCGGCATTATAGGACTGTTGTCACTTGTCAGCTCCTCTGTCAACAGCAAGCTGGTGGCTGTGTATTGTCTCGGATGTTTTTTCTCCCCATGACAAAAATCTGGTCCCGTGAATTCCGCGATTCCACGGATTGCAGAATTTCCGCAGAATCCAGTAGTGCCCGCAGAATTCAGAGAATCTCTCGGAATATTGCAGAAAATAGTGAAAAACTGCTTTTTCGGGAGACTTTTGATGTATTTCACAGCCGAACTAAACTGCTTGTGACTTCCAAAATCAACTTCCAGTATATTTTGGAGCTTTCAATTTTTTCAATCTCTTTCTAAGCTCATTTTCCTTTCAGAATTGCCGCAGAATATGGAAAGATTTGCAGAATTAGCACAGAATTTTCTGTTTTCAGATGCAGAATTCTGCACGGAATTTCTGATATTCTGCCGCGGAATTCACGGGGGACAGAGCAATGACTTGACAGCGGTATACATGTAGTACTGCTTGCCTGTAATCCCGGTGTCTGTCTGGTGTGTTGTTTGTTTGTGCATGCATGTTATTTTCACTTTATATGTGCTGTTCTGCAGAGGGTGGTGAAATGTGTGGGGTGGATGGCCAGCGTGCATGCCCCAAGAAGGAGTTTCTGCCCATCCTCTTCTTGGCTGTGTACGCACTCATGAGCAACATCTTGCTCATTGACTTGCTGAGCGCCGTGTTCAAGTAAGACGTGTTGCGCATAGTGGCGGCTAGATTATACATGACGCTAATGTAGCATGGCTACTTTATGACACGTAATTTGAATACACATAAATAGTACACCGTAGGAATGCATGGATAGCTGTGCGCATACTCGCACTGCCTTGTCTTCTTCTTCTCCTTGTGAGACAATGAACGAATGATAACTACTTACGTAACAATAAGTATGTGCTTTGAGTGCTGAGAGTATACGAGTTACAATGGTGGCAGCGGAAAAATAGTCGTCGGTTTTGTCCTCGGCTGGGAAGACGCCTCCGCAGGAGAGACAAGTTGCAGAGTCGACAAGTTCCAGAGAGTCTGAGACCAGTTCCAGCTACTCGGGAGACCAGCCCACAGACTAAGTTCTAATTTACTAGTATTGGTCATTCTATCCTTCGTCTCGTTACACATACATGCCACGGCAGGATGCCAGGAAAGCAGACGCGACTTTTAGTGTCACGAGTACATAAAGCGGTGTGCGGAGCTCCGCAAACGGGCCAGGACAGCGCAACTTGTCGCTGACATTGTTCTGACACAGTGCTACGGCACGAACTGATGTCACAGGTCATATCTACACAGTTCCGAGTATGGTACTTCGAAGTACAATTGTGCGGCATAGGTCATATTGACAGTTTTAGCTATTACGGTACAAGCTGACGTCATAGGTCATACTTGTATTGACGCAATGCGACATTTCAGTGGATGATGGCGGATCTTGACGAATCATCAAAGGTTATAAATGATGAATATCACTTTCCAAAGTCAAACTGGTGCTTAAAGGGGAACTGTCACCAAAAATTTTCTTTGTCTTATCTTGTAGTTCTTTGGCTCCTGATCACGATGGTGTTATTCGTTTTTCTCTGCGATGACTGGAAGTGGGTGAAAACTTGAAAAGAAGGCGCCATGGTTGTTAGCAACGCCGCTCTTAGTCAAGGCATCTGGTATAATGAGGTACAGTGTACTTCGCTCATCAATCAGCTCACTAATCATGCTTTGAACACTTGGTCCGATCATTAGTGCTGAAACGATTATATCGATTACTCGTTACTTACTCGATAAGAAATAGATCGAACGGTTATTTCGATTTTATCGGCTAAACGAGTAGAATGGTACTGACGCTCGGTATGGGATTTTCTCCCTTTTGGGGGTCGCACAAAGCGTGCATGCACCGAAAGTGTTGCGAGTACGACACGATGGTACATGTCGACTGTACACTTGCAACGTCGACGTACGTGTAAGTACAAGCGCGATCTGAGAAACATCGACGCGATCACTGTTATGTTGCCATATTTTTAGCTGACTACTTTTCTTACATACAGCATGCAGGTCTGGCCGGCTCAGTATGTGCGAGTAGCTAGCTGCAGGTGCTGGAGTTCTCTCCGCGTGCGAGTTGTCTTGAGCCAAAGACAGTAAAGTGGTTTTCAGTTTCATGTTTTCCGTTCTATCGACGGTTCCCGAACCAGTTTGGTCGACGACGAGCTAGGCCTGGCGTCTGGTCCAATTAATATTTAGAGCATAGACAGGAAAAGCAACTAGTTACTTGTTGGCGCGCCTCTAGTCAGCTCATCCGTCGAAATCCGCCGATCTGCACCCCTGGCCGGCTTCTCTGACTTCATCGTCGGACTCAGCGAAGTCACAGGTGAAGGGCACCATCAGCTCTTGGGTTGCAACCAGTGCGTCGCCTCTGTCTGGTCCGTAATCGTCTGGTCAGTCCGAACAACTGACGGGCTTGTTGCGGGATCATCTGATCTATGCGGCCGCTTTCCGTCGTTGGCGATGTTGGACTCGTAAATGTTTTGAAACTCACAGAATGCACATGACTGTACTGATGTAGTTACAATAATAATCGTTTAGCCGATAAGCCGATCGTTATGGTATCAGCTAAGCCACTAAGGAAAAAACGTAATCGTTTCAGCACTACCGATCATACCTCAGTAACTTTTTATTTTATTTTATTTTTTACTATTGAACACTCACTGCATGATGAACTAAAATGAGGAGAAGAACTCGACACAATGGTACATATCCAGCAGGACGGAGTGGGTGGGACCTGTGAAGCTCAGCCGACCAAGGGTCTCGGCATCACAGCTGCACATGTGCACCAAAGGAAACAAAATGGGGAGTGGAAGGGCGGGGAGGGGAGCAGGAGAGCAAGAACTCTAAGGGTAGGAAAGAGAGGAGGGAGGGGAGGAAACCAGGACACTTGTTATTCCAAGATATGAGTGCAAACAAGTAAGCAAACAAGTACAAAGATAGCAGTATCAAGATCATGATGCTGAGGCGAAAGTAGAGGCGCTCTTATAATTGAACTCATTTTTTTCTCACGAGGACATGCAGCTGCTTGCCTCCATGTTCTATTCTTGGAACCTTCCCAGTCAAATGGGTTCTCTCTCAGCGGGCTCTGATTTGTGTTAGGCCACCTGGCAGGTACCCACTGTGGTTCTTTGTGGAGAACAATTTCACGTTTTGTGGCCTGGGTTCACTCCTGCATCTAAAGGGCTACATGCTTCTACACGAAATCACGATCATCACTGCAGCATTGTCATAAATACTCGAAAGGACTTTCAAGTAGGGCTCAAACAGTTAGTCCGATTAACCGGTTTAAGACCGGTTTTGAAAAGATAACGGTTAACCGTTTGTGTAAAGGTTACGCGGGTACTTTTTCAAGTTCTCGAAGTACGAATTTTTACAGAGTTTTGGCAGTTTTACAACCTATCGTGTCTGTACATGTACACATGCATACATGCACACTACACAGTACCATCCGTGACAATTTGAATCAATTTCATGCCATCTTTAATGCTTCTGGTCTGTGAATAGGCGTGAATGAGCATGCCAACATGTGCTGCATGGATTAGTACTTAGTAGTAAGTCTGCAGAGTACATTTTTGACCAAGTATATTGTACAATACTGTTCAAACTAGGTACGCGCCAGACTGCCGCAGCTTATAGGTTATAACGGATAAACCGACCGTTAGCGTAGCAGTTAACTGTTAAGGTGAAAACCGTAGCCGTTTGAGCCCTACTTTCAAGGTTCGATCATGCATCTCTCTCTCTCTCAGCAAAAGTCAAAAGCCCCGAAAAAAGATGGCACATGCGCCTCACAAGTGGAGCGGGGAAACACAAATGACGTTGCGTGGAGCCGATGTAAAAATGGGAAGTAGTAAAATAACAACTAAGTAGTCGAGATTCAGATCATGAAGCTCGCGTATGCGACACTCTTCTCAATACATATATGCAGCCTTGCTATCTGACCCGGTTTCCCAGCTATATCCCTACTTATGTGCCATAGTTGGCTACCACCCACTCTCCAATATCCCTACTTATCTGCCGTGCCGGGTTGGCTAACACCCACTCTCTAAATTAGATACCGTGCAGAAGCTATTTGAAATTTAATCATGATCAATGCTGCATTGATTGTGGTAAGGCAAGTTGCGGGTGACAACCACTGTTTGTTTGTGTTCACTTGCGATTTACGCTCTTGCAGCAACACGTATGAAGAAGTGCAGGGCCAAGCTGTACAGATCTGGAAGTTCAACCGCTACTCGCTCGTCATGGAGTACCTGAGTCGCTCTCGCTGGCCACCTCCGTTTAGCGTCGTCAGCCAGATCATTCTCTCACTTGCGCACTGCGTGGGTGTCGGCATATCACTATGGGGCGACCTCAGTGAACTGGGTACTGACGTCTGTCACCAGCCGACATGAGATGTTGTTTAGAAACATTCATGCGTTTGTACTACTAGTACTAGTACTCACTACTAGTGCAGGTTCAGGTAGAATGTGTAAGGCTCACTTTGAAGAAGAAGAAAAACGAAATGTGACAAGCTCTGACTAACTGTCCACCAATGTACAAGTAACCAGATCATAATACTGTCAGAGAGTACTTCTTCTGTCCTTCTTCTTATCCATGGTCATATTGGCTCACCTTCCGAGTTTTATTCTTTGAAATTTTATTGCCTGAAATAAATAAAATTAAAAAAATTTCTCGGTTCGCGTGAGACTCGGCTGAAAGCCGAGTTTTCCGCATCCGCCGTGGGAACGCCACCACCCTCTAGGATCAAAGGCGCAGATGCAGCGCCTAAACGGTGGGAGGTGGGTAGATCAGACCCACCACCAAGTGGTCAAAGACCAAAATCCCATTAGCTGCATCCATGCAGGCATAGTGGGATGGTCTAAGACCATGATTGAGAAACAGAGGGTACCAGGTTCAAGTCCTGCTTGGAAGCGGAAGGAATTTTTCCAGCCGTGCTGCGACCCACAGTTAATTGGGAACTCGTGGCCTGGCACGAGGGTAACATGGATGCAGCTATTGCCTGAAAACTCTCCAAGTATTCAGGAAGCGTGAGCACCATGCTAGGAGCAGCCAACTCCGTACACTATCTTTTTTATTGTTTACACTCATGAGAACTGTTTGCTTCACTCTCCTCAGCAGCTTTGCAGCCCAAATTCAGTAGACATGTGTCTGATATTCAGGAGGAGGCAAGGGAAAGGATGGCCTGGAGCCACAGCTTCAGAATTTGTTTTACTTCGCATGGCCGCTGATGTCATAGTATTAGTAGTGAGCAGCAGAGAGTTTTTCTCTTAGTCAGATCGCATGCCATGAGCAGGTCAACGGGTGAGTTGGTTTCCCGTCTTCTTTTCTCCCTTCCCTTTGATGCATGCTGGCTGAAGCTGAGGTTGTGGAGGATGCGGGTGATGTACAGCAGCTGCAAGAGTTTGAGCACAGCGCACTGCAGAGTTTCCTCAACTCAAAGACGGAGCAGCAAGAAGAAGAGTCACAATCGGAAGGCAAACAAGTGCAGTCATCGGCTACCGAGCTTCTGGAAAGGTAGCGGGTGTGCGTGACTGGGACTGCTCTTTTAAAATCAGTTTGCCCATTTGTTTGAATAGGCTTGTGAAATGTACTGTATGTACATGCGTACTGTAAGACATGTAAATTATAACGAGGAAGCAAATCTAACGTTTTAAAAACACGGGTGACATTTCTTCGTTATAATAAGTTCTGTTGAGGCTGTAAGGCCACACATGTGATATGTGCGGATATGCCTGAAGACTGCGAAATCGTTATCGTATGCTCTCGTTAACCTATGGATTTTGGACAATCGTTAAATTTGTGACTCGTCATAATAACATGTCTTGCAGTAGACTTGACTCAAACACAGTACACGACCCGAAAAAGGCAAGCATGCCAACCTCTGCCGTGTGCTGTTGGCTGGGTCGGGTTTGCATGTCCACATGTTTGCTTTCTTTCTTACTGAAAGCTGCATGTATAATTGCATGCCCGGCTTGGTTCCTGCTTTCCAAGCCGCAAGTCATGGCTTGTAGAGCACTGTGCCTGGGTACTACGTAGTCTACACCACACTTCAAGACACATGCACAATCTTTGTATGGTGGCAATGGGATAACAGTCTCCTCCGGGAAATCAAGCAGGAACACTATGTTCGATCTGGCATTGAACCTGATCTACATCTACGAATAGCAAGTTTTCGTTGGAACTTCAGCTGGAAAAAATGAAGAAAGCGCCAATACACATCAGTCAACTTGTCACTATTATTTTGCAAAGCTGTTGTATCCACGATGCATACTTGTACCAAGTTTTCACAGATATTCTCTCTGCCATAACAGTCCAGTAACTTACGGACAATTTATACAGTTCTAAGTTTTCAAACCCACTTTGGCCACAAGTTATGCTCGAACAAACAGTTTTTGATTTAGTTTTCAGGTTTTGGACTTGCCACTCCACACATTGGGTAATGTTTACGCAGTTAAATCTGCTGGTCGTGATAAAACTTGTTGCGGGACTGAAATCCCCGGGCCTAACGTCCTTCTGATAGGCATGTGCATATACACTTACTCTGCAGTCTCAATACTCTGCAGTCTCAATACTCTGCAGTCTCAATACTCTGCAGTCTCAATACTCTGCAGTCTCAATACTCTGCAGTCTCAACTCTGCAGTCTCAATACTATGCAGTCTCAACTCTGCAGTCTCAATACTCTGCAGTCTCAATAACCAAGCCCATTCCCGGAGGACTTGTGCAGAGAAATTAGGGAAGCGTTTCACATTGCTTCTGGTTCAAGTTAGAGCAAGAATTCCTTTGTGAAAGCCAAGTTGATTTCTGACAGGGCTGTAGATTTGGACATGTATGTGGAGAATAAATTCGTATAGTGAATTGACCCTGTGTCTACAGTGAGTCTGGAGTGCAATCCTAATACTGTACACCCGCTTACACATTGCGCAGCAGGAAACTGGCCAACACAGCTATTTGGCACAGACCTGCAGAAGCTATAGGTAGGAATGCAGAGCAAATTGCAAGCCATTGAAGCATGTAATGAATCAGAACGGACTACCAATGTGCATTGATTGCTTGCATAACGTACTCCTCTAATATGTGTTACTCACAGGCTGCAGAAGTGAACCCTGTCCTCCACGCGTTTTGTTTGTTTGTTTGTTTTGGAAATTTGTACTCCGGCCGCACTATTACAGGATGACACGGCTGGAGGCGACAATACAGCAACTCTGCACTGCAATCCAGACTCAAGACGATGCCGGGCACGGTCCGGCCTCAGTCTCGCGACCCCGGTTAGGCCCTGCTGGCCCAGCTGCGGATGAACTGCATAGCCTGGCAGGAAGGCTTTGATTGTCTCCTGAACTAGCCGGGTATACATGTATTTATACTGTGCAGTGTGCTAGTGATAATCATGAACACTAGTATTGCGATCATGTTGTACACAGTCTTGATACCCCCCCCCCCCCGGCCCCAGTGCATGTGTGTGCATGCGAGCGCACACACACATACACAGACAGACCGACAGACACACACACACACACACACACACACACACACACACACACACACACACATACCCCCCCCCCCACACACACACACACAAACACACACACACACCACACACACACACACACACACGCACACACACACACACACACACACACACAGACACAAACACACACACACACACATTGCAACTACAGCTTCTCATTTCGTAGCTATGATCTGGCTTCAAACACAATGGCTCAAGGAAAGCTTGTAGACGTTTTGAAATTGGGATGAACTGCTGTTTGGCCAATCCGAATTGCCGCCATGATGCGAATATTTGCAGCTCAATAATGGCCCTGCTGGTTCATCTCTAAGTCCATTCGGAGGTTGATTTGATGGAAAAGTGATGCAGCTAATTGCATGCATCTTTCTGTCCGGCTTCAAGACCTGTTCCTTCTGCTTACTGTGCGTTCCTGTGGCAAGTCATTTTTGTTGCTTCCAAATGCATTCCTATGCAGGTGTTGCGAATTTGTATTACGACTATGATTTACGCATGTCGTTGTATTTGGTTCTTGTCTTGTGGAGTTCAGTGTCTGATGTCAAATATGGTCTAAATGTACGCGCGAGTATGGGGGGTGATGTGTGACGTTTATGGTATGTGGTAGGTCTACATGCAAGAGTACGCGTTGTCAGAGTGTGAGGATGTGCTTCCGTCTGTTTGAGACTGAGAGTGATGTCAAGTGAATGCTGTTCATACATGCGCAGTGCTAGTTACTGTTTGGTCTGGGAATGAGAGTCGTGTGTGATTCGTCCGTGGTCTGGTTGTCTTGGTACAATGTACCAAGACAACCAGTCATGGTCTTGGTCATGTGTTCTGTACGTATTACTAGTATTACTATTAGTCCCTGATTGGTCGTCACGATTTGTCCTCGCAGACCTCGGTTTATTACTGCTTGTTCTTTGTTGTTTTCGTTGAGTCTTTTCCCGGGAGTCCTTCCCGTTGTCCTTTTTGTCGTCTCCAAGTTTGTCTCTCTCCTCCTGCGCCCTCACCATTTGTTGATAGAATATAACTGAAGATATAAACAATAGTTGGCGTTGTTGTGTGGCGGGGGCCAGGGGGAGAAGCCTACTTCACAGGTGAGTATATCCTACGTGACACTATCAATGATAACTGGTTTCGTTGTCTTGCTTCTCGCCACAATCTGGTTTGTGGAACTATCATGTATGCGCGTGTGTGTGTATGTGTGCATGTGTGTGTGTGTCCCATATTTTTTTTTTTTTACTATGTTCACATAACCAGCTCGATAAGAATAAGGAAAGACAATGGTACAGAGACTAGGACAAACGTGACAACTAATGAGCAGGCGCTGCACCGAGACGCAGCAGTGATGGTGGGGCATTGATGACTCTGCCGACCTGAGGTCTCGGCGTCACGGCCAAAAACACGCACCAAAAACAATGAAAAAAAGAAGAAGATAGAGCTGTACAGGTAAGAAAGATGCAAAACCCAAGGCTTAATTAACACGAGCGATTGTGGGGAAGAAACTGTCTTAGCATCATACTATTCATATGGTGCAGTGGTATTCATATGGTGCAGTGGTATGTGCAGTCGATTTCCAATCGAGAGGTTGCGGGTTCAATTCCCAACGATTATGGTCGCACACGTCTTTCTTCTCTTTCTCATTCTCCTTGCTCTTCTAATATTGTCCTGGGTGGTTACCAACAGCCAGTGCATGCCGGAGTATGTGGTGTGGCGGGTATGTGTAAAAAAAAAAGAATGAATGGTGTAATCCCAGCACAGGTTGCTATGTCTAACATAGCTGTTCGCTATCATCGCTGCAGCGATGGGCATGTCTGAGTCGATGTGTGTGTGTGTGTGTGTATGTGTGTATGTGTGTATGTGTATGTGTGTGTGTGTGTGTGTGTGTGTGTGTGTGTGTGTGTGTGTCTGTGTCTGTGTGTCTGTGGTCTGTGCGGTGTAGACCAGTGCTGGTCCATTCTTCAGCCTTGCAAGCTGTTGAATGGTGCAATCCCATCACAAGTTGCTATCGCTTTCTGCTGTAGCATTTCTATCATCATTTCAAAATAAAGCGTTCTTTTTCTAGCTCCTCTTCTTCCACTTACATGTACTTTTCTTCTTCTTACTTGACTTGACAACGCTCAATGTGGATCTTTCGGAAATTCTTTCCTCGACCATGCCTCGTGCCGTGACTAGTGCCGCGCGCACAAGAACTGCAACGTTCAACGACGTGCGATGCCCGACTTCTCAAGTCAAACAATTCCGGCATTTGCACGAAGATTTAATTTCGTACCGAGTGGATTTCTGTGGACTACAATAAACTAAGATAATCGAACCTGTCGACAAGTGGCTTGGGTCAGGACACAGGCTGATTGGATTTGTTCACGAGGCGTTTGTCGCGCTGGAAACGGAGGGTCTCGGTGAGTTTGTATCCCTGGTGATATTTTGTGTCTGGAGAGCACTATACTATTATATACATACATGTATAATTAAAGTGGTGCTCTTCAGGAACAATCTTCCTCAGCCTACTCAAACTCAACTGATGAGCCTGGGGGAATTCCCCGAAACACTGTGTATCGAGCAGGGAATTCCCCGAAACACTGTGTATCAAGCAGGGATGGTGCTTTCTTGCAGGTTAACTGTGTATACTTAGTGGCAAATGAAAATGAATTTGAGAAGTTGATCACTATACCCGGTATATACCCGGTACATCACTTTATTGCATGTCACGTGAGGGTTGCCTGTACTACAGCCAATGAGCGCTCTTGCTCAGCGGTCTGTATTTCTCGGTATTGCCCGGCAAGTTATTGCCCGCTCAGTTACATGTACGCGCATGCGGACTGTCATTCTTGTACTTTGTGGTTCGTGATCAGATCAAGTTGCTACAGTTCAGAGTTTCAAATTTGAAACACAAAACAGCACCTAACTTGATCTGACTACAAACTACAAAGTACGAGAATGACAGACCACACGCGCGCGCGCATGTAACTGAGCTGACAATAACTTACTTGTTCCAGCCACATGAATCAGCCGCCTCAGCAGGTGAATGCAACCTTGACATCGATATCGATGCGTTGGTGAGCAGCCGACGAACTTGACGAACTGAATGCGTTCGAGACGAAGTTGTGGAGCCCATCCCAGTTTCAGTTCCTGTTCCAGGACTTCCTACACGCAGTGCTCAATCACGAACAACAACACCATCGATATCGTAAAGAAATAGAGAATTTCAAAACCACAAACGATGTTTACCACTGAACAAGTGTGTCGGGAGACTGAGAAAGTCGGAAAGGTTTCTCTCCGTTTTCTGGAATGTTTGGGTCAAGCATGCAATAAATGATTTACTGCGCCTCGTACGCACTCGTACACGGGCAATACCGGCTTGATACATGACCTCACGGCTGGCGCCGTTCGGTCATGTATCAGCCGGTATTGCCCTTGTACTCGTTTGTACTCGTGCAGTAAATCATACATACCCGGTACATCACTATACCCGGTACATCACTATACCCGGTACATCACTATGCCCGGTACATCACTATACCCGGTACATCACTATACCCGGTACATCACTATACCCGGTACATCACTATACCCGGTACATCACTATACCCGGCACATCACTATACCCGGCAGTACATCACTATACCCGGTACATCACTATGCCCGGTACATCACTATGCCCGGTACATCACCATGCCCGGTACATCACTATGCCCGGTACATCACTATACCCGGTACATCACTATACCCGGTACATCACTATACCCGGTACATCACTATACCCTGTACATCACTATACCCGGTACATCACTATACCCGGTTTATTATTATTTTACTATAGCCGCCAACCTTATTACCGGCCACAAGTTGGCCATTACTAGGCATTAGGGTCCGGCGGATTCTGCCGGCAGAAAAATTGGCAGACTGATTCGGTACTTTTTCTGGTAAGTTTCATGCATGTTTGGTATGTGGATAAAGAAATGGAGCAGAATCCGAGGAATTGCCAGCTTTAACTTATTAAGGTTTGTATGGTTCCGCCAGTTTCACTGCGGCTTTTCGAGCAGAATCTGCCACCTTTTCGAGCAGAATCCGCTGGTCCCTACTGGCCATTCCGGCCTGCTCACAGACTTGAGAACTGGCAGACAAAGAGCTGAAGAAGTGAAGATGCTTGACGCAATCACAGCATAATTATACAATCATGTCATGTAGCGCCTCATTCTAAATAATTCTAAACAACAACGGTACTTCACTGCATGGAGCACCTTGCTGTAGTACCCATGGTAACAGTTATCTGCCGTCGCCCGTGGAGTGCCTTGCGAGTGTTATGTTGTTGCGCAGCCCGGAGCGCAGGGGTGCAAAGGCAACCAAAGTTGCACATCTAACTACAAGACTAGACAGGCGAACGAAAAAAACGAACACACAGTGACACACTCACTGATACGCACACACACACACACGCACGCACGCACACACACACAAACACACCAGTCACAACTGGACATCCGTCGGACTCTTGAGAACTTACTCCAATCAAACGGAAGTGAAAACGACCTGAAGAGAACAAGGCTCGATCGCAATAAAAAGAGAAAAAAAAGGTGAAGTCGTAAGGCAAATGCAGCGAGCATATTATAATTATTATGAAAGCAAGCTTAGCAATGGGCTCAGCGTGGAGAGCGAGAGTTTATATAGCTGTGCTAAAGTCAGCAAAGAGCAAAGTATTGTAAAGTAGTGTAAAATTTAGAGTTTATTTTTTCATTTTATTATATAGACGGGAAACAATTTGCTGCTACACAAACCGGGTTACGGGTCCACACATACACAGGGGTCACTGGTCAACACATACACAGGGGTCACTGGTCAACATAATTATAACAGACACTGCCCTACACAAACTGGGTCACTGGTCCACACACAATGGGATCTGGTCCACACACAATGGGATCTGGTCCACACAAATACTGGGTCACTGGTCCACACAGACGGTCCATGTACACACTGGGTCAGCAGCCAGTGGTATAGTTGATATGGTTCTACTGGTGATCATGTCATAAGCTCTTATAATGTCCAAACCTT